GAGTGAGTCAGCGGACAGAAAGTCTTCGTGTCTCTCCTTTTCTGAAAATCTGCCTTTCCAATAAAAATAAATACTTTTCCAAAAAAAAAAAGGTTTATTTATTTTATTGGAAAGTCAGATATACAGAGGGGAAAAGAGACAGAGAGGAAGATCTTCCATCTGTTTTCACTCCCCAAGCGGCCTCAACGGCCAGAGCTGCACTGATCTGAAGCCAGGAGCTATCGTGCTGGACCCATCTTTTTTTTAATGTGTGGAACAGGCAGTGCCTCAAGGAGAAAGACGACAGGTGGAGAGGAACTGCTGAAGGTTACAGGGCTTTTTTGCGGGGGTAAATTCTACTTAACTAGAGCTGGCTTGTTTGCTGGTTTAGCACCCTGGGAGCAGAGACTCTTCTGGGTCCCAGGTGAGGGCTGAGCAGGATGGGAAAGCCAGGGTGAGCACCCACAGCACCGCACCCCCTGTGTCATCTGAGGGGTGCAGCTACAGACCCCCGCAGCCAGGGCCCAGGCTGGCTGAGTCACGCCACGGGGCTGCGTGTGCTGTCTCCCTCCGGTCAAACCCGCACTGAGCAAAAAGCCACCCTCGAAATAAACAAAAAAAAAAGCAAAAAACGAAACCCATGCTACCAAGTAACACTGTTGAGGGAAAAATGACTGATGCATTTGGGGTGAAAATTTGTGAAGAAAAAGCTCAGAAACAGATCTGGGCACATGTCAATGTGCTGAGCACCCCGCAGCTGGCCCTCTGCCGGCGGGACTCTCCTGGCGTCCCACCACTAGGTAGGGTCACCCCTCACCAGGGCCTGTATTATTCTTATTTTCCCTTCAACCCGTAGGCAGACACTCTCCTGTATAACGGTACATTCCACAATCCGGAATTGCAATTTTAAAAACTAATTACGAAGTCCAGTCCGCGCTCACCGCGGACACTTCCTCAGGAAGCCGGCGCCGTCGGCTGCCGTCGGCTCCCGTCAGCAGGCGGCGACCGCCACCGGGAAGGCCAGCCCGCGGCCCCGGGCGCGGCGGGGTCGGCCAGCGCAGGGACCCGGGGCTCCGGACGTCGGCGCCGCCCCCCGCCCGCCGGCCCGGCCCCCGCAGCCACGCCGCCACGCCGCCGGGCCCTCCTCACCGAACTGCATCCAGTCCCACTCGTTGAGCGTATCCATGTTGCGGCACAGGTCGTCCAGCACCCAGGCGGGCAGCTGGTAGATGTAGCAGGGCATGGCGCTGGACGCGACAGACGACATCGAGCCGAGAACCTTCAGCGGACTGCGGGCCCAGCGGGTCGGGCTCCGAGAGGAGGCGAGGGGGCGGGGCTTCAGCTGGGACGGGGGGCGGGACTTCAGCTGGGGCCGGGGGCGGGGCTTCACCCCGCCCGAGGGGCGGGCCCTGCCTTTGGGAGGGGCGGGGCTTGTAACCGGGCCTGAGGGCGGGCGGGGATCCCAAGACGGGCGGGGCTTCAGCTAGGCCCGAGGGGGCGGGCACTGCGCCTGGGAGGGGCGGGGTTTGTAGCTTGGCCCGAGGGCGGGCGCTGATCCCGAGGGGGGCGGGGCTTCAGCTGGGCCCGAGGGGGCGGGCACTGCGCCTGGGAGGGGCGGGGTTTGTAGCTTGGCCCAAGGGGGCGGACACTGGGCGGGACCTGCACCTGGGGCGGAGCCTAACCCGGGTAGGGTCAGCGCAGAGGCCACTACCGCCCGCAGACGCTGCGCGACGGGATTCTGCCCAGCTGGCCCATTGGAGACATAGGAACAAGTGTAAGACCTCGCACACGTGCATTCCTCAGAGAGGCTGCGAATCACCTGCCATGAGCCAGACACACTTTAAGGAGTAGATAACAGGATAGGGCAGGAGAACGGGGACTGACAAGAAATACCCTGAATAAGTCACGTGGTGGAGTCATAAAGCCGTGAGTGGGCAGCAGCACTGCAGTCACGCCATCTGGGACTCCCCCGCATCCCACCTCCCCGGGTGTGTGGGATCCAGCCACCCAGCTTCCACCTGCTACGAAGCAGCAGGCAGGGTCCAAAGTACTTGGTTCCTGTCACCCACATGGGGGTTCCTGGCTTCTGCCTGGTCCAGACTGGACTGTTGAGGTGTTTAGGGAGCTACTAGCAAATGGAAAATGAACCTGTGAGGGGGCCCAATGTGATGGCTTAATTGGGTACTCCTCTCCTGAAAGCACTGGCATCCCATGAATGCCAGTTCATGTACTGGCTCCTCCACTTCCCATCCAGCTCCCTGCTTGTGGCCTGGGAAGACAGTGGAGGGTAGCTAAGGGTGTTGGGACCCTGTACCCATGTAGCAGACCCAGAGGAGGACCCTGGCTTCAGATCTACTTAGCTTTAGCTGTTGTAGGCATTTGGCAAGTTAACCAGTGGATGGAAGATCTCGCTTCTAACTATACCTTTCAAATGAATTTTTACAATCTGTTCTGTCGTTTCTCTGTTATAAATCCAAGAACCAGTGAAGTGCGTTGTGCTGCTACTCTGGTCTTAAAGATGCCAACTCAGGTCCCTGGAGAGCCCAGTTCACTCACAAGGAGCATGCATGTCCCTGGCACATCCCATCCTGGCTCTCCATCCCTCAGTCCCAGGTGAAACCCCAACTTGGAACACTAGGAGATGCCATTTCTGAACTATCAGCTGTCACCAACTTGGCTACACCTTGAGTTGACTGCATGCTGTGGTTACGTCACTTTCTTGTTGACCATGCCCCACCACAGTGCGTACGCAGACAGGAAGTGCCCGTATTTCCTGCACTGGCAGTAGCAGCTGGTGGAGGGCACAGAATTCACATCACTCACACTCGTTCACTGTGCTGCCCACCCAGCTCCCCTCACTCGCTCTCAGGCCAGCAGGTCTCTGGTTGTGCTTCATTTGAAGATTCATTTGAAAGGCAGAACCGAAGAGCAAGAGGCAGATAGAAATGACTTCTGAGGGCCCAGCGGCGTGGCCTAGCAGCTAAATCCTTGCCTTGAACGCGCCGGGATCCCATGTGGGCACCAGTTCTAATACCAGCAGCCCTGCTTCCCATCCAGCTCCCTGCTTGTGGCCTTGGAAAGGAGTGGAAGACAGCCCAATGCCTTGGGATCATGCACCCATGTGGGAGACCTGGAGGAAGCTCCTGGCTCCTGATCGCACAGCACTGGCCATTGCGCTCACTTGGAGAATCATCGGACGGAAGATCTTCCTCTCTATATCTCCTCCTCTCTGTATATCTGACTTTGTAATAAAAATAGATAAATCTTAAAAAAGAAGAAGAAGAAGAATGACTTCTGAAATGACTGCATCAGGCCAAAGGCAGGAGCCAGGAACTCCCTTTTGTCTCTCACCTAGATGGCAAGGGATCCCAGCACTGGGTCCATCTTTCACCACCTTCCTAGGAATATCAGCAGGGAGCTGGAGAGGAAGCAGAGCAGCCAAGACTTGGACTGGCACTGATACGGGATCTGGCATGGCGGGTGGCAGCTTATGCTATTGACCACGCCAGCCCCTGTGCTGGCCTGCACAATTACTCAGCAGCACCACCCCTCACCGAGCCCGTCTCCCTCAGTGAGCACACCTTTCCAGAAGGATGTGCTGTGTGCATCTATGGGAAGAAATGGAAACGCATGCCAAGGAAAGGCATGATGCAGACTGGAAAACCCGCAGGCACACCAGACTGGTCTGACTCCTCCCACCTCAGGAACAATCCCCACGGGCATTGCTACGTGCTGCCTCTGAGTTCTGGGGCCAACAACTTCCCTAAGGCCACAACTGCCCTGTTGTCTCAGGCCCCCTCCGAATCACACCACCTGCTGCCCAGTGACAAGACTCCCCCCGCCCCTCCTCCACCTTTGAGTTTATTTCCAGAAGCTCTTGCAGGACCGCTGGGCCTTTTTGTCACCTTTGCTCCATCTGATGAACTTTCTGGAACTCTCAACCTGCCCAGCTGGAACATCCACCTCCCAGTCTTTCCACCCTGACCCACAGGAAGGGCACCCTCTGACTGCTGCTTCAAGGTCCCAGATTCCAACTCAGAAACAAGTTCTGCAGCTTCTTTGTGCATCTGTACACCGCCCCACATGAGGACCAATTTCTCTGTGATCTGCCCTCAGACTAGCAGGTGTGTACATTGCACAGGAACATGTTTTGTCCAGGCCGGCAGCATAGGCAGGGTCACAAGAGACACCTGAGGACATTCAGACAGCCCAGGGATTCCTGTGAAATGCACCAGCATTCCTAAGCAACTGTGTGGAACTCACCCCTTTACCTTCTCTGATAGTTTCCTTGAAAGATACTGTTCCCAACGTACTTTTTTTCTTAACACTTTTTCTTTTTAATAAAGATTGATTTATTTATTTACAAAGTCAAAGATACAGAGAGGAGCAGAGAGAGAGGAAGATCTCTCATCTGTTGATTCACTCACCAAATTGCCACAACAGCTGGAGCTGCACCGATCTGAAGCCAGGAGCCTCTTCCATGCCTTCCACACAGGTGCAGGGTCCCAAACATTTGAGCCATCGTCAACTGCTTTACCAGACCACAAGCAGGGAGCTGGACAGAAAGCGGGGCCTCTGGGACATGAACCTGAGCTCATATGGGATCCCAGCAAGCACATGCAAGGTGAGGACTTTAGCCTCTGAGCCATCACGCTGCCCCACCCATTTTTAAGATTTGTGTATTTTTATTGCAAAGTTAGACATACAGAGAGGAGGAGAGACAAAGAGGAAGATCCTCCATCCGCTGAACCACCTCCCAAGTGACCACAACAGCGAGCTAAGCCAATCCAAAGCCACGAACCAGGAGCCTCCTCCAGTTCTCCCATGTGGGTGGGTGCAGGATCCCAAGGCTTTGAGCCATCCTTGACTGCTTTACCAGGACACGGGCAGGGAGCTGGATGGGAAGCAGGGCCACCAGGTCTAGAATCAGCCCCCACATGGGATCGCGGTGCGTCCAAGGCAAGGACTTTAGCCGCTAGCTAGGCCACCACGTCAGCCCGTTGTTAACACTTCCACACTACTTGTATTTTTCTTACATTTTATTCAGATATTTTTCACTGCCATAAAAGAACTAAAGCCGGAAGCAGTGTTAAACAGAAGACTTCTAGGGTTGGAAATAGAAAGGACTCAGGCCGTGGTGGGCTGCATGTATCTGTAGCTCCTGCCCCTCACCACTCACCCCCAAGGAACACCATCCAGAGAAAAACTTGGGTACAACACACACTGAAGTTCCTTTACCCATCACCAGTGGATGTATTACAGAACAGTGCTATTTTAAAGTGTTTAAAGTGGGAAACATGAGTGTCTTAACGACAATGCATTTAATGCACTCACTGATTCCAAGGCAAAACGGACACTGAACCTACTGCAGGTCCTCAGGTTTACACAGACATACACACACCCAAGGAATCTCCTCTCTCGGGCTAAGAGGGAAGCAACAAGAAACTGCTCCAGCTCCAGGGCCAGCCCATCTAGAGCACGCAACACACTCAGCATTGAATCGTGTCACTGAGACAGCCACCAAGACATGCTAAGATGAATCTGGAAAAAAAGTCACACTATATTTACTATTTGTTCAAAGAAGGGACTGAGACGAAGGGGGAGGGAAAAGAGCAGGAAATAGGTGTGTCTTGCGTCCCCCCCCACCTGGACTCGACAGTCTGGGGGCTGTGCCTCAAGACCCCATGGCAGCAAGAAACGCCCACCCTACTGGGAACAGGAGGCCCAGGCTGGCACTGCCAGAGCACAGACACAGACCGAATGAGAAAGGGCAGGAAACCAGCTAGAGTGTTACTGCAACTGTGTAAGAAACAAAGGTATATCCTAAAGTGAGAGAAAAAAAAAAGGGCTGAAACAGCTCCAAATAACCCCTTTTTGTTTGTTTGTTTAATAAATTAATGTCTACAATGATCCCTCTGCTCTTTTCCCAGTTTTTCTCTACTGAGGAATTCAAAAACTTCTTGTTAAAAAAAACCTGGAAGTATGTTGTTAAGTATTAAACTGGAATTAGTAAGCCTAAGAGCAGGCTGCAAGGTAGGACTACAGCCACTCACAAACCAGGAGGCGCCTGGGGAACGGTCACTCCGAACTCAGGAGGAGCGGCCAGGATGCCTGGACCTGTCCTCCTGAGCAGGAAAATGTCAACCGGATCCTGCCAAGGAGAAACGTGGAAGCCACCGGGAAAAACCTTCAGAACCAAAGAGAGGCCCCGGGCTCCAGAGGGAAAGAGGGCAGGCCTCTTCTCCAGTTTCCTAGGCAGAAGGTGAGTCAATGGAGGCAACAACTTCCTCCTCTGATGCTGCCAGCAAGTGCAGGCAGCTCCACCAATGCCCAGCACAGGTGGCGTCTATGCCCACCCACAGCCTATGACAGTGTGAAGTTCAGCTGCCATTCTCAGCACTTTGGTTTGTAAAGTGCTCCTGGCTCAGGCGCGCCAGGTCCTTCCGCACATCCGGGTGGTCTTCCAGATCTTCGTAGAGTGACCTCACAATGTCCAGTCTCCGGTAGTTCTCGGGCTTGACCAGGCTGCGGATCACCTGGAGGCATCGTTCTTTCAGCGAGTACACTGCAAGGGCAGAACAGCAAACCCTCAGAGCTGATGGGGTCTCACCAGGAATGGACTGCCAGCCAGCTAGCGTGCCTGCCACGGGCCACACTGGGGCTCTCCACGCTGCCCCCCAGGATCCACAGCTTTGGAACGGGCTGAGCTGTCCTAGGACTGTGGCATGGCCAACTCTAGGTGTGAACCTCGAGAAGAGCTGACTGCTTGTGCCACAACCAGAGGTCAGCTTCAAGAAAGGCTCATTCTCTACGCCTTGGTCCTCAGGGACCCCACATATAATTATCCCAGAAGGCCAGGGAAATCTAAGACAATGACAGCTCTACCAGCAGATATTTTAGAATTCAGAGCATCTCTTAACTGGCCAAAGGGCTTCGGAGACACCATGCCATCTCTGCTCAACACGGTACACACAAACAAAAATGACATTTTATTTTGAAGAACAAGATACAAAAGTACTGGGTACCCTGTCTAGCATCAGGCAGATCAGTAAACAAGATCTTGCATCTTTTACACGTTACAAGCAATCTCATCTTTTTAAAAAGTAATACTGAGATAGGGACCAGCGCTGTGAGGCAGAAATTGCCCATTTCAAAGCGGTGACTGGAGTCCTGGCTACTCCATTTCCGATCCAGCTTCCCGCTGGTGCACCTGGGAGGGCAGCAGCTACTTCCTGCCACCACATGGGAGATCTTGATAGGGCCACCGGCTTCCGGCTTCAGCCTGGCCCGGACCCAGCTGGTGCCACCCTTTGGCAAGTAAACCAGTAGACAGAAGATCTCCATTTCTCCATCCCCCATATCTACTGGTTCTGCTTTCAAATACATAAATCTTAAAAAAAAGAAAGAAAAAGACTGAATAGTGGTACCTGGCAGTGTGATGTTGGCAAAAATGGGCTGTCCGTCAACATTGAGAGTTGGCACAAACAGCTCAGTCTGGTTCACCAGAAGCCCATCGTGTGTACCCGCATCTCTGAAGAGCCACAGGTGACCTAGGGGACAAGCAGAGGCTGTGAAGGAGCCACATGGTTGCGGTCAGGCACTGTGTTCCGGTGCAATGAGCTCATTCAGTCCATACAACACAGGTCTGTGGCAGCAAGGGAGATGGACAGCACGTCCCTGCGGCTGCAAACGGGCTGCCGAGGTAGGAAAGGCAGGCACCAAACACGCAAACCACCAACACAGAGCTCACATGCATGACCCTGCACGGTGCTGCTGCAGGCAAGGCCACCGCCTGCCGCGAGAACGTCCCTGTGGGTGCCACTCCCAGCCCTGCTCCAGATCCTTGCTGAGGCCTGGGGAGGCCGTGCAGGACGGCCCTGAGCCGGGGGCCCCTGTAACCTCCCCTGTGGGAGACAGGGAAGAAGCTGGCCCTGGCCAGCACAGCCATCTGGGCAGATGGAAAGTCTCATGGCCCCGTCGTATTTACCCTCCATAACTCAAAGAAATAAGTAAGAGGGAGAAATGCAAAACAAAAGCACACCAGCAAGGAGCTACCTCAGTTACACTGACACACAGAAAAGGATGCAATCGGCATAGACAAAACGAACCCCAAGAACCCCAAGAGCCAGGGCTGTGCATGGAGGGGGCGGTGCAAATTACCCCCGAATTTAAAAACAAGCCCACTGCTCAGGAGGCAGCCCAGCCCCAAGAGTCTATTAAGGTAAAGGCCTCACAATGAACTGAGCAGGCGTCCTGGGCAGCAAATGCTCGACAAGCCGATTTGTATACCTATACACACATTTTCTAATTGAGGTAAAACACAAAATTTAACAATGTAACCATGTCGAAGTGTTCATTTCAGTGGCATTAAATGCATTTATGTGGAAACCGTATCCTAAAGTTTATATGAAATAAGGCACAAATATAAACTGTGGAGTGGAAAAAGTCCACACAGCTATGTCCGTAAGAGGACACTCCGGAACCGCGTCGTCGTCCTCGTGGAACGGCACAGGCTCGGGGTCCAGGTCTGAGAGGCGGTGCAAACGTCCCCCGAGTCCCGGCACCTGGCCCTCGCAGGTCGGCCGTGCACACCCGGCGGGCCGCTCCGCGGGGCCAGCGCAGACCCCACCGGGGAGCTGCCCACGCGGTCCCCGGCTCCCGAAGCCCCTGTCCCGGCTCGCACACTCCGGGGAGGCGCATAGCCCTCCGCGACCCAGCCCCGTACCCCGGTAGCTGTGCATTCGGCGGCCCGTGCCCGGCTGCATCGGGGGGTAGGGCTGCGGCTCGCCGTGGAAGTTGAGCCACAGCGGCAGCACGACGCGCGGGCTGCGGTTACAGAAGATGACCTGGGATGGCTCGCGGGTGTTCACCGAGCGCAGCACGGGAAGCGGCTGGTCGATCTCCATCCCGCCGCCCCAACCGCTGCGCTGCCGCCCCGACCTCTTCCGGAAGAGCAAGCCCGGAAACCGGAAGCCAGACCGGGTCGCGCGGGACGTCGTGGCGAGCGTGCGTGCGCGCTCCCGGGTCGCCGCGGTGCGATAGGGGTGCGTTGCTAGCCGTTCGCGCGTGCGCAGACGGATCTCCGAGCCAGCAGGAACTGGGACTGGGACACCCCAAAGCCAGGAGCTGAAAGTCAAACCAGCACCCTGTTTGTCCCAAAGTGATGTCCACAGGGTGCCGCGACAGGAGGCGGTTTGGCTTCCAAAGCCAATTCTTGTTATTTAAGATTTTATTTTTGTGCAAGGTACGGTGGCCTAGCGGCTAACGTCCTGTCTTGAAAGCACCGGGATCCTATGTGGGACCGGTTTCTAATCCCGGCAGCCCCACTTCCCATCCAGCTCCCTGCTTGTGGCCTGGGAAAGCAGTTGAGGATGGCCCAAAGCCTTGGGACCCTGCACCCACATGGAAGAACTGGAGGAGGGTCCTGGCTCCTGACTTCAGATCCACACAGCACCGGCCGTAGCGGCCACTTGGGGAGTGAACCATCAGATGGAAGATCTGTCTCTCCTCCTCTCTTTATATCTGACTTTGCGATAAAAATAAAATAAGCCTTCAAAAAAGATTTTTATCAGAAAGTCGGATATACAGAAAGAATGATCTTCCATCTGTTGATTCACTCCCCAAGCAGCCGCAATGGCTGGAGCTAAACCAATACGAAGACAGACTCTTCTTAGTCTCCCACGCGGGTGCAGGGTCCCAAGGCTTTGGGCCGTCCTCAACTGCTTTCCCAGGCCACAGGCAGGGAGCTGGATAGGAAGTGGGACTATTGTGACCAGAACCGGTGACCATATGGGATCCAGGCTCGTTCAAGACGAGGACTTTACCCAGTACGCCACCGCACCGGGTCCTCTGTTATTTCTTTACTTATCCAGACCAAGGTTTAAGGCCGAAAAATACTGGTCTGTTTCCATGTAGTGACATTTTACAGAAAAAAAGGGGGAAAAAAAGCTTGCCTTCTGCACACAATGTTGACCTACACCTGCATTGCTCCTGTGGTTTGCTTTCCTCGTGTCTCCCTCAAATGTCATTCTGGGTGGCCGAACCCTGACCGTGCTGCAAGACCCAGGAGAACAACCTGTTTCTGTTCCCATCAAGGCTGGTGCTTCACAGAGTTGACACACTACGTCCTCACTGCTGAGTACTTTCTGGATAAATGTTTGTCAAGGCTAAGCTGATGTATTTCTCATTTGTTAAACTGGACCATGTTACTTTTTTTTTTTTGGAAAGGCAGTGACAGAGGACAAGAGAAAAAGCCCCAAATGGTCATTTACAGCCAGAGCTGGGCTGGTCCAAAGCCAGGAGTGTGGAGCTTCTTCATCTCCCATGTCCCATTTGCTGTTGACATATACAGATATACAGAGAGGAAGATCTTCCAATGATTCTCTCCAAGTGGTCACAATTGCCACAGCTGAGCTTATCTGAAGCACGGAGCTTCTTCTGAGTCTCCCACACGGCTGCAGGGTCCCAAGGCTTTACCAGGCCACAAGTAGCGACCTGAATGAGAAGCAGGGTGGGTGGGATTAGAACCAATGCACGTATGGGATCCCAGCCAGTGCAAGGCCACAAGCAGGGAGCTGGATGGGAAGTAGGGCTGCCGAGATTAGAACCGGCAACTATAAGGGATCCTGGCGCCTGCAAGGCAAAGACTTTAGCCACTAGACCACAGTGCCGGACCCAAACATGTTACTTTTTAAGGTGGATGAATAGGGCAAGTGGCTACTTTAAGCCCCACTTCCTGAGTTTCCAATCCAGCTTGCTGCCAGTGTGCACCCTAGCAGACAGCAGCTGATGCGTTAAGTTCTTGGATCAGTCCAGTTAAGCCCCAGTTGCTCTGCAGGCATTTGGGAGGTGAACCATTGGCTGGAAAAAAATGTCAGATGCACCCTGGCATCACTACACCTGCTGCAGCTGGCACTGAGGCAATGACACATTAACCCTGCCCCAAGCAAACTAAATTAGATCACAGGAGAGGCTTAAAGGAGAGGAGGTAGGGTGGGGTCCTTGATACCTCCCAACAGGCATATAGAACTGCACACGGTTCAGACACTTTGGGGGTGGCAAGGGTTAAAAGGCCACTTCCTCTGCAGCTGCTGTTAACCTGCACCCCAGCCCAGTGTCCCAGTCCTTGCCCCCCACAGGGGAGATCCCCCCAGATGGAGTTTCAGACTTCCCACTCTGCTCAGCCCGGCCCGTCCCCAGCCATGATGGGCATTTGGGGTATGAAATGGTGGACAGAAAAATGCGTTTCTGTCCTTGCTTTTAAATAACAGCCCAGCCAACACTGAAAGTTTCCCAGGAAAGGCAGGCATAGACATGGGCCACTTGGCCTGATCCATCCCAAGGAGGAGAGAACTCCGTTGCATCCTTCCTTGTGGTGGTGAGGGGCATTCAGTTCAGAAAACCTGGGGACTGTCACACTGCCTCCTTCTCGTCCAAGGCAAAATGCACTGGGCCCAGCGGCTCAAGTCTTCGCCTTGCACATGCTGGGATCCCATGTGGTCGCTGGTTCTAATCCTGGCAGCTCCACTTCCCATCCAGCTCCCTGCTTGTGGCCTGGGAAAGCAGTCGAGGACGGCCCAAAGCCTTTGGACCCTGCACCTGCTTGGGAGAACCAAAAGAGGCCCTGGGCTCTTGGCTTCAGATCAGAACAGCTCCAGCTATTGCAGCTGCTTACGGTAAATCAACAGATGGAAGATCTTCCTGTCTCCTCCTCTTTGTATATCTGATTTTCTAATAAAAATAAATCTTAAAAAAAAAGTCCTATTCTTTAAATGAATGTACTGGGAAATATCCCTTATCCACCAATGTGCCTTGCACTGGGGGTTATATACTATCTGCCTACACTGCATGAACTGCTTTGGGGTGGAAATCAGTTCCAAACAGGAAATTTATCCTACAGACATTTCCCACACAGTTAATTACCTACACCGTTTTGATGCACTTGAAGTCAGACTTTTCAGAATTTCCCCTGTACGGCCAGCCCGTGGAGTCCAGAGCAGCTGAATCTGGGGTTAGTAGGCCCACCTGCACTACTGACGATGGGCTCAAAAGGTGTAAGGTGAGCGGGCATAGCAGCCAGAGCTCCACCAGTCCAGCCAGGACTTGCTAGGTCACAAGCCTCTGTGACCCTCGGGGCAAGACAGGCAACAAACACCCGACTCAGAGACCGACTCTGGCCAGATGACATCTTGTTCCAGGCCTGCACAGGAGGAACTGAGAACAAAAGGTACTACTCAACACCACACCCAGGAGAACTTGTCGGGGAAAGTTTGTGGCTAGTAAGATTTGAACAGAGGAAACCAGCATGCCCAAGGCAGAATGAATCCTATGTGAGCAAAATGGAGCTTCCACATGGGGATGAGCCCTTAGAAAGCCCAGCACAGATGTCACGTCTGAAAACCAGGGGGAAAAGCTTTACTCCTGCAGGCTGCAGTGTCTGGTTTCCACAGGAAGGAGACCCGGAGCATTTCCGTCTTGCACCGTGGTTCCGTGGTGTGTAGATGGAGTCTCCAGGTGCCAAGCAGCAGGTGGGACCACAGAGCAAGTCCTGTCCCGCCAGCTGAGCGCCGCCTGGTCCCAGGATGACTCGGCTCAGCCAGGAGTGAAGCAGCGCCTTGGCAGGTTTGATGTGGATGATCACTCCTCCGATCACGTCAGCCTGCCTCCAGCTCCTCTCCCCGCCACACTCACAGCAAGCAGATCAACTTGAGGAGTTTATTAAGGAAACATGAGAGGAAAAGGAGCCCCACGTGACAGAAAGAGAACTCTGAGAATGTCCTTTCGAGCCCAGTGGAGGCCTGGTCTTGACCTCCCCCAAGAAGAAGGAACTGGTGGCTGGCGACAGCACTGCCAAGGCGGGGGCAGTCTCAGCCAGGACTGCCCGCACCGTCCATCCGGGCATGAGGAGACTGCTGACAGGAGCAGTGCACAGGCCCTGAGGGCTGTAACAGAGTCTGAGAGAAGAAGGGGAGAAGCCGGCAGGGCCTGGACGCAGGGCCCCAGGCTTTGGGCTCTGGCAGCTTCCCAGACACCGACAGGTAGCCCCGCAAAGCGTGACAGGGAAGGTAGATGCTGCTGCTGTCACCAGCGTGCCCCGGACTTCTCCCCACATGCCACTCCACACGCCCAGATGCACATGGCAAGGCCCGCGGGCACACTTTTGAAAACAGAAAAACAAGAGAAAGCCCAGTTGCTCTTTAAGGAGATGAAGGCGCTGAGGCTGCTGGGGCCTTTCCCACGTGGCCTGCGCTCTGCGAAGCAACTTCCCAGCAGCAGCGCAGCAAGCTTCTAGGTGAGCGTCTCACCTTTTGTCACCTGTCAGGGAAAACCGACATTTAGAGACTCAAAACCACTGAGGGGCTTACAAGTCCCACTTCAACTCCTCCTAGACAGAGGGACATGGCAGGAAGACACCCACACACACGGCCCTGTCCCGCACTCACCCGTGCTTCGATGTATTCTATCCTCCGTTCCAGTGCCGTCAGCTTCTCATTTAGTGTGGCAAGTCGGGAACGACAAGACATGTCTGGGGGAGGGAGACACGTGCACAGGGTTAACGTTATGCACACACGGTGCCTGTGAACACGAGAGCCTCTGCAGGTTCCCTACTCCCGGCTCCAGATCTCCAGCCCCGCTCGCCTGCACCTGCGAGGAAGCAGCATGCGTGGCTGCATGAGCGCAGACAGCACTAAGACCAGGACCCGAGACCCTGGCTTATTCAGAGGGGTCCCGTCTGATCAGGTCACAAATGCTGACCAGAAAAGCAGAGGAAGTGGGTCAAAGGTGAGACAGTTGGAGATTGAAAGCGTGAAAATGACAACGCGTCACTGCTGGCTTTCACAGTAGAGGAGGGGCTGTGGCTGAAAGCCCCAGGCACCCCCAAGCTGCAGCAGTCCTCAGCTGCCTGCCAACCTCACAATGACATCAGGGAGCAGGGAAAGCAAGTGACAGGTAGAGCAGACAGGAGTGAGAAGGGCAGGCAGCCCAGGCCCAGTGACTGTCAGGGTTGGATTCCTGACTCACAGTAACCAAATGAATCCACGTGGATGCAGCCACAGGAAAGCAGCTCTCGGGCCCGCAGCGGTGGCCTAGCAGCTAAGGTCCTCGCCTTGCATGCACCAGGATCCCATATGGGCAAAGGTTCTAATTCCAGCAGCGCCACCTCCCACCCTGCTTGTGACCTGGGAAAACAGTTGAGGATGGCCCAAAGCCTTGGGATCCTGTATCTGCGTGGGAGACTCAGAAGAAGCTCCTGGCTTCTGGCCACTTCAGGAGTGAAGCAATGGATAGAAGATCTTCCTCTTTGTATCTCTTTCTCTCTTCTCTCTGTAAATCTGCCTTTCAAATAAAAAGAAATCTTAAAAAAAAAAGAAAGAAAGAAAGAAAAAGCAAAGAAAAAAAGGAGCTCTCACAGGCAGCCTAAAGATTTCAGGAGAAGACAGGCGGGAGGAAGGAAATGACTGGCGTGGGTGGGGAGGGGAGGCTGCCAACCCAGCGGGGCTGGGTGGGGTGGGGCAGTCTGGGAGCTGACCACTGTGGAGCAGGAGCTCAGCATGCCCTACCACCCGCTGCACAGACTGGGAACACACCTGGCACCCAGGGAAGCACCCTCGGGGCTGAAGAACAGCCCGGGGTTTCTTCCTCTGCTCTTTCTGATTTAAAAACACTTTTTTTTTTTTTTGGAAAGGCAGATTTACAGAAAGGAGAGACAGATCTGCTGGTTCACTCCCCAAATGGCCGCCAACACCCAGAGCTGAGCCGATCTGGAGCCAGGAGCTTCTTCCAGGACTCCCATGCAGGTGCAGGGTCCCAAGGCTTTGGGCCATCGTCTACTACTTTTCCAGGCAACAATCACTTGCAAGGCGAGGATTAGCTAACAAAGCCTTCAATACTAGGTCCTCAATTCCAACGTTGTTTCACTGCCTCAGTCAACATCTTCCCTTCGCAAACTTCTCCAACAGAAACTACCTGACTCTGTCCCCAGCACTCCCAAGCACCAGAGGACAGGGCACCTAAGCCTGGTTATCACCGCCCACCACTCCTCCATCACCAACTCAGCTATCTCCCAACCAGCTTTATTTTTAAATTCTGAAAACCCACTCTCTGAGACAGTCTCCCACACACTGATTCAACACTTAGTTAACAACTTTGCTTCTCACCCCGCCCCTGGCTGTTCTGCAAGTGCCTCCGCACCCGGCGTGACCAATCGGCATGCAGCTCCCCTCACTTGTGCCTCGTCCTGTCCAACCTTCTGGTCTGGGCTCACTCGGTTCACCGCACTCTGAGGCCTGCCCAGACGGCTGGGATTCTCCCTCTTCTGGATTTATACCTGACATTTATGCATGAATTTCCAATGTGCAAATCTGCACTGATTATCAGTTTCCCCTTTAGATAAGTATTTATCTTAATTTACTTTGATTTTATTTGGAACACTTTCCAAGGGCTAGCAACAGCCAGGGCAGGGCCAGGCCTGAGGCCAGAGCATAGAACCATACCCAGGTGGTCCCATATGGGTGGCAGGGATCCATCACCTGTCGTTTTTGGGATAAGCAGTCACAGCAAGCTGAACTGAAAGCAGAGGATGTGGCCATCTCAAGGGACAGCTTAACTTAGCCAAACGCCATCCCTCTCCCTAGATATAAGAATACTTGCCAGTTACTTAGAGTGCTGAAAGAACAAATGCCCATCACTACGGGAATAAGTTGATAAAACATGGTACAGCCAGGAGGCCCGTGGCTCAGTGGGTTAGTCCAGCACCTGGGCAGATCACCACGTTCTCAGAGCCCTGAGTCCTCATCCAGCCTGCTGCTGCACTGGGAACCTGAAACCCACAAGACCCAGATGGAGTTTTGGGCTAAGCTCAGACTGGCCCTGGCTGTTGTGGACATTTGGGGATGGAAGATCTCTCTAAGATTTATTTATCTTGGAGGCTGGCACAGGGAAAAACATTCATGCCACAAAGCCACAGACTTGTAATTTGTATTGTATACTTGCTCCATCACTAGGCAAGAGATTTTACTTTAAAAATGAAACATTGTTCTTTATTTGAAAGGCAGGGAGAAAGAGCTCCCCCTAAAGTACTACCATGGGCAGGAACCTGGCCCAAGCTCCTCATCTTCTCACCAAGGTCTGGTGTGGGAACCCAGACACGGAGGCCCTGCCTGCGGATGCAGGGCTGCGCTTCCCGTTCAGACATGCCACCCCAACCCGCGGCCTTCACTGCCAGGCCAATCCTGCACCCCGTTATCCTTTTAAAAGTCTCTTTACTGACATACAAGTTACCTACCTTTGTGGTCACCCACATAAACAGTGACAGAATTCAATGGCTTCTACACATGCACACAGCGTTGTACCACCATCCTCATTGGTTACATGTCCCTCCCATCCTGCTTCTCCCCTGTCCCAAAGCCACCACCACTTGACTCTAACGTCCTGTTCCAGAAGCTCTGCCTTGGTTTTTCTCCTTACCTTCCGGGACCACATTCTCTGACAGATCTAGCATCCTGCTTTCCCTGACATGCGACCTCTTTCTGTCACGACTACCCCAGATGTCTTCTTAGCTGGCTGCTGGAAGCTCAGGAGCACACGATGTGGGCGTTCCGGGAATGGCAGGAACATAAGCGCATACAACCTGTCATCTCCCACGACAAAAGGACACACCAAAATGATGGGGGAAGCAGCAGGAGGGGGGCCTTCCTGGAGGCCTGCTTGGCTCTGTCAATCTGGTTCTCAATCAGATTCCAGGAATGATCCCTGGCTGCATGCCTTCAGCTTAGTGGTTAAGAGAACTGTGTCCCACACCCTGACTACGTGACGCCCAGCCTTGCTCCGGACAGCTCCTGGGAGGCGGCACGGGATGGCTCAGGCCCCTGGACCCTGCCACCCATATGGATGACCTGGAGTGAATTCCCAACTACTAGCTCCAGATTGTGGTGTTTGGGGAGAACCAGTGGGTGGGTAGGAGTTTCCCGCTACTGGCCCACATGGATAAGCCCTGCTGAGAAGCAGGGAACGTTCAGTTCTAGAAGCTTTGGCCCCATTTCAGATCCATTAACTACGCACTGGTTCAAACACAACAGCCCGGGAGAGCAGGCAGCAGCTGGGAGCTCCATGGGCCCACCAGGGCAGTCCGTTCCATCTGCTATGCACCTCGCCTGCCGACACACAGCACGGAGCAGGCATCTCCTCTTCACCAGTGCTGCCTTTTCTGGAATTAATAAGGAGGTGAAACTTATTTCTCCAACAAAAGCCCACCTTTCTCTGAGGAGTGGGTACTATGTCTAGTCTCATTTCATTCCCACAGCATCTGACACACAGATGGTACCATGAGCACATTCTACTTGTTGATTAAGTACCAAAAACGAATTCTCTGAAATAGTCACGTTATTCTTTTCTCCTGCTCATAATTCCCTGCACGTATTAGCTTTAGAACTGGGGGAAAGTACAAAAATAAAAAGCTGAGATCTATGAGGATCTATTTTTAGAAACCCCCCCAGCACAGAGGCCTGTGTGGAGATGCTGGCGCTGCATTATGTTCAGGCGTGTTCCAACGTGGGAGACCCTGGCTCCTCTGCACAGATGGGGCCACACAGGAACAGCTCCCCTTCAACCTCTGCCAACTCTGTGGTCAGGGGGCTTCAGGACAAAGCTACCCTGAAGGGGCACGCTGGGCATCAAGATGGAAAATTCTGGATTGCTCACACTTGAAAGCCACAGCCTCAAGGCTGGTCTCAACACTGCCTGGTTTCTCGGCCCGTGTTAGTCTTCGGCAAAACTCCCCATTGTGACACTGTCCATTTTCAGGAACTTTCCTTGAGCACTCCTAAACATTAAGTCCACTTGCTGGGACATTCAGCAGAAACGTGCCCTCTGATACTGGATGGCAGTTTGTCCCAACAGGCACATTAACCACTATGCTAAATCGCCACACCAATTTGCTTTGATTTTTCTCCCACAAAGATTTTGAAAGGCAGTGATGGAGAGAGGAAGACAGAAAAAAATCTTGCCTTCACTGATGCACTCCCAAATGACTGCAGACCTCCCCAAGCCGGAACTCCGGCAGGAAAGCAGGTGGCAGAGACCCAAGTCCTCAAGTCACATCAACTGCCCCCCAGGATGAATTAGCAGGATGCTGGGTCGGAAGCCAAGAAGCCACGATTCAAGCCAGCATTCTGATATGGAAGACAGGCATCCCAAGCAGCGGCTTAACTCACGGTGCTGCCACCCGCCCGTGCCTTAACTTCCAAAATTCTGTATCATAATGCTGCTATTTCTTATTTGGAAATGTTTGATGTACTAAATTAATTTTCTACCATTTCCAGAAACCCCACCAAACATCTGCTGAGACAATCACTTTAATGGAAGACAGTAAGCCAAGGGAAGCTAAATCTTAGGCTCCTCCAGATCCTTAGTCCAGCTCCTACCAGACACCCAAAACACAAAGGAGTGGCTTGCCCTCCGCTGATTCAGAGGGTAGACCCAACCAGCGCAAACAGGTCACAGACAGACGCAGAGCCTCAGTCTCCCAGCAGCATCTCACTACACCACCAAGACCCACAGCGAGGACAGAGGCACCACATAGCGTCCCCACTGCAAGAGCGGCCAGGCTGACTCAGTTTCCAATGCTTTGGAGTCTGGATGCACCTATGCCACAGACCTATCAACTCTATCAATCAAGTCTTCTCATTCTGCTGCCAAAAACTTCCGGCAATTTCTCCCTGCTCCTCCAAAGCCTCCATCAGTCCACCTGGTTCCTCGGCATGGAATAGTCTTGGTTACTTTTAGTCTGGTTGCTTTTACCGGGTTCTTCCTCCGAGGTGAATTCATTGTGAGAATAGTGAAACAATTTGCCCTGAACTTTTAAAGCTTTTGAGGAAACCCGGAGAATCTGAGCAGTAAGTCGGTATTTCTAGAATGTTTCCGAGTCACGCAGATCAGATTTACCCACTTACTTTTTTCCCCAATACACCACACTCCTTTGCTTGGATTCCTCAGTCCCAGGACACATGAACTCTGTGACTTGTCACCAACCCTGCCCACTGTCACTGTGACATGACACACGCATAAGCAGTGTGGGGACACACACACTCTTTCCCCCTCATGTGCTCAGTCCCTGGCCTGAACACACCGCCACACCTCACAGGATGGCAGAGCACAGAAACCCAGTTCGTTCACACTGTCCCCATGCTGTCACTCCCTCCCCTTCAAGATGAGAACTTCCTGGGGACAGGTGGTGGTCTAGACGCTGCACCCCGTAGTAGGGGCTGGGCCTGAGTCCCACCTCTGCCTCCGACTCCAGTTCCCCACTCAGACTGCAGCAGCTTCGTGGGGGTCACACACTGAGTGCCCAGCACTTGCTTTCCGCCTGCTCTGCCCTGTTGCAACCATCTCATCAAGGCAGCGAATTAGAGGATGAGGGGGCTCTGGCTGCTCGCTTCTGTTCACAACCTCAGGGCTGCTGAGTGAGGAAATGGCTCCTCCTGTGTCCTTTGGGGCCAGCCTTGCTGAGAGCCGAGTCTCCTGTTGGTGCAGCACACCATAAGGGCGACAGTTCGAGGCCGGCTGCACCACCTCCACTCGGCTCCCTGCTGATGCACCTGGGAAACCTGGGGAAGGCCGACCAAGGGCTGGGGTCCCCGCAGCCCTGTGGGAGACCCCAAGGAAGCAGCAGGCTCCTGGCTTCTGCCTGGCCCAGCCCCAGCCGAGGCAGGCACCAGGGAAGTCAACCAGCGGGCTGAAGACCTGCCTCTCTAATAACTGGTACTCCCAAATAAATACATAAATAAATGGTTACTTATATTAAAAAAATAAAAAGGAAAAAAGACCTGACTCTGCATTGCTTTATGTATGCATACATAACACGCACAAGTCGGATTCCCCTACTTAAAGTCGCTGAATTAGCTAAAGGAACCTTCGTGCCACCTGCACATCCCGGGGGTCAAGCCAAAGGGTCTCGCGCGATGCCCCGAGGACCCAGGGAGCCGGCCAGCTTCCACCGCCCCGGCCACGGGACGGAGCCCACGGCAGGCGGACACCGCGCGAGGCCCGTGAGCTCACCCTGCGGCCGGAGAGCTCCGGGGAGGCTGCCCAGCGCAGCCGCGGGGTCCCGGGAGGACGGGGGAAAGCGGGGCCTGAAGGAGGAAGCGCAAACCGGCGAGGGCCGAGGGCTCGGGGCAGTCCACGGAGGCCTCCCTCCTCCCCCACTGACCGAACGAGTTGAGAAAGTCCGCGATTTTCTTGATGCTGCTGGTGATAACCTCAATGTACTCCCGGTTCGCCCAGTCCTGGTGAATCTCCCGTTGCACCGGATCCTCCTGTCCCGCCATGGCGGCCGCCTTGAGGAAGACTGTCTGCGCAGGCGCCGCGAGGCCCCCCCACCCGGGAGGCAGTGCGCCTGCGCCTCCAGCCCCAACCCGCCCCGGGGCACGCCAGGAAGCTCGGGCAGCGTGATGCGCCTGCGCAGCGTCACGTCCCCGCCCGCGTCGGCGCCCGGCTCCCACGCCCCGGAAAACAGATGCCGCGATTGCGGGGGAGATATGTGGTGCGCCTGCGCGCCGCCCGCCCACGCCCGCTGCGGTCGTTAGGGGGCGCCCGCGCTCCTCCCGCCAGCTTTGTCCGGTCGGCTGTGAGGTGGGCACCGTGCGCTCAAGACGGCCAGTCGTCTTTAAAGCACTTTCCAGTACCACCACCGCGCGTGTAGCAAACAGCTTTCTTTTTTAGTGATGGAGGGGCTGAGGTGAAATTGGTAGACTGACAAATTTCCTTTCAGAAGGAAATCTGTAAATTGATTAGATCTGTTAACAAATTCAAACCTTTTGATCTTTCAGTAAGGAGATAAGTCACTTGAAGAAAGATGCTGTCTGCAACATTATCTGTTCATGCTACAACCACCGAACCTCCCCAGTTGAGGGTTAAAACAGTTAAGGCAATATTTTTAAAGAAGTATATATATTTATATATTACTCTCATTACAATCATCACTTGAATGACAGTCATTTAGGGGTAATATATTAAATATTTTTAGATATTTATATTGTTTCATATACATATTTTTTAAACCACAAGCTTTTAAGTGCCAATTACCGGCACCTGGCAACATCGAGACAGGAATGAAACCTGAGGAAGAAAATACAAAATTTTTCTTTAATCATTGCAACTCTGCTAAAATCGTGACTGGTGGGTGGCAATAGGAGAACTGAACCCCAAATGCCAAAACGGGAATTGCTAAGGCAGTGGAACAGACAATTTTCATTTCAGTGAGGCTTTTCAATCTGGTATGCAGTAAGTACCTTTGACTTGAAGGAGTCAGTTTCCAGCAGTAGCTAGGAAGAAAGCAGTCAGCCCACTCCTATACAGATGGTTTTATTCTCAGCTGAGCCTCCCAGAGCCTGTGTGGGGTAAGGGGCATCACAGCTCTCGCCTTAGAACCTCTCGCAGTCACTGTGGGAGAGCGGTTCTCCCTGACAGTTGGGAACACAGACCCCCCATATACACTTACTGGTCCACTCCCCTAGTGCCCATACCAAGCCCTGAGCTGGGAGATCCACCGGGCCTTTCACCTCGGAGCAAGTCTGCTCACCTGAGCCCCGGCGGACCTGAGCAGGCAATCAGGAGACTTTGGTGTGGAACACGGGGAGGGGATTGCCAAGCAGCCACCTCTCACGCCGATTTCTGATTTTTTTTTTTTAATGTGTGAGAGACAGACTCTCTTTGGTGGTCGGGTGGTCTGACCCCCCAGGCTATCCTCCTCAGTCTGTCTCCCTTAGGAGCACCTGTCCTGCCAGCTGTGCCTTCTGCACTCAGCATGCACAGTTCCACGCAGACAGGGAGGCAGCCTGCCAGCTGTCTGCTGCAGCCGCAGGCTGCACACAGGGAACTGGGGATGAAGGAGCCGCCCACAGCAGGTGTCGGAATTCATGCTGTAGTCACACACAAAGCAGAGGGCTGGTCGGGGAGTCGAGGGCGGATATGGACCGTTCTCTGCTAACTCTGCACCGAGCCTGCTTTCAGGGCTGGGGCCGCAAACCCAGCTGCACAGCTCTGACCACTGCCTTGCGGCTGGGAACCTGTCCTCCACCACCTAAGCACAGGCACACCGGGACGGTGGCGTGGGGACAGGAAGCGTGAGGATGGGATTCGAACCCGCTGCGATGTCCCAAGGAAGGGCGGAGAGGGGAGCTCCCAGCGTGGTGCCTCGAGCCTGACCCGCCCCTCTTCCAGGTCTCGCGCTCCCCCGTGGCCCTGGGTCATAAAGGCGGTTGCCAGGCGCCCCGCGGAGGAAAGATGCGTCCTGGAGTCGCGGGCCCCCACTCTGGAGCGTGCGGCCCACGGAGTTCAGCAGGTGAGCCGCCGCCGGCCCGATGGTGGGACTGGGCCCGGCTCCCGCCGCCTCCTGCGCCTCCGCCGGAGCTGCCGGGCCCCGGCCCCGGTACGGACAAGCTCCCTTCCCCCCGCGGGGTCTCAGCTGCACTCCGCCACTGTCGCGCCCTTTCTCCGGTTGGGGTGAGGGGTGGGAATCAAGAGACAGGATGGAAGGGACGCCGGTTTGTTCAGAGAAGCAGGTGTTTTCCACTGGGGACCTGGGAGCAGAGGGCAGCGTGGTGGAGATGGGGTGAACAATCTGTATTTAAACCTCTGCTGAAGGGGTCGACAGACCTCGGTGGGAAGCCCACTTGCCTTGCGCCCCTCCTACATGGGCTCAGCTAGGCAGAGGAAGCCTTTCACCTCTCCAAAGACCGAGCCTTTTGTTAATAACTGTCTGGGTGTAGCTGAATCACTCCTCTTTCCCAGTCCCGCCCAGGTCTGGGGGTCCCTGAGGCCAGGATGGGTCCAGGCTTGCACAGCCCCTCCCAGGCTGCCAGTCTCTCCTGGGAAACAGCCAGGATTTGGACACTGGGTAGCTGGGCTGGTGGATCAGAACCCTGGCACATATCCTGTGTGATGGCCATCAGACCATAGGTGTGAGATCTCGCAACCAGTTCCTTTTAAACAAACTTTACAAACTGTGGTAGAGTTCAACCTTTTACAGCATTTCCGGGGCGATGCTTGGATGGAGTGTGGCCAAGATGAGAGAGAGAACAGCGGTGCCACTTAACACCTGGCAGGTAGCAGGTACTTGGCACATATTAGCTTTGCCTGAACTCAGCAAAACCCCTTTTGTTCTGGTAATTTGAGAGAAGTCTAAATTAGAGTTGGCTAAATGTTGAGCTAGCAGTATTCCCCAGCCTTGTCCTTCATCTTCAAAGACAACCAATCAAGGTCATAACCAGCAGCTATCCCTTAGAAAAACAGACAACCCTCGCCGGCACTTCTGGGATGTCCACCCCTCCAAGTTGCCTTCTCCCTGGGGGACTCTGCCTGGAGTAATTCACTCAGAGGGCACAGAAGCAGCCAGGCTTTTTGAGCGGCTCCCTGGGCTGGAAGTGAGATGGGTCAGGTATGAGAAAGGCGGCTGGGCCCACACAGTTCTGATGCTGTAGGCCAAAGGGGAAGAACAGTTGGCATTTCCACAAGTTTCCCAAGTAGTCTGTTTCTACTTTGGTAGGCGAATGCTGGGAGAACCTCTGAGACAAGGCTTTGCTGAGCAGCTCATCTCATACGAGGAGGCCTCACGGGAGGTTCAGGCAGCCACCACCATCCTGGAGGGGCAGACTATGCTGTTAGCAAGTCTGGAGTCAGAAGAAGTCCCCATGGTGCAAGTGCTTAGTTCATTTTATTTTATTTAAAAGATTTATTTATTTTTATTGGGAAGGCAGATATACAGAGAGGAAGATCTTCTCATGGTTCACTCCCCAAGTGGCTGCAACAGCTGGATCTGAGCCAATCTGAAGCCAGGAGCCAGGAGCTTCCTCCAGGTCTCCATTTTGGGTGCAGGGTACCAAGGCTTTGGGCCGTCCTCGACTACTTTCCCAGGCCACAAGCAGGGAGCTGGATGGAAAGCAGGGCCGCTGGGATTAGAACTGGCACCCATATGGGATCCCAACACGTGCAAGGCGAGGACTTTAACCACTACATTATTGTGCCGGGCCCGCCTAGTTCATTTTAGGCCAAACCCATTTCCCCTGTCAAGTCAACTAGGACCGACCTGCAGAGGCTTCTGGGCAAGTTGAAGCTTTGGTGGGTACAGCAGTCACCACACTTGATATCTGTCAGGCTCCCCAACTACTCCCCCTTAGCACACACGAACACCCTGATCCCGGGTTCTACTCCTGGGAACTACAGTTCAAGTCTGTAATGCGGAGGTAGGATGGGTCTGTGTGGCTGGGAGCAGCTGAAGCACTCCTCCTCGGCAGCCGCTCCAGGACACCCTGTGTTCTCATTCCTCTCCTGCAGGACTGTCAATGGCAGGATACCAGCTCTGGTCACCATGGACCCCACTGGACGAGAGCTTCCAATGGCTGCGGCATACGACACCTACACCTTCCTCCAAGCACCCCTTCAGGGCCTCCCCCTGTTTCCCGCACACCCCTTCTGACCTTGAAGTGCAGCTGTGTTTTCAAGAGGTCACTCTGGTCCTAGACAGCCCGTTCCTGGAAACTGGGGTGAGTCCCAAGTTACCGCAGCATACGTCAGAGCTCCGAACGCTGAACAGTAAGAAAGGCCTGGTCAGGAAGCCCCAGCCTGTCCGCCTCAGGGGAGTGGACTCTGTCTTTGGCAGGGTCATCACGGCCCAACCTCCAAAGTGGACTGGAACCTTCAGAGTTTCCGACAAGTCGGCCTTCTGCAAAATCATCAGCAGGGAGCACCAGTGGCCCACTGGGCTTAAGGAGCCTCAGATTCAGATGACGGTGACGATGTGCAAACAGATGCTACGCTCCATCCTCTTGCTGTACGCGACATACAAGAAGTGCACCTTTGCCTTGCAGCACTCCAAATGAAGAACCTCTGCAGCGCCCTCTGGTGTGCACTTGAGGCCTACGGAAAACTGTCCACGCGCACCCAGCTGCCTTGGCCCAGCCGGCCTGCTTTTCTGTCGGGCAATGAATGATAGCCGAGGAGCCCACTGATTGCTTTTGTCTCCAGTGATACAATGAGCGATGACACCTCCTTGGGAGAACAGCCATTTAGGAGTCAAACAAGCACTGACTTTGTACATGGAATAAAGAACCAATAAACCATACCCACAGTGAGCCCTGTGTGAAGTCACTGTGACCGTGAGATGACGTGCTGGGGGACAAGGTGGTCAGGAAGTGGTGGATGGATGTCTGGTCGCCAGAAGATGAAGGGGTCAAATAGGTGGGCTAAGGGTTAGGTTTTTTTTGTTTTTTAAAGATTTACTTATTTTTATTGCAAAGTCAGATTTACAGAGAGGAAGATCTTCTGTCTGATGATTCACTCATCAAGAGACCGCAACAGGCAATCTGAAGCCAGGATCTGAAGCCAGAAACTTCCTCCAGGTCTCCATTTTGGGTGCAGGGTACCAAGGCTTTGGGCCATCCTTGACTGCTTTCCCAGGCCACAAGCAGGGAGCTGGATGGGAAATAGGGCTGCCGGGATTAGAACCGGCGCCCATATGGGATCCTGGCGCAATCAAGGTGAGGAGTTTAGCTGCTAGGCCACCACCTTAGGCCCTAAGGATTAAAAAATCGTTTTAAAAAATCATGTAATAGTGACAACAAAACCAGCCACCCCGCCAGTGTTGCAAAGCACACAGAAGGTCAGAAATAAACACAGGCACTGCCGGGGCTCTCGGGCACACATCTCCAGCTGGTAAGCACTCCTGATGTTGCTTTCCAGAAATTATCTCTGGGCCCAGCATGATAGCAGAGTTGTTAAAGTCCTCACTTTGCATGCACTGGGATCCCATATGGGTGCTGGTTCTAATCCCAGCATCTCTGCTTCCCATCCAGCTCCCTGCTTGTGGCCTGGGAAAGCGGTTGAGGACGGCCTAAAGCCTTGGTACCCTGCACCCGCTTAGGAGACATGGAGGAGGTCCTGGCTTCGGATTGGTTCAGCTTCAGCCGTTGCAGCCACTCGGGGAGTGAATCATCAGATGGAAGATCTTCCTCTCTGTCTGTCCTCCTCTCTGTGTATCTGCCTTTCCAATAAAAATCTTTTAAAAAAAATTATCTGATAGCTTTCTTGTAACTACATCACAGGCATAACTCAAAAAGTAGGGGTAAATTCACACTACAAATGCAAAGCCAGTGATGTAGATGCTTTCTCCCTTTTATCTTACACTGACACAAAATCTTTTTAAAATCCAAAGTATAGCCAAACTATGCGTTTTGACCTTTGGTGGGCACTGGCAGGAAGTTAGTCATCCATCCAAAAAGACCAAAGGTCTTCTTGTCTCAAATGAATATGATCTGTGTAACAGGAGACCTGATCTGTATCTATGTTGCCAACGGTCCCAGGACTTCTCTAAGGTCTACTTCAGTTCATCTAATAAGAAAGGATACAATGAAGGAATGAAGTAACTGAGGTACAACTTACAACAGTTTATTTGCAAAATTAGAACAAAGGTAAATGCTAGAATGAACCAAGACATTTCAGCTGCTCCGTTGCGCCTGGGCCCCTGCCACCCATGTGAGAGACCCACGTGGAGTCCCAGGCTGCTGGCTTCAGCCTGGTGTGAGCCTGGCCATTAGCATAGAGAACAAACAGATGGAAGATCTCTTTGTCTCTGCCTTTCACATAAGCAAGATTTAGAAATTATTAAAAAAAAAATTCAAAACTTGTTTTGAAGACCCAACATCATGACTCCAAGTGTTTTCTGCAGGGTGGCACTTCCCTGATGTAAAAGTCAACACCACAACCCAGGCACCCTGGGCGGGAGCGAATATTAGACAAGCCGTGATGCCCACCGTTCATCACATGAAGCCCACTCTTCAAGGACAAGCAGGGGGCTTCCTGCTGCAAAAGCTGGCAGCTGACGGCAGACCCAGAATGCTACTGCCAAGAGGGCCAGGGTCTCTGGAACCTCTAATCAGAGCTGTCATCACTCTCGTTGCTCTCCTGCTCCTTTTCTTCATCACTCACTGCATCTCCTTCGTCTTCGTTACCATCCTAAAGCGCAAAGGGCAAACAGGTATGAGGTCATCATCCCAGGGACCCTGTGAACTGACTGAGCGCGCCCACAGGATGCACAGCTGTGCTATGACCAGCTGACACCACTCGTCAATCAGCAGCTCCTGCAAGTGCTCTCCACATCATGACGACTGAGCCAAGACCACAGACACTGAATCATGCCATCTGCAATGTGAGCCAGCCTACGTGCTGCTCAATCAATAAGCTATGGTCCCCCAGCTTCACTGCACATATGTGACAGGTACAAAATAGGCACTTTGTGCAGAACGAAACAGGTGTTCTAAGTCCCAGCATATCTCAACAGGAAACAGCACAAGATATTGTCTGGCTTGACACTTTACTACAGGAAGTTTGCTTAGGAAAAAGCAGCCAGCTTGAATTCTTTGTGAAAACAAGGTAGATGTGGGGTGTATTAAGCAAATAAAAGCAAGGCCCATGTACATGAAAAGACCCTTCATACTAAACCATCTGTCTGCATCAACTCCAAACTGCCCAGAGAAAGCGTCAGAGAGCGCTACAACCAAAATCCCCTGGGTCCACCGCAACTGAAGTCTATTTTACTTTAAATTTCAAAAAACATTTTATCACAGAACAAAACAAAACAATACAAACTTTTTTATTCCTTCTTGGTGGTAGTTTCTGACTCGGTACCATGACTTTCACCAAATGATTTTTGATTTCTACGTTCAAATGTGTTTAAAGCATTTATCTCACCTTTGCATCAAAGAGCACCTCTTCCCTGTCCCCTTCTAAAAGTGTCAGATAAGAAACTGTGAGAAGAGCTGGCTGCAATGGGAGAAAATCTTCCACAGAAGAAATGAGAGGCAGTCCAAGCCTGTGCGGTGGTCCTCTGGCCCAGAAGTTCTGCACCTCCCATGACCCAGGCAGAGTGGACAAAGCACGCCTCTAACACTGGATTCTGGCTCCTCTGATGGACATACCTCTGCGGCTTTGCTCCTGGAGACCTGGGATGACTCATCAGCCTCACTTTCCTCTCCCATGCTCTCCTGGGAATTCTGGGAGAGAATCTCTTCACCCTAAAGGAAGATGAACCAAGACAAGTAGTGCACTGCAACAGACACATCTAGAATCTTGAGGAGGAAAGGCTGAGCATGCAAGGAGATATTCTAGCCATTCAAAAGCAAGTCAAACATGAACCCCAACTGTGATCCAACCCTTCAAAACGAGGAAGTCCAACGGGCTGGTATTATGGTGCAGCACGTTAAGCTGTCCCGAGATGCTGGCATCCCGTATGAGCACCAGTTCCTGTACCTGCTGCTCTCTTCTGCTAATGTGCTTGGGAAAACAGCTGAAGATGGGTTCCTGCCACCCATGGGGGAGGCCCAGGGAAAGTTCCAGGCTCCTGGTTATGGCCTGGGTTGTGGCCATGTGGGGAATAAACCAACACATGGAAACCATCTGTCTCTCTCACCTTCTAACTCTGCCTCTCAAATAAATAAACAAATCTTTAATAATAATAACAACAATAATATTAAAAGGATGTTTAGTCTAAGGTTTCTGACAGTTCAAGGAGTTCTACAACAGTCAGTCATTGCACTTTAATATCACACTAGACTTTAAAAGATCAGACTGTACTGGTGACTCAGTTAATCCTGAAATTCCCCCAACAGCTCAGTGTCTATAAACCCCAATCCATCACCCATTCAGGGACAAGCAGAGGATGAAGCACACTGCATTGCAGCGATTTAGGGATATCAACTCTGGGGAGCCAGTGTGATGGTTCAACTGGCTAATACTCCTCCTGCAAGCACCGGTAACCCATATGGGTACTGGTTCGTATCCCAGCTACTGCACTTCCCATCCAGCTCAGTTTGTGGCCTAGGAAAGCAGTGGATGATGGCTCAAGTATCTGGGCCCACATCCCTCTGGCGGGAGACCTGGATGGAGTCCAAGGCTCCAGGCTTCAGTCTAGACCAGCCACGGCATCCATTTGGGGAGTGAACCAATACATAGAAGATCTCTATCTCCCTGCTCTTCTTCTGTTGCTTTTTAAATAAGTAAATAAATATTTAAAGAGAATAAGTGCATCACCACCATTTAGATTCAAACCCTGGCTCCATTCATTTATTGCTGAATAATCTTATAGTTATTTAAATTTCTGACCTTGAGTTTTTCATAGATCCACCTCATATGGCTGATATAAAGAAAGAAAACTAACTCCCTGCCGCTTTATTCTTTCCCTAGGCAGGAATTACGTGCACGATGAGAAGGGCTTGGATCCTATCGGAAAGATGCTATGACTGTGGGTGTTTGCTTTGTGGTTCCAAAGTGCCTGCATTCGACACCCAGCTCCACGCCCAACCCAGATGCTGGGGGATAGTTGGATGCTGGGGGATAGTTGGATGAAGTATCTACCTCTCAGCTCACGTGTGTACCTCTTATTACACGCACTGAAGGGAGTGCATGGGCAGATGCGAGTGCGTGCTGTCTGCCTCTGTCTGGAAGGAAGAGCAATAAAGAGACAGGAGAGCGGGACAGAGAAAAGACAGGAGGGTTCAAAGACTCACGTGCTGGAACCCCACAGCAGTGTTTAACAGAACTCGGGACTCGAGTCACTCAATGGAAAGACCTTAGAAACGCTCCTTCATCAGAATTAGACAAGGTAACCTCAGGGATACACATGGGCTTGCAGAGGGGAAACCCAACAGGTTCTGGTTGGTTTGCTTTTGGTTTTTGAGATTTCATTCTCTTCACATTTATTTGAGGGCAGTTAGGGCAGACTTTTATTCTACTGGCTCACTCCCCAAATGACTACACCAACCAGGACTGGGTGAGGCTGCATCAAGCAGACTAGAATTCCCCTGGGTCTCCAGGTGGATGCAGGGGCCCAAGCACTTGGGCCTTATGCCAGTTAGTTTCCCAGAGAGTTATTACAGCAGCCAAGCCTCAAACCAGCACCCAATGGGAGTCTAGCATTGCGGGCAGCAGCTTTACCCACTATGCCACAACACTGAGGCCCCAGCAAGTCTTCCTCTGCGCGGAGAGGCTGATTAGACTGACAAGGATTTCAGATGACTTCCCATACAAACTTTCTCTTTCCAGGTTTATTTAAAAACTAGAATAATAAAGAGGGAGGAATGTGTATGTGTGTACGCACGTGTGCATGTAAGGGGTGGGGAGCAGGGAAGGGGGAGGGGAGGGGAGGGGAGGGGAGGGGAGGAGGGAAGGGGAGAGGAGGGGAGAGACAGAGAGAGAATCAGAATAAGAATATGAATCTTTCCTGCACTGGATCATTCCCAATCAGCTACAGCCAGCAGAGCTGGTGCCACTCCATCCAGTCTCCCACATGGGTACTAAGGGTCCACACTCAGGCCATCCTCCACTGATTTCCCAGGCACAGACAGGCAGCTACACAGGAAGCAGAGCAGCTAGAATCACAAGCCAAGGCTTAACCTATTACGTCACAATGCTGGCATCCCTTTCCTAATTTCTTATCCTGCGAGAGAAACACAGGAGTGGGAAATGACTAAGAGCGGCACCCAGGCTCACCTGCAAGTCCCGGTTCTTCAGGTTACCTAGCCAGAAAGCCTCTCTACAGTTGTTAAGGACCAGCATGGCTTTGACCCTGCAGACCAGCAGCTCCAGGCTCTTTTTGAGCAAAGGCACATGTTTGGTGAGTCTGGTGTCCTGGTGAATCTGAAAGGAAACACACACCCATCTCATCTGCATTCACACCATGCTTTCACTTTCCTATACAAAATCGTTCGATTTCTCGACACCTCAGACACTGAGTCAGAGCAGAAGCCCTGAGCATTTGAACAGACTTATTCCAGCAAACAGCCAAGAACAGTAGCTGGCAATTTCAAAGCTTAGAAGACATGCCAGCAAAGCCTCTATATCCGCTTTAAAACTTTCCAACCACTCCTGAGTCTCCCTAAGTACCCTTCACATGGTGCTGTGACACACGAGGCAGCTCTGCTGTGCTTCTGCAGACAGGAAGCAGGGGAGCTTCGCCAGGGGAAGCTGCTAACGCCACGATGTTCTCAAAACAGAGGTGTGACCCTTGACAACTAGCACGGCTGAAAAGCTCTAAGGAGGGCTATCTCCAGCAGAGACCCTGCTTGCGCGACTCCCCGCCCCGGCCCCGGCCACTGTCAGCAACGCCTCCAGAAGCACCTCTCATAGGAAAAGGGGCAAGCTGCAGATGCAGAATTTCCCCTCTAGGTAACAGCAACCACTTTCTCCGCACTCACAGATGTGACTGGTCTGAATCACCTGCCTTTCACAGACACTGCCCGGACAGGGGCTCAAAAAAGGGCCCCAGGGTACCCCCAAGAGCACCTGCAGGCAGGCTGGAGGTGTGAGCTGCCGACTCCTACCTTGGAATGCCCGCACACATGATGAAGCATCCGAGTATCCAACTGGAAGGCTTCCAGTAAGCTCAGCACATCCTCCTAAGACCAGTGACAAACACAAATGCTGAATGAAGCTCTAATTTCATGTATTTTTAAATGTTATTTTCAATTAACATCTAACACTTGTAAATTATTTGAGTACATTATAATTTTTTCACAAATGTGTACAACAAAACATCCTTTCTATTTGTTTCACATTTTGAGCCTCAAATTTCATTCTAAGTGCAAGACCTTGCAGCCAAGGGTTTCCAAGCTGGTACATGCTGGCTCATCTGTGGATGATGGTTTCATTGAAGTAGTGACAGCCGACTTCTGCCCTCAACTCTCCCACTCTGGACCTTTGTGTAAATCGGAGTTGTAAGACCAGGTGTAAGGTTTCAGTTCTAAGAAGGTTACCTTTCTGCAATGTTTGGATTAAACACTACTTCTTCCTTCAGAGCAATGAGGCAGTGCTGTGCAATGTCCAACTTGTTAAACACATAAGAAGCCATCTCTGCCTCTACCTCTCCTTCCCTACTCGAGCCTTGGGTGCCACGTGGCTAAATGCTATGCAGCCTGCTCATGTAACAGCAGAGTTTCAGGACATGAACGAATCTCTTCAATAGGAACTTACCCTGAGAGCAGACCTAGGGAAGGATAAAGGATTAAGCTAACGTCCTAACACATGAGGTTCAAGGAGGGTAGTGCATCCAGAAGACCACCCTCCCACTGGAGAAGGGAGCGGTGAGTTAGAACCGGAGGGATTTCAGGAGCCAGGTGACTTGGGGAGACCCTGTCCAAGCTGAGCATCTCCAGCTGTGGTTGGCACAGAGCAGGGGTGCCCCAGCAGGACTGATGACCAGATCACAGGCAAGGGAACTATCCCTCTGCAGCCCTGACCCGGGAAAGGCCACGACGTCTCTCCCACACAGCCCTCCAGAGCTCTTACCCGGTGCTTCTTAAAGCTGAAGTCGAGGAGCGGCATGCACTGCTTCAGAAACGCTTCCACAAAAAGACGACCGTACTGAGAAGGAGAGACACACACGTGACCTCCCACAGCGCTCCCACCCGATACAGAGGGCAGCGCCCAGCCCGAGGGCTTTAGCTTCCTATTGTTATATAATAAAGTCACGGAACAGTGAGGAATGTAATTTCATACAAAACTAAATAGTCCCTCTAACTATACGCGAGAACTAGGCAGCTGTAACTGTCCTAAGCATTACTTGAGAGCAAGTGTACAGAATAGCAGGGCTTTATCTCAAGCAACCTGAGGACAAGTCACTCCCAAAAGACACTTGAGGAATCACATGGTCAATTTCCAATTGCCCAGTTAATCACTCCAAATGCTCCAGTGGGAAAGAGGGAGAGGCCCGTGGATCACGGGCACAACCTACTGGGAAGAAGTCCCATCCCCAGCACATCCCACTGGGTTGGGTATCTAATCAAGGACTCACCTGGGAATCCCATGGAAGAGTCTGGCAACTACCTGCGAATCAGCATCCACACTCATGACTGTTGTACCCAAGGTCTTTTTGTGCCCCTTAAAGACTTATTTAATTGAACGACAGAGAAAGACATCATCCATTTGCAGGTTTAATCCCAAAAAGACCACAATGGCCAGGGCTGAGTCAGGCTGAAACTCCATCTGACTCTGCCGTACGGGTGGCAAGGCCCAGTACCTGCACCACCATCTGTTCCTTTCCAAGGTGCATTAGCAGAGAGCTGGACTGGAAGCAGAACAGCTGGGACTTGAACCACAACTCCATTATGGGACAATGGCAGTCACACACTGCAACTTAACCCAGTGCACCAAAATGCTAGTCCCATTTATTTATGAAGGGATTTGTTTTATTTAAACTAAAGGGAGAGACAGAGAGACACAATGATCTTCCACCTACAGGCTCATTCCTCAAATGACTGCAGCATCCAGGTCTGGGCCTGTTGGAAGCAGGCGTGGGCCGTGCTTTTCTGCTTCCTAGGCACATTAGCAGGAAGCTCAATTTTAAGTGGAGCAGCTGAGACCCGAATCTGCACACAGATATGAGATGTTCGCTTTGCAAGTGTCCGCTTAGCCCCCTGTGCCACAATGCCTAGCAGCACAAGAACATGAAGAGGAATCAGGCACGGATCAAGCCCACCCATGAAGATTCTGGTTAGGGTAACTACATTCCACAGAGCAGTTTCTGTGTTTAATTTCCAGTTCTGCTCCCAATTCCAACTTCTGGCTACTTGCAGACCCTGGGAACCAGTGACGGTGGCTCAGGGCACTGAGATCCTACCACTAATGTGAGAGGTCTGGAATTCATGGGTCTCAGTTTCCTATTTCAGCATTTAGAAACGGCAACTACTTACCTTTCTCTCTGCCTTTCCAAATCAACAAACAACAACAAAAGAAGCTCAAACGTTTTTAAGAATCATGCACACTCTTTCTTATTCCTTGCTGCTTGAGAAGGGAGAGCAGGACAGGGTATACTGACCATAAATCATCCTCCCACTTCCAAGATCCTAACCAGAGGTTTCAGACATACAGAAAAACTGCCTTTTCAATCATCCAATGAGTACAGGCTGCATCTTCACAGCCTCCCCTAAACTACCACTGGTCAAACTTTATGCTACGGACTCTGGCACACGAGAAAGACATGAAACAATCCATCATAGCCAAAGCTGTCTGCAGAGCAACCCACACAAAGAATACTGACCAGTCAATCTCTTACCTTCAAACAGGCATGCAGGACAGGATGGCTATCAAACACCTGGAGAGGTGAAAAACAAGGATGCAGAGCTGGGAACAAACAAGGACACGAGCACCCCAGCCTCTATCCCACTGTATGAAGCACAGCTCAGGAAGCTGTAGAGAACTCCACAATAAAGTAGGCACATAGCAGTCCCATTAGCCACAAAACAGAATAAAGTAAATGCCAACACCTAAAGTTCTGGAACAGGAAGGAAGGACCAGAGAAGAACAGCAGTTGCATGGGGAATGCTGAGAAGGTGGCATCCCTCGAGGCCACTCCCTGACGCAGCTCCAAGAGACAGATGAACCACTGACATCCTGGGTTTGGGGAATAGGCTGGACAAGATCACAGAGCCCATAATGCCTGTGACGGACAATGCAGGCAAGACACGTGTGGCTCAATGACACACGGCAGGAATCATTGACTGGTGAGTATGGTGGCACCGGTGGGAGGAGGGAAGAGGAAGAAAAGGAGAAAGGGCCATCCATGATGACCCTTTTTGGTGCACTGGGTTAAGTTGCAGTGTGTGAGAGGACCGGGGCAAGGAGCATCCTTGTTCCTGAGACGGGACCAGGGGCCTCACTCACCTTCACCAGGTTGATGAGGATGCTGAAGTCTCTAACAGCCATGTTCCAGTAGACAAGCTTCTCTTCATGAATCTGGGGGCAGTCAGACACACAGGCATCTCTGAGCCACAGACAGGTACTTCTCTTACTGTATTCCCATCACTCCACAGCAGTGGAGTGTCAACTACCCATACAGAGCTGGTAGAGCAGGCAGCATTCCTACAGGGTCCTGAGGTGTGCCCAGGGGAGACAGCACAAGAGCAGCTGCTGGAGACACTGGGGGACCCATCTTGTGCCTCTTTCCCAGGCACTTTAGCTGGCAGCTGGATCTGAACTGGACATTTGAGGCAAATACCAGTACCCATAAGAGATGTAATCAATGGAGATGCCTTAATCCACTGCACCACAACACAGGGCCCTAAAGACTTCACTAAAAGATGGCTCTTCATAACTGATTTCCAAGCAAGAAAAACAGCCACTGCAGCACACCCACTCCCCTCACATCTCTGGGGTTTCTGATCTCAAACAGACTGCTTTAGCTCATACCAGATGGCAAGAGGCAAACTGGAAAACAGCCAGGGAAAATTAGTCCAATTCTTACTCCCAACTAGAGGGAAATGAAATTAAACCAGGAACTCTGAAATATCCTGGCTCTCAGTAACTCAAAAGAAGTAGCTCAGAAGGGAGGGCAGGCACTTGGCACAGTGAGGCTTTCTCTCGGATGCCTGCACCCCACCCATGTGGCCGTGCCTGAACTCCAACCCCAACTTCCTGCTGACCTGCACCTTGGGAAGCAGAGAGTAATGGCTTAAGATTTTAGTTCCTGTTACGCACTGGGAGACTGGGATCAACAACGAGGCTCCTAGTTTCAGCATGGCCTAGCTGTTGTGGTTATTAGGGGATAAACCAATGGGTGGACAAACTCTGTCTCTCTCAGTGTCAAACAAACAACTTCTAAAAAGAAAAAGAAAAAGAAAAGAAAAAAAAAAGAAAGAAAGAAAGAAAGAAAAGAAAAAGAAGCAGCTTAAGAGAAACCAAATCCCCAAGAAACAGAAGAATTCATCCCCTGTGAGCACCCCAGCATCAGACATACGTGGTCGGAGTCTGCTGCTGTGCCAGGCGGGATCCCTCTCACTGTCCTCTCCAGTTCAGCCATCATCACACGGAAGAAAACGACGAAGGTATGCCTGGCAGTGAAGAGCAGGCACACGGCTCAAAAAGAACTTTGGAAGAAGCCAGGGAACCACAGAGAATGCCCTCCCCTCTTCGCCGACACCCCTTTCCCCAGGGTCCACTGGGAGAGGACGAGAGGCAGAAAGGACTCAGTGGACACTCTGGACAGCAACAGCACCAAGGCAGCAGGTGGGAGCGGAGCAGCAGTCAGGAGACTGAAGTGTGAGTCCTGGGTCGACACTACTTTATCCCATGTATAAACTGTGAAGTTCCCTCTAACTCTCCAGTCTACAGGAAGCAAGGATAATCTCACACACCCTTACACAGTTACCAGGCAGGTCAGACCAGACAAAGAAGGCCCAAGTGTTTTAAAAACTGCAAGGGCTGCAAGGATAAGGTAACTATTACTACTGCAACACAGGAGCCCGTGAAATGAGACATACGATTTCATCCTTCTAAACATGGTCAGAATTTTGGAAAAGTTGTCTCAAGTTTAAAGGGTGGAAGTGACTAAACATTCACTGACACTTTCAACTCCTGAACATTCATCCCTCTACGTCGTCCTCTCCCACACTGGCTGGGACTACAGAAGGAAGGCAGAACAGCATGTCTCGCTGCATACGGCTGTACCTACAGCTGCATCAGAGGTGGATGAGGAAATATCTGGAGCAGCATGCACTGCGCATACCTGCAGAGCACGACTGTATCTTAGGGAAAGTACTGCTGTACCTGCTCAGTGTAGGGAATGTAGAGGACGACCCATCCTTTGGGGAGCCGACGAGCTCCGGGACGCCCACACCAGCGAGCTCCTCTATGGCCTTGAGAGAGCACACGACGCGTTCCAGGTAGATGCTGCGGTCGGAGAACAGAGGGTAAGCATGCCACTCCGAGCCGTCACCAGGCTTGTCCTCAGCTAATGGCTGATGTGTTTTAATAGTAAAGATTCCAGAGACTCATCAGTAGGAAAAGGAATCTCCATCAACCCAGTTAAGGGCTCGGGAGTGATTGGTATGTTTGGGTAGAGTGAGAAATAAACATATTTCACTGATTATCAATATAGGTACAGTAGCAAACTCCTCCACGATTTGGTTTAATAAAGAATTAGCCAAGAGTATACACAGAAGCAGAGGACCAAAGGCTCACACGTTCCAAACTGTGTTGATCAGAAGCTCACTTCACCGCCTCAGTCTCCTAACCAGGTCATCGCTCAGTCCCTGGAGCAGCAAGGCGCCCGGCTCCCAGGCAGCCCGGCAGTGGCTCACCTGAGCAAAGAGTGAAGCTGCTCATTGAAGACGCTGCTCTTCTCGTTCTCCCCCAGAGGCCAGGCCCGGCAGAGGAACTGCTTGGCCAAGGAAGCTGTGAGAAAAGAAAACAAAGGTATCTCAAACCCAGGAAATTGACCTCGTTCTTGTCACCCAGCATGATTATCAGTGAACACAGTTACCCTAAGGTGACTAAGAAGTGCCTGGTCTGACAATAACTGTTCAGAAATTGGTGGGCCTCAAAAAAAAGTTAAATGTTTTAGAAAAAAAAAAAAAAAAGGCCACAGTGTGATAGCCTAGTGGCTAAAGCCTCATCTTGGAACCACCAGGGTCCCATATGGGTGCCAGTTTGTGTTCTGGTGGCTCCACTTCCCATCCAGCTCCCTGCCTGTGGCCTGAGAAAGCAGCAGCAGAAGGACCCCACCTGCATGGGAGAATTGGAAGAGGCTGCTGGCTCCTGGCTTCGGATTGACTTAGCTCTAGCCGTTGTGGCCACTTGGGAAGTGAACCAGTGCATGAAGCCAGTTCTTTCCGTATCTCTTTTTCTCTATATATTTGCATTTCCAATTAAAAAAAAAAAGCTTTAAAAAAAAGAGCTATGGGTCCCGGCGGCGTGGCCTAACAGCTAAAGTCCTCACCTTGAAGATCCTAGATGGACGCCGGTTCTAATCCCGGCAGCAACACTTCCCATCCAGCTCCCTGCTTGTGGCCTGGGAAAGCAGTCGAGGACGGCCCAAAGCCTTGGGATCCTACACCCGTGTGGGAGACCCGGAAGAAGTCCCTGGATCCTGGCTTCAGATCGGCATAGCATTGACCATTGCGCTCACTTGGGGAGTAAATCATCGGACAAGATCTTCCCCTCTGTCTCTCCTTCTCTCTGTATATCTGACTTTCCAATAAATAAATAAATAAAAACAAGCAAGGCATCGAAAAGGGGGGCCTAGGCCATCACCTATTTTTTCATTGTTCCGAGAAGGATTTCTTGATCTTTCCATAAAGACTATCAGAAGTCTGATGAGGTAAAGGGCACACTGGAAACTTGGAATGCTCTGGTGAAAATTCTGGAAGTAACTGAAGCTCTGGCTGCAACGAGACAAGGAATACACAAATGAGCACCACATTCATCACAGATACTAAAACTTCAATGAGTTGTCCAGTTCCCCTTTCAGAATCTTCCGCACTTGGAGGAACTGCAGCAGCAGCCTGAAAGCATCCTGAGAAAACGATGTTCGCTCCGAGAAACCTAGCCAGAAGATGAGCACAATACTGGCCTTTTAAAAAGGTCATGTGAGCCAAACATCCAAGTACAACCTTACACAACAACCGAATCTTCACAGCCTTGGCCCCACACCACAAAGAATGTACGAAATTGGGGTAGACAGGCAGAGAACGCACAGCTTTTTAAAAACTTATCATATGTGGAGTAATTAAACCACCATTAATCTAAAGTCAAGTCATGACTGGTGAGGAGGTCCTATAAATTCAAAGTGTTATATCCAAAGAAAGGAGGCAATGGCTCTAAAGGCCGGATGGCGCACACTGACCCAGTGACACTCTACCAGACGTAGAGAAGCATCCTTCTACGGAGCGTCATTTTGAAATCGTAACAGCATCCACGGGTAGATTAAACGAGCCTGCTGAATGCCTCATCCCATTCGCAGGCGCCTTAACTTCATTTCACGAGCCTTCTGTGGCCCATGCATCCCATGTTCTCCATCCTTGAGCCTAGGCTCTGAAGCCAGTGATGGAAAAAACAAGCCAGGCAAGAGGCTGGGATCCAGGTCTTTAAGACTCTGGAGCCTTCCTTTCACTGCTCAGCCTCAAGACCAGGGAAGGAGAGAAGCAAGCTGCTCAGTCACACAGCCCTTCGGGGGACAAGGGCCCTACAGCAGAGCTGACCGTAAATGGTCAATGTGCTCAGTATCGCTCCCTAAAGGCAGACCAGATATGCACATGTATGCAGGAAGATTTGGCATGATCTGTTTGAAGGCTTCTAATGCTTCAAGATTTAACAAAATACATAAATAGCAATTTATTTCACTACTACTGATAGACACACAAGTATTTCATACTAATCTCGCCAAACTGGTTCCTAGGAGTTACGTGGGGCCACACTGTGGGATATGAGGTCTGACCCACCTGATCAGCTCGTCCACGTCCTGATCACGTTCTCCTGGTTTCAGTCGGTTGGCAAGGATTTGAAGGGCCACATAGAATAAACTGTGATGCTCAAGCTCAGAAAATCCACTCCTACAGGACAGTCAAGTACAGATGGTTTAATTTCAGAACGGTTATATGTGAAGTCACTGGCCTCCATTTATACCATTAGTAAGTCAGCAGAGACTGAAAGAAGAACTGAAAATATGCAAATACCAAATATTATGAAAGATCTAAACACCAGATTAGAAGTTGATGTGTACCAAAAAAATGATCGTAATATTTAATCGCATGGGCTTATTTCTAGGGAAGATGAAAGTTCTCCTGTTTCCTGTGTTGCAGAGAAAAGTGTTTGTGCCTGTGTCTGTGTCAGGAACCTGTCACAGAGGCAATTTGGAACTGGCTCTCTTTCCCTTGATTCCAAGGAGAAGGATGTACTGCTCATATGTCTGAAATATCTTAACTATTAAATGCTGTGTTATAGGCCCCAACTACCAAATGAAAAAATACCACACCCTCCAAAGAAGAAAACAAGGTCCCGTGATTTCCCATTTCGTGGTGCTCCTCACCAGGTGGCTAACTGGGGTCACTGCGGAGGTACCACCGCATAGAGCAGGGGTGGACACTGAAACCCAGATGAAGCTCCTGGATCTGGTAGGGTCCAGCCCCAGCCACTGTCACCATCAGGGTAATAAACCAGCAAAAAGAAGATGGAAGATCTCTTTTTCAAACAAACACATAAATCTTTTTAAAAATTAACAAATAATATTCCACAGATAACTATATTACTAGATGAATCTCGAAATATACTCCTAGACAGCAAAGTACCTGGCACCCTTGCCACTGCTGTGGTGAAACTCATAATCACGCAGTGCCTTTCACAGTTTAGTCTGTGAGGTAAGCACACTTCCCACACACTCACCACGCGAACAGGCCATGGAAGATCTGCAGCAGCCTGTGGTAGCAGGAAGACATGAGCTGGCACTCCTGACCTTCCGTGGCTGAGCCATCAACTGTATCACAGCTGCCAGGGGCTAAGCACTAAAAGGAAAATGGTTTTAGAATAAGTGCTTCAGTAATTGCTTTTTTTCTTCCCAAGCAAATCTCATGTTTATCTGGCAAAGCCTGGGTTTTACTGAGCGAAAGAGCATCTTCTCACCTGAAAATAGTTGTGAATGTTCTCCAGGTGGTTACACATCGGGGTCATCAGCCGAACAACAGAGTGAGCTATTTCCTGGGCAGATCTCTGGTGGAGATGGGAGAATCCAACCTTCCGGCTTCCTTTACTCTATGAGAAAACCAGAGTGACGAGAGTTGCCAGGCAGCTTCTCTGAAATGAAGAGTTTCCTATGGAGTTGAGTCAACTGACGTCACCAGGGAAGTACAGACAACTGGGCTGCCTAAGAACACACTGACAAAAGCGTAATCTTCCATTTTGCATGAATAGAGTCAGAATTCCATCCGATGGAGAAGCACAGATTCAGGCACAGATCACATAAGGAGAAGACAGACACTGAGGACCAAGAATACTCCATGAAGTAGGGAGCTATATACATACGTAAATACTTGCATATAGATACAAATATGAACTGTTCATGTTGTTCTCTTTATAATGGCTAGCAACTTTCCTGGAACCAGGCGCATGTCTATTGCCCCTGGGGACATTCAAGGTGCTGACCCTCTGGGCAGACAGTCACCACACTGACCCTCAAAGACAGGTTTCATTTGGGGCATATTATAATGAAAACCGAAGCAGAGAAGAGGATTCAGGAATGCCAGGGCGTTTAGGAATGAATTTCTTGTCTGCTTCAGAGTTTCTTTCTAAGGGAAGTGAGTGTGAGTGACAATGGGATGGCCACAGTGCCACTTAGTGACCCAAATGAGAGTTAAAATGACACCTTCCTCACCACTTGTTTCCACAGCGGCTGGCCTCACTCACCTTGAAGAAAGGGACTCTCTTGGCAACAGGTGTCAGTATATTCCCCAGCTTCTGGGAGAGATCTTCCAGCAAGAACAGCAGCTCCGGGGGTCCGAGCTGTAGAACCTCGGTCGCCTGTCACACAAAGAAAAGGGAAAACCCAGGTGAGTCTTGGTCATTTGGAGGTACACGTCACATTTATCCTCTCCACTGAGCAAACACTCTGACATGACCAAAGAGGGAAATTTTAGCTCATGAAGATGCTGTTCTAAGAAAAAAAAGAAAAAAGATGCCGTTTAAATCTGCCAATTGATCAAAAACTTATTTTTACTTATTTTAATTTTTAATGGAAAGGAAGATTTACAGAGAGAACAAGAGATAGAGACAAAGAGATCTCCTGTGTGCTGGTAGAACAGCCAGGGGACATGAACTGGAGACCACGTGGGATGCAGTCCACAGTCAGCGGTTATGTTCACTATACCGCAACACCGGCTCTCCAATCTTTTTTCTCTTTCGCAAAATTCCTTATCAAAACCTGTTTTATTTTTATTTCGGCAGGGGGCAGTGTTGCGGTATAGCAAGCAAAGTTGCCTCCTGTGGCTGCTGATTTGAGACCAGGCTGCTCCATTTACAACCCAGCTCCTGGCTAAGGCACCTGGGAGAGAAAAAGGATGGCTCAAGAGTTTGGGCCCTGCACTCACAAGGAAGACCTGGAGGAAGCTCCAGGCTCCTGGCTTCAGCGTGACCCAACCCCGACCACTTCAGCCATCCGGGGAGAAAACCAGAGTATGGAAGCTCTCTGTCTCTCCCCTTCTCGGTAATTCTGCCCTTCAAATAAATAAAGCAATTGTTTTCACATTACTTTTTCTGTGCAAGTAATCTCTACTCTCTTTCATAATACCTTCCTCATCAACATTTCAATTATATGGCTCACACCACTAACAGAACACGCCATCAACAGTAGACCCACTCATAACTTCTACCTCCCCTGCCAGGTTAGCAGCCGTTGGAGGGCAAGCACCATGCTGAATACTGCTAAGGGTCTAATTAGTGACACACACAGAAAAGCACCCGTTGGATACTAAATGTCATAAGAATGTGAGAAAAATAATGCTCCCCTATAAAAGTAACTTAGGCACTTTATTTTTAATACCCTGAAGGTAAGCATCGCTGTCTAATACATTACAAAAACAAATATCAGTAATGAGGGTGGGAGTTTAGCCAAGTGGTTAAAAAGCCTGCGAACCACATCAGAGCACCCAGGTATAGACCTAGCCCTGGCCAACTCCAGGAACTAGAGTCCTGCCAGGCACATGGGAGACGGCCTAGCGTTTGTCTTGGCCCTAAGGCAGCCTTGGCCACTACAGACATTTAGAGTAAGACAGGAGGCTGTCTCTTTCAAACAAATACACTGATTAATGAATTAACGTAACAAACCCAGTAGGATAAAGGCTTTTGAAGTCAGAGTCTGTCTGAATGCCACAGTGCTCTTTGTGACAACAGCGTGAGGACATTTGCAAAGAAGGTAGGTACTGAGATTCCAATTTGTCACTTACTTCGGTGTGCAACTCGGTATCTAAGATGGATTTGGTCACTAGTCCACAATGCAGAACAGAGAAGACCTCAATGTCCAGTTCTCGGAAAAAAGGACGGTAACTGTGCAGGGACACTGCCATCTTCCCTTCCTTCCCCACCGACTCCTGGGCGAAGAACAACAGTCACCAGGAAAGCAAATGCATCTATATTAACCTATTTTTAAACTAGATTTCAAAGAGTAAACATGTGTTCATTCAATGCAAAAAGTTAAATTTTCATCACATTTCCACCTTCCTTTCTCCCAAATCCCGGAACACGCTAAAGCAGAGTACTTAATTTGGCTGGGGGATGCGGGTCACACCCGAGACCCCGGCTGGTTGCACGGCAGGGCCAGTTGCCCAAGTCACAGCACAGTGCTTTGGCACACACACCTGTGACTTGACAGCCAAGATGATCTGGCTTCACAGGCTCAAAAACGTACTTCCTCTGTGACCTCTAACAGCTCACCCTTTCAGGTCCTAGCTTTCTTGTCGATTAAATAAATGTGCATATTAATACTACCACTTAGTTCTTTAGGAGGATTGGAGAAGCACTAAATAATACACATTACAATTTGGAAAAGTAAAACGCAAAAAAACCAGAAAAATCGAGATCCATGTGGTCCAGCCAATTTCACGACACATGGAATCTCTAGTGTGACATGGACAACGTTCCCAGCAAGGGAATTACTGCTGAGCCAGTGCCAACTACACCACGCATTTATCATCATCTGAGTTCACTGAGAAGTTCGTTAATAACCCAGGTCCAAAAGATACAAGAGGCTAAAACAAATGTACATAAAGCAGCACACTTAGACAAAATTTGCTGATTGCTACAAGACAGATTTCAAGATGCTGCTAGAATGCAAAAAGGCATACAGCAGTCAAGGACTTCACAGAAAAAAAAGTGTGTGGCAGACATAAGAACTTCAGAGCCTGAGAGAATGCCTCATCTTTTTTTTCTTCTTGTGAGACGCAGGGACGGAGCCCGGGCATCTCCGGGTCCCCTGGGCAGCGCAGCGCCCATGAGCGCCAAGGTTTCACTACCTTGTCCGGCTGGCTTTTGCTGGAAGGCGCAGGGTCACACTCGGAACTATCCTCCTTTGGAGCTGAGTCACAGGACAGCTTGCTGTCGTCTGCTTTTTGCTGTTTCTTTTCTCCTTATGTTTCAAAAGAGAAAAGTGATGTGAGTAACGAATAATCACACAGTGCCCGGGGGAGACTGCTCAAGGAAAGGTAGCTTTGTTAATCTAAATGATGACACATTTATTAGCTTGCTAAAGAAGGGCTCATTTACATAATCTCCCCAACTACCTAATCAAACCTTTCAGGTTAATTCAGAAGGCTCATATGGGACAAATCAAGAAGAAAAGAACAAACTCACCTTTCTTTTCTTTTTTTTTGAGTTTCGCAGAAACAGCAGTAGTGCTACGAGGAACATTTAAAGTTTCCAAGTCAAAGTTTGCAAGAGGAGGAACGTAGTCAGGGGTGACTGAAACACAGACAGGTACAACTGAGTCACTGTAAGGACAGAGCCCTGGGAGCTGCGCGCGGCACTGACCCGCAGACTGAAACCAGGAACATGCCCGAGTGCAGTGAGGTCTTGTAAAATACATTCTAATCATCTGACAGGGTAAAACAGAGGACCGCCTCCTTAGTAACCGATAATGACCCGTCAGGTATAGAGCCTTTCCAAGGAACCATGCAAGACGAACCAGTCAGATAAGGACTAAAACCGATCTAATTTATACCAATATTTAATAGTTAATACGATATATACAATTACTTTACGTCACGAAAGTTTATCAATAAACACACTGTGGGGCCAGCATCCCATACAGGCATCAGCTTGTGTCCCAGCTATCCCACGTCCAACTCAGCTCCCTCATGGCCTGGGAAAGCAGTGGGGAATGACCTAAAGGACTCGGGCCCTGCCCCCACTTAGGAGATTTGGAAGACAACTGGCCCAGCTCTGGCCTCTAAGGACATTTGTGGAATTGGTCAACGAAGGCAAGATCTCCACCTCGTTTAAGTAAAACAAATACATCTTTTAGAAACATAAACATGGGCCTGGTGCGGTAGCCTGGCACCTAAACCCCTCGCCTTGAAAGTGCCAGGATCCCATATGGGCGCCGGTTCTAATACGGGCAGCCCTGCTTCCCATCCAGCTCCCTGCCTGTGGCCTGGGAAAGCAGTCAAGGACGGCCCAACGCCTTGGGACCCTGCACCTGTGTGGGAGACCTGGAGTAAGCTCTTGGCTCCTGGCTTCAGATCGCCTCAACAGCAGCCATTGTGGCCACTTGGGGAGTGAAACAGCAGACACAGAATCTTCCGGTCTGTCCTCTTTGTAAATCTGGCTTTCCAATCAAAATGAAATAAATCTTAAAAAAAAAAAAAAAGTAAGCACACTGTAAATTTTCCTTTACCTGAAAAGCAGAGGCAGAAATAAACAGAAAAACCTACAAAGAACTTCTTCCATTCACTGGTTTACTCCCCAGGTGCCTTGAGCAGCACAGCTGGGCCGGTCTGAGGGCAGAGCCGGGAACCGAACCTGGGGTACTGCTCGGGTGCGAGTGATCCAAACTTGAGTTATCACCACTCCCTCCCGGGGTGCACACCTGCAGGACGCTGGAACATGAGGTGAAGCAGGGCTCAAACCCAGGTCCCCCAAAACGGGATACGAGCAACCAAGGAGGCATCTTAACTACTGCACTAAACACTAACCCATCATGGAGAATTATTTCGGGTAAGGGCCTACAGCAGGCTCCTAAGAGGCGGCTAGAGGTTCCTCAGGTCACATGTGGACCACACGGGACCAAGAGGCCTTTCACCTGTTCTGGCTCATGACCACGTAAAGGAGAACAAAGTATCTTCACAACAGCCTTAAATGTTTTCTATGCCCTTGAGTTCATTCTCCAACTGTATGTAACAGCGAGGGCTGGGCCGGGCCAAGCCAGGTGCTAGAACTCCACTGGGACCCCAGAGGGCTGGTCGAGCCCCAGTGTTTGAGCCGCCCCTACGTTCCCCACAGGGCGCACAGCAGTAGCAAGGTGCAATCAGAAGCAAGGCACCCTGTCATGGCCTGTAGATGTCTCAAACAGCGCCTTATCTGCTGCACCAGATAATCAACCTTTGATGCTTCAATTTTAAGCAGCAAGACCAGTACGGTGCAGGAAATAAGAGGAGCAAATTCCATGTACTCATTATGACCGTGCTCAGCAGCCGGTGTTACGGCACAGAGGCGGAATGGGGCCTGAGTGATGCTGGGCAACTACGAGCGATGGCTCGACTCCAGGCTGCTCCATTTCTGCTCCAGCTCCCTGATGCTGTGCCCTGGCACAGGAAGAAGGAGCCTGAATGCCTGGGCTCTGGCTTCTGCCTAGCTGACACCCGACTGTGACAATCGTTTGGGGGAAAAAAAACAGTGGACGGAAGATATCTTTCCTGCTCTATATAACTCTCTCTTACAAATAACTAAATAAATCTCAAAAAAAAAAAAGAAAGAAAGAAAAAAGCGTGCTCACCATACCTTTCACTTGACCCAGAACAGAACCATCAGGGAGCCCAGCTTCTCCCCCTGCCAAGCACAGACAGCAGGCCAAGCGCGGCAGCCCCTACCTGCCAAGTGCTTCTCCAGGACGTCCTGCAGCTCCACAATGTGCTTCAGCCGGGTGAGCACCTTCCCCTTCATCTCAGGTGATGTCTGCTGGCAGAAGGCACTCACAACCTGCAAAGTGCAAACCAGGCTCTCGCACTGCAGGCTGAAAATCTGCACACAACGGATGCCTCTCCGGCCGCGCCGGGCAGCATGACGGCCGCCTGGGAGAACTACATCGACCCAGCGGTGGCTGGGATTATGATTGTGGGAACACGGAGAGGTTGACCAGACCATCAACTTGATTTTGAACCCTACTGAGCTCTTCACAGGGAGCAGAGCAAGTGTTGCTGGGGCTGTACATTGTGAGAGGCAACAACGTTGCAGTCGTTGGAGACACTGAGGCGGCGGCGGAACCGCTGAACTCTGGCGCACTGAGGAAGAGCTGCCTGGCTGCACATCTGTACATCTTTGTACAGAAACCGACTATCCTGAAGATGGTGTAGGACCTTCATGAACATGTAACTGTGATTTGTTGTCATATGTAAATTAAAATATTTCTACCATTTTTTGAAATAAATAAGTAAAGTCTGCACACAGCATTCCTCCAGAGAGGACCGACATGAAAACAGCAGGATCTGTGAGGCTAGCCTGCGATCAACAGGTGTCCTCAGCTAACGGAAACAACATCCCTGAGTCAAAACACAGAGAGATCTGATGTTCTCAGCACGTTCTGGTTACGCAACCAGGCAGGACAGCCAGAAAGCACAGACTTGGTGAAAAAGTTCTATTTCCTTCTTACTAGCTATGTGATTTTCACTAATTTTGTAACTAAAGATTTTATTTCTTCAGGCATAAAATGGGGAAGTAGTTGCTAAATGAACCAAAGAATGTGAATAAATTAGCCCAACACTTGGTACAGTGTAAACTTTTAATCAATTTTAATGATTTTGAATTCTCTGTGCTTGAAGTTACGTATTTGAAAAACAAGGACAACATGTGACCAGCCCACATCATTACCAAGCTGGCACTGACCGAGCTCTCTCAAGAACAGACATCCCCGAGATAATACGTGAGCAGAGAGCGGCAAGGCGGAGACTAAGGAACGTGCTCTCAGCGTCATGTCTGCCACAGAGCACTGTGAGCTCTAAGGAAACTCCATCACCACTTCTTCATCTCAACAGCCGAGAAACTTGGTGCACGCCTCATGCTAGGAGCATGTGGCAGCTACAGAGTAGTAAGGTATGGGTCTGGCATGGTAGTCTAGTGGCTAAAGTCCTTGCCTTGCATGCACCAGGATCCCATATGGACAACAGTTTGTGTCCTGGCTGCTCCACAATTCTCTTCCAGCTCCCTGCTTTTGGCCTGGGAAAGCAATCCAGGAGGGCTCAAAGCCTTGGAATCCTGACCCCATGTGGTAGATCCGGGAAAATATCCTGGCTCCTGGCTTCGGATGGGCTCAGCTCTGGCCGCTGTGGCCACTTGAGTCAATCAGCAGAATGAGGATCTTTCCCTCTGTAAATCTGGCTTTCCAACTAAAAAAAACTAATATTTAGAAAAACAAAGTGTCAAGGGGTAATAGGCAGAGGAGCCCACACAGGTTGGTGCATGATGGAGATTCCTAGGGAGACTATTGAGAGAAACCACGGACAACAGGTGCAGTGTCTCAGTCAGCGCTCACCTCGCGGAACCAGTTGATGGTGAGGAACAAGGCTGAGCACGTCAAGGAGCGCTCCTGAGCAGACAGGGTCTCCGGCCTCACTCCAGACTCCAGGTCAGGCAGGAAGAGAGGACAGTCTGAAAGAAGAAGAGGCACTCAGCTCCCTGTGGTCCAGACAGTGGACGATGGACTCTGCCCTCAACCGAGCTGTCCTTCAGCTTCCCCCTTGTAACTCCTGGTTCAGACTAAGCTTTGGCTGTACCTAAACATTACACAACAGTCAACAAACAAAATTGAGAAGCTTTTGAAACAAATATACAAGGATCAAGAAACAACATGGAACCAGGGGACAATTAACTGTTAAACTACCTTGCAAAGTTAGAAATTCCTTCCCACACACCTCACCTTGATCTGCTCGTTTCCTACATTTCCTAAATTTTGTTACAAAACAAAAAACACAAACGCCCAAGAACTGTATCACATACCTAACAGACCATCAATCTCCTCCAAGTTTCCATTATGTTGTTTTTGCACACAAAGTCTCAGCAACCGGAAATAGGGTGCCAGGCACATTGGCGACACCAATCTGAAGAGGAAAAGTCCATTTTAGATCTTGCTTTGTAAGCACATTAGTCCACATGCACAGGGAGCCCAGTTTCAGTACAAAAAAAAAATTTTTTTTAAGTTTTTTTTTTTTTCCCCTGAACAGAACTCTAAGAAAAACAAGACTGTACTGACTTTTGGCCTGACTCCGGCAAAGCACTCTGGGCCCCGTCTTCCGCCAGCTCCTGAGAGAAGAGCAGTGGGAACAGGTTGATGACGATCCCATCACCATCGCTGTATTCTTCCAGTCCATACAGAGCTTTCACAGGAAACGGAAAGTCACTGTGGAGAGAACCCAGAATCGGACACCCAAGGCGGAGAGAAACCACTGGAACAAATCAACTTCAAACAAACAAAAACTGCAAATCAAGAGAAAGAACAAGCGAGGATGCTACAGCTTCTCTGGAGCAGGAGGTACAGGGGAGCCGGGGAAGAGCAGCTGTGGGAGGCAGTGGTCTGGGCTCAGGTCCAGCATACTGAGTTCATTTCAGCTACTGACAGGACTGACGCACCTCCTTCACCCAAACACTCACCCTTCTGGAACAGCACAGAAGTCCACCACAAAGGCATCTTGGAAATCATCAAAGATGGTCTGCCCAACCCATTCCTTCAGAAGACAAATGAAAAAGTGTCTAGAACACACGTGCCCTAGAGCCCTGGATAAGTTATTAGCTTTTCTAAGCCTAAGATCCTTCATTTCAAAAGTAAAAACACAAACAAAAATCGATGATACATAGGTCATGATTGTGGGCTAGAAAAGGGATAATGCATAAAATGCGCTCAGCCAGTGCCTCGTGCCTCACCAGCACAGGGCTCTCGGCACCGTAATCTCCATCCACATCCCGCTCCCCGTCAGCACTGCCGCTACAGCCTCCCAACAGCTGCAGAGGCCTGAGGCTCCCGGAGGGGCACGGAGAACGTGCAAGAGCTAACAGGTCTCACGGCGGTGAGATTCAGAGAACTTCAGAGGGGGCGGAAAAGCAGCCTCCACGTGCACTGCTGTGAGGAAGGGGCACTGGGTCTTACCAGGGCTTTGGGAGCCAGCCTTCCTCGTTGAATCAGGTTGGCAAACTCATCATAATAGAGGGCCGAGGCCTGAGGAGACTTCTCACTGCAGGAATGAACCAACTGCAGCAGGGAGGTCACCTGGAATAGGCGAGAGGATGCACAGTGAGTTCAGCCTCAGCGCTGCCAGCCCTTCCTGAACTCCACCGGTGCTCTGACAGCTCTCCCTTCCCACTGCTCATCTGAGGTTATTCAGAACCTCCTCACCAGTCCGTCAGACACAGGCCGCCCACACCCTTTTTCTAAAGCAAGGCTTTGATTGTACAACTTCTATGTTAGGAAAGCCTTAGGACAATCTCAATAAAGAACAGAATAAAAATGACTTCCTTTACATTTTGCTCTTCTGTTCTCTACATCTGAGTCGTTTTACTAGGGGATCAAAAGGTTCATAGAAATGGAATTAAAAGTTAAGTCTAAGTAGTTTTTCATACTACGTTTTCCATGATTCTTTTTGAAAACCCTTCGTAGCCCCCACTTTCTGACTATGCACTGATTTGTCGCTACACAGCAATGAACATGCTACCCTGTAAATATAGCACATCTTTCTCCATGAGAATTTGATATTACTTCAGAGACTAGACTGATTCAGAAAAAAATGTAGACTAATCCATCATATTCTACGTGCCAACCACAAACGCCAGGAATAGAGGAACCTACTTTGGGAAAGAAGCCCCCCGGGTGGTGAAGAGACGGCGTGGAGAGCAGCGCGGAGGCGCACGGGCCTGCGCGCAAGGACTCACCTGTGAGCAATGCTCACCGCTCGTGTCGGCCAGCTCCTGGGGGATCTGCGAAGGCCCACTCCTAAAAACCAGACCTCAGGTTCACTTTCGTAATATTTTCTAACAATCAGCAATAAATTTGAGAAACCTGTTCTTTGTAAGAGACAAAGCTGGAGGAGGCACGCGTTCAGTGGTTAGGACGCCCACACTCCTCACGGATGCTCACTGGATTCCGCCGTCCTTGCAGGGCAGTGCTGGCGCCCCAGTGACTGCCGTCCCTGCTCAAGCCAGAGCTGGCTTTGCCCCTGCCCAGACCCAGCCATGGTAAGCATTTGGTAGATAAGCAAACAGGACCTTCTCCAAGTCTCTTTCTCTAAGCCTCTCAACTAAATAAATAAGCATTAAAAAAAATAATAATAATACATATATATATACACAGTTATTTGACTAAATGTTTATCAAGTTCTTAGTTCATTTTTAAATCAGGTTATCTGTTACCACTGAAATGTGGGTGATATTTAAAACAAATTTATTCATTTATTTATTTTATGGGAAAGCCAGATATACAGAGAGGAAACGGAGAGGAAGATCTTCCATCCACTGATTTACACCCAATGTGGCGGCAATGGCCATAGCTGAGTTGATCCGAAGCCAGGAGACAGGAGACTTTTCAGGGCTCCCACACGGGCGCAGGATCTCAAGGCTCTGGGCTGTTCCTGACTGTTCTCCCAGTCCACAAGCAGGGAGCTGGACGGGAAGCAGGGTTGCTGGGATTAGAACTGTTAACCATATGGGATCCCAGTACATGAAAGGTGAGGACTTTTGCTGCTAGGCTACCACACCGACACCCAAAATATATTTCTATTTGCAAGGCAGATTGAAAGAGAGGAGACAAACCAGGTTCGTTTCCCAAATGTTCACAACGGCTACAATCTAGAGCCAGGAGCCTCTGCTGGGGCTCCCACTCAGATGGCTCTGGGCAGCCCTCCACTGCTTTCCCAGGCCATAAGCACAGAGCTACAGGGGAAGTGGAGCAGCTGGGACCAGAACTGTGTCATACAGCATGCTGGCACTACAAGGGAAAGAATTAGCCTGTTTCCAATGAAATTGTTGGACATATGTAGAAACGGGATGCAGGACTGTCTAACAGCGTACTGGCAATATTGGGACACACTTAAATAACAAACTAATGAACTTAAAAGTGCTTATAAAGGTCCATACTATTATAATAATATGGGGAAAATCAGTTGGGGGGTGGGAATTTGAGTGGGAGGGAATCCCAGATCCTATGGAATTGAACCATAAAATTCAAAATAAAAAAAATTTTCAGGAAAAAAAAATTACCTGTTGAGCCAATGCATCAGCCCCCTACAACTATACAGTTTTTTTAAACTGCACAAGGCTTGAAGGACTATTTACTGGACACAAAAGTGTGAATTAGAACAAAGGACATCTATTTTCTAAATAAGTAACAATAAGAAACACTTCCTAGCGCACACTTTGTGCTGGGCATTGCTCTAACCATTTAATACTCTTAATAATTTTATAAAGCAAACTTTATCATCTATGTTTTACAGATATGAGATTACAGGCTAGCCATTCAGCTAGCAAACCACGGCACCAGCATTTAGTTCCCCAGGCAGGCAGCACAACTACAGGAATCCAACTCTTCGGCAGGAAACCACGCAACCTCTCTGCTATGGCTGATACCGGCTTCAGGCCCGGCGTGACGGCTCCATCGGGTTGACCTTCAAGCACTGGGATCCCAGATGCTGCTGCATGTCCTGGCAGCGCCACTTGCAATCCACTTGCCTGCTTGTGGCCTGGCAAAGCAACTGAGGATGTCCCAGGTCCTCGGGACCCTGTACCTGTGTGGGAGACCCGGAAGAAGCTCCTGCCTCCGGCCTTTGGATCTGCTCAGCTCTGGCCATTACAGCAGGGAATGTACCAGCAAAGTGAAAACCATCCATTCTCTGTCTCTCTTTTTAACTCTGGCTTTACGAAAAAAATAAATGAAACACACACACACCCCCCAACAACAACACTGATTGTAAGGATGTTCACTGGCACCTCAGAAATTTGTGACAAATAATTTCTGAGGAATATAAATGGAGAGGTGTTGCAAGCACAGTCCCCAGCTCCAAGATAACATACAATCAAGCTTCTTTAAGATTTACTTATTTAAGGTCTAATGTAACAGCCTAGTGGCTAAATCCTCGCCTTACATGCGCCATTATCCCATATGGGCGCTGGTTCATATCGCGGTTGCTCTACTTCCCTTCCAGTTTCCTGCTTGTGGCCTAGGAAAACAGTCAAGGATGGCCCAAAGCCTTGAGAACCTATGCTCACACAGCCAAAAGAAGCTTCTGGCTCCTGGCTTTGGATTAGTTCAGCTCTGGTTGTTGTGGTTATTGAGGGAGTGAACCAGTGCATGGAAGATCTTTCTGTCTTGGCTTCTCTCTGTTAATCTGACTTTCCAATAAAAATAAATAAATCTTTAAATTTTTTACTTATTTATTTGAAAGGCTTACACAGAGAGGAGAGATGGGGAGAGGTTTTCCATCTATTCGTTCATTTTCCAGATGGCTGCAATGGCCATGGCTAGGTTAGGCCAAAGCCAGTAGCCAGAGATTCAGCTAGGTCCCCAACGTGGGTGACAGGGACCCAGGTACCTGGGCCATCTGCTGCAGCCTTGCCCAGGCCATGAGCAGAGGCTGCATTGGCAGTGCAGCAGCTGGGACTCAGCCAGCGCTCATATGGGATACGAGTGCTGTACGTGGTAGCTTTCCCCACTATGCCACAACATGAGCTCTTACAGAACTTCAGATGATACAACAGTGGCATCCAAGAGCGAGAAAGATGGAATCCACAAGACAGGCTCTCTTTAAATCAAAGATGGAAATTTCTCACAAGATCATAGAAATGGACATTTTCTAATTCCTAAGTTAGGAGCATATACAGAAAAATCTATTGCAGAAGAAATAAAGTCATCCTTCTGTGGAAGGGGTTCTAGAACTTTACCTCTGGGCAATCGCTAGTTTTGAATTATCGGGCTATATTAACTACAATCACAATTCTGAACAAATCATGACTAGACCCTGGCAAGATCAGCAGGGAACAGCAAAGTCACACACCCCTCATGATGTCAACCTGACGCCGGAGCACAGACAGTTAGCATTCACCGTGTACCTGTCTGCAGCCATGATGCCAACCATGGTGACGGCGCCGATGATCCCAATGAGTTTGTACTTGAACAGGGTGCTGGAGAGCTGCTTCCGTATGACCAGGTGCAGGTCATCCTGGAGCGAGAGGACAGGGACTGAGAACAGGACACGTTACACTGCAGCAACCAGAGAGCCTGCGCCCGGGCAGATGGAAAGGCCTTACCGCTGCTGACTGGGTGGACTGTAAGGAATCACTTTTTCAGTCAAGAGTCTAAATTTTCACATCTACAAAATGGGAAAACTCTCAACCGTTTGACAACTTAGGAAAAACTACAGCAGCACCTGGCGCATGCCATCCGTTCAGCAGGAACAGCTGTTACTGCAGAGGCTGCTCCAGCATTATATGAGAGCCGCTAAACTGTTACCTGTCTAGCTAAAACACTGACAATTTTAAAAGTAGTTCAGCATAAATTTCAACTATGGAAACAAAAAACTTGGACTTGAAAAACTGCAAAACATTGATGACATGAATAAAGGACCTTAATAAAGGACCTTAATAAAAGATGTGAAATAAAAATATTAACTGATTGGAGACTTAGGTATTATTAAATGATGACACGACGATACATACTACTCAAAGCAATTCAATAAAATACTCACAAAAAATCAAGAATATTTTTTTGCAGAAACAGAAAAACCCATAAGAAAATTCATACGGATTTTTAAGGAATCTCAGTCAAACCAATCTTGAAAAGCAATTAAATTGGGGAAGCTCATACTTCATGATTTAAAAATTACTACAAAGTTATAGTAATCAAAACAATACAGTACAGCCCAGTGCTGTAGCCTAGTGGCTAAATCCTCGCCTTGCACACCTGGGATCCCATATGGACACCAGTTTATATTCCAGCTGATCCAAGTCCCATTCAGCTCCTTGCTTGTGGTCTGGGAGGACAGTACAGGATGGCACCCATGTGGGAGACCCTGACAGAGCCCCTGGCTCTTGGCTTTGGATCGGCTCAGCCCCAGCTACTGCGGCTGCTTGGGGGGTGAATGACTCGATTACAGACCTTTTCTTTTTCTCTTTCTCTCTGTGTATCTGCTACCCCATAAAAACAGGTAAATCTTGAAAAGACAATCACAGCGCAGCACTGCCATGAAGACACAGAGATGAACAAGAGTCAGGAGTCCAGGAGTGTAACCACCACGCTATCATGCCAGACCCAGGAGTCCAGGAGTGTAACCACTACGCTATCACGCCAGGCCCAGGAGTCCAGGAGTGTAACCACTACGCTATCACGCCAGGCCCAGGAGTCCAGGAGGAGTGTAACCACTACGCTATCACGCCGGGCCCAGGAGTCCAGGAGTGTAACCACTACGCTATCACGCCAGACCCACGAGTCCTGGAGTGTAACCACTACGCTATCATGCCAGACCCAGGAGTCCAGGAGTGTAACCACTACGCTATCACGCCGGGCCCAGGAGTCCTGGAGTATAACCACTACGCTATCACGCCGGGCCCAGGAGTCCAGGAGTATAACCACTACGCTATCACGCCGGGCCCAGGAGTCCAGGAGTATAACCACTACGCTATCACGCCGGGCCCAGGAGTCCAGGAGTATAACCACTACGCTATCACGCCGGGCCCAGGAGTCCAGGAGTGTAACCACTACGCTATCACGCCAGGCCCAGGAGTCCAGGAGTGTAACCACTACGTTATCACGCTGGGCCCAGGAGTCCAGGAGTGTAACCACCACGCTATCATGCCGGGCCCGGGAGTCCTGGAGTATAACCACTACGCTATCACGCCGGGCCCGGGAGTCCAGGAGTGTAACCACTACGCTATCACGCCAGGCCCAGGAGTCCAGGAGTGTAACCACCACGCTATCATGCCGGGCCCAGGAGTCCTGGAGTATAACCACTACGCTATCACGCCGGGCCCGGGAGTCCAGGAGTGTAACCACTACGCTATCACGCCAGGCCCAGGAGTCCAGGAGTGTAACCACTACGTTATCACGCCGGGCCCGGGAGTCCAGGAGTGTAACCACTATGCTATCACGCCAGACCCAGGAGTCCAGGAGTGTAACCACTACGCTAACACGTCGGGCCCAGGAGTCCAGGAGGAGTGTAACCACTATGCTATCACGCTGGGCCCAGGAGTCCAGGAGTGTAACCACTATGCTATCACGCCAGACCCAGGAGTCCAGGAGTGTAACCACCACGCTATCATGCCAGACCCAGGAGTCCAGGAGTGTAACCACTACGCTATCATGCCGGGCCCAGGAGTCCAGGAGTGTAACCACTATGCTATCACGCTGGGCCCAGGAGTCCAGGAGTAAGCTTACACATACGATCAACTGATGTGGCGGGGGTGCAGATACTACAGCATGAGGAAAGGGTGATACTGTAAACAACTGGATCTGGAAAGCTGAAAGAAGGACCTCACACAACATACAAGAATTAAAGAACCAAATTTAACAGCTGACACTTTCCCACAGAAGACAACAGGAGAGAACCTGCATGACCTTGGAGTTGGCAAAGGTTTCTCACTAACACAAACACATGAGCAACAAGAGAAAGCGAATAAAAAAACAACCAACAAAACAGGAAAAAATACCTACAAATTACTGTGTGCTAGAGATTAACTTGCAGAACAGAAAAACTCAATAAAAACAAAAATTCAACAAAAACACGATCAAAAACAATATACTGTTCCAAAGAGGATATAGAGGGCCCAGCTACGTAGCCTGGCAGTTAAAGTCCTCACTGCACATGTGCGGGGATCCCATATGGGTGCAGGTTCTAATCCCGGCAGCCCCGCTTCCCATCCAGCTCCCTGTTTGTGGCCTGGGAAAGCAGTCAAGGACGGCCCAAAGCCTTGGGACCCTCCACCTGCGTCCCAAGAGGCTCCTGGCATCAGACTGGCTCAGCTCTGGCCATTGCAGCTGTTGGGGAGCAAATCAGTGGATGGAAAATGTTATTCTCTTCTTCCTCTCTGTATACCTGACCTTTAATCAAAATGAATAAATTAAAAAAAAAAAAAAAGATACAGAGACAGCCCACCATGATCAACATCACTGTCATTCTGGTCACGCCGGACACGGCTTTGACATCCACAACGATGACAATGACGGCAGGATGTAAAACTGCTATGCGTAAAATGGAAATCAGTTTGTTGTTCTTGGAGGTGTTAAACCAAACCAATATTGGCACACTAGCTTACATGAGCAACAGTACCCAGCGAGTCCAAGGCAGGGATGACTCAAAGGTCCGCCAGTGGCTGAGAAATAAACACGTGGTACACTTTTCTGTGCAAACACACTGTAACAGATCCATATGTAATATAATGAGGACTAAAGATGTCTTTATGACAAATAATTACAATTATTCCTTGTTTAGTTCTGACAGGCCCGAAAGATGAAACTGAAAAACTTCCCGACTAAGCCAGAAACAAAAGCAGAGTTTTTCACCTACGTGAGGCAAGTAAGACAAATCCATACAACGGAGATTAGAGATTATCAGCGCTGGAGAAGGAGACGAGAAAGCACGAACTGCTGAGTGGACACACATTTTGGGCTCTGGCAAAGTTCTGGAGATGGTCGCAAAACCCTGTCAATACACTCAATGCAACTGAACTAAAAACTTGACATAAAGTGGTAAATTTTGTGTAATATACATCTTATCATAATCCAAAAACAAAATAAAAAAAAAAAAGAACCAGGTTTCTCTCACTGAAATGAAGCAACCTCCCGAGACCCACACTAAAATCAGGATGTGCGGCCAGAAAGGGGGAGGGGAGGGAATGCAGGCAGTCAGAACCTCTGACAGCAAGAAAGCATGGACCCTTCCAGAGGACCTGCAGGAAGTCCTGCTTTCACCCCAAACTCGCTATATTTTTTTTTCTTTTTTAAGGATTTATTTATTTTTATTGCAAAGTCAGATATACACAGAGGAGAGACAGAGAAGATCTACTGTCCAATGATTCACTGCCCAAGTGACTGCAACGGCCAGAGCTGCGCCGATCCGAAGCCAGGAGTCAGGAACTTCCTCCAAGCCTCCCCCACGGGTGCAGGATCCCAAGGCCCTGGGCCGGCCTCAACTGCTTTCCCGGACCACAGCAGGGAGCTGGATGGGAAGCAGGACCGCCAGCACCTGAACCGGCATCCATTTGGATCCCAGCGCATTCAAGGCAAGGACTCCGACTTCAGCCGCCAGGCCACGGTGCAAGAAGTGTATTTTGCTTTAATTCATAGAAGCGGATGGATGATAAGAGCCACACTCCAGTACAGAGGAATGCCACCAAAGCATCCCGACCTTCCTGTTTGTCCCTCTAGCTGACCTGCTCATGAATGCTGTTCATGAATGCAAACCCAGAGGAAATTCCTGTTCCTCAGGAACCAGGGCAGTTATGAGTCCCCTCCGCACTCAGCGCAGAATCGGAGGGTTCTTCTCATTCGGTTCCATGGCTGGCTGAGCTCAATCCCATCTCCATCCTAAAGGACCAAGCTAAACGGACAGACGAGTCCATCCAGCTCTCAGAGCAGGTGACAGTACTGGCCGAGTGGAGCGTGCGAGGACAAAGTGCGGAAAGCACGGCTCCACGCTGTCCTCCCCGCGCCAGCTGCAGTGACTGCCCGGCCGAGTCAAGGAGGGTCAGAGGAGCCGCAGCACATGCCTCACCTGAAGGTGGCTGCCCGCGTTCTGCTTCTTCCGGAAGGCCAGGGTGCTGAGAATGTAGAAGAGCTTCCGGATCTGCTCAGGGGACATAGTATCCAGATAATCTAAAATGCCCTGAGAAGGAAAAGACACAAAAAGCACATGAGTCACTAACATTTTCCCCCTACAAATCAAAAAGCACCAATCTTCGCGACAGGTGTCAGGTGCAGGGGTAACACGCCCCTCAGGGCACGCACACACAGGCTTTTGGAGACGGAACCAGTACACACACGATCCCTGTATCTTGGCCTTTAAAACAAATAAATAGGGCCTGGCACAGTAGCCTAGTGGCTAAAATTCTCGCCTTGCCAGTACCAGGATCCCATATGGGCCATTGTGGCCTGGGAGAGCAGTCGAGGACGGCCCAAAGCCTTGGGATCCTGCACCTGCACAGGAAACCCAAAAGAAGTTCCTAGTTCCTGGCTTCAGCTCAGCTCAGCTCCGACCATTGCAGCCACTTGGGCAGTGAATCAACAGATGGAAGATCTTTGTCTCTCCTCTCTGTCTGTGTGACTTTTGAAAAAAAAAAATTTTTTAAACAAGTAAACAAGTAAATAAATAGATAAATCTATCTTAACCAGAGACAAGGAAGGACAGTGGAGAAGATGATACGGTTGCTTCTCTGCGCCCTGCACGAACGCCCAGGCTGCAGGTGCCACTGCCTCGGCCATCCCGGGGCTCCTGCCAGTCCTCCACACTCCCTGATGGACAGGGTCCCCGGCGAGCACACAGTCCCAGCAGCACCAGGCACATCCTACCCCTTCCTGTGCCCGTTCCAGCGCCTATGCCACAAGTGATTTATTCTCTACATATTCACTTTTGACTTTGGGATTTGCCTCAGCTTTGTCTTTGTGTTTTTTTTTTTTTAAAGATTTATTTATTTTTGGGCCCGGCGCGATGGCGCAGTGGTTGAGGTCCTCGCCTTGCACGCCCGGGATCCCATACGGGCGCCGGTTCTGTCCCGGCAGCCCCGCTTCCCTTCCAGCTCCCCGCCTGTGGCCCGGGAAAGCAGTCGAGGACACCCAAAGCCTTGGGACCCTGCACCTGTGTGGGAGACCTTTCCAATAAAAAAAAGTAATAAAAATAAATCTTTAAAAAAAAAGATTCATTTATTTTTATTACAAAGTCAGATATACAGAGAGGAGAGAGACAGAGAGGAAGATCTTCCATCTGATGATTCACTCCCCAAGTGAGCGCAATGGCTGATGCTATGCCGATCCGAAGCCAGGAGCCAGGAACTTCTTCCGCGTCTTCCATGCAGGTGCAGGGTCCCAAGGCTTTGGGCCGTCCTCGACTGCTTTCCCAGGCCACAAGCAGGGAGCTGGATGGAAAGTGGAGCTGCCGGGATTAGAACCTGCGTCCCTATGGGATCCCAGTGAGTTCAAGGCGTAGATTTTAGCTGCTAGGCCATGTCGCTGAGCCCTGTTCTTTTTTTTATAGGAAAGGCAGATTTACACAGAAGGAACTTCCATATGCTGGTTCACTCCCAAATGGCTGCTATGGCTTGAGTTGAGCCTATCTGAAGCCAGGAGCCAGAAGCTTCTTGCGGGTCTCCCACGCAGACACAGGGTCCTAAGGTTTAAGACAATCCTCTACTGATACAAGAAAGGAGTAGGAAAGGAGGTGCAGCAGTGGAGACAAGAACTGGCACCCATGGGGGACCCCAGTAGCTGCAAGGCTAGGATTTAACCACTAGCGTACTGTACTACGAGGCCCTCAGCTTTGTCTCTAGAACCTTGCTACCTATGGGCCTGGCGGCATGGCCTAGTGGCTAAAGTCCTCACTTTGAATGTGCTGGGATCCCATATGGGTGCCGGTTCTAATCCCGGCTGCTCCACTTCCCATCCAGCTCCCTGCTTGTGGCCTGGGAGAGCAGTCGAGGACGGCCCAAAGCTTTGGGATCCTACACCTGCGTGGGAGACCCAGAAGAGGCTCCTAATTCCCAGCTTCAGATCGGCACAGCACCAGCCGTTGTGGTCACTGGGGAGTGAATCATTGGACGGAAGATCTTCCTCTCTGTATATCTGACTTTACAATAAAAATAATAAACTTTTGAAAAAAAAAAATAAAAAAGAGCCTTGCTAACTTCCAAAGCTGGGCTGAAGCGAAGAAAGCGTGGTAAACCCTGACAATAACTGAAAATTAGCTGGCTTCACCTTCACTTAATCCTTTTCAACCAACAAATAATCTCAAGCCTCCCACACGGGCACGCAGGCACGTGGGCACACGGGCACACAGGCACGCGGACCCAGGAAGTCCTCGACTGTCTTCCATGTGGGTGCAGGGTCCCAAGGCCTTGGGCGTCCTCCACTGCTTTCCCAGGCCACAAGCAGGGAGCTGGATGGGAAGTGGGGTCGCCAGGACTAGAACCGGCACCCATATGGGATCACGGCGCCTTCAAGGCGAGGACTTTAGCTGCTAGGCTACCGTGCCAGGTCCAGAACATAGATGTAAAAACTTTTAAATACCTTATTATACAGGATGAGTTTTCTATTACTTGCCCATGAACTCCAACCCAGCCTTCCCACCAAGTACAGTGCTCAACATCCAAACAGTGCAAATCACTAACTGGCATCTCGTAGCTCACAAAAACACAAAGGGCGCACATCACACCCAGCAATCACCTTGATAAAGATAGCGTTCAGCCTCAGTGCCGACAGGTTCACTGCTATCAAGTCGAGGAGGGTGTCCAACGCGGCGTCAACTTCTGCTTCGTTGCCACTGCAGATGTGGGTCACCAGGGCACCAACGACTTCCTAGAGCAGGAGTAGGAAGCACACATGACAGGCCAATCTAGAAAGTGCCATGCCTGGGGCTGCTGCCATCCTCACAGTTAAAGCAGCTCGCCTCATCCGTTTCCACCACCTAACAGGCAGCAGCATTAACGCGAGCCTCGGGACGAAGCCGAGGCCACCGACCTACCCCCCAGCTCTGACCGATGCTCCTAACCTACCCATGAGTCACCTAAGCTCTCCTGCTTTTGCGTCCTGACATAGTTTTCCTCTTTCTGTTTTTACTCACTCAGGTTGAAGCTTACTTTTTAAGTTGTGGCTGAACTTAATCTATTAAAGTTTCTTGAAACAGTGTCACTAAAGGAGAGAAAGGCTGTACAAGTTTTCTCTGCAGTACCAGTCAGATTTGCATGCTTACAAGTAAGACATTAAGAGGATTCAAAACTGTCCTTGACACCCTTCCTGCTTGCTTCTTCCTGACCGCTTCACAGATTCATAGCAAACTCAAGGTAGCATTATCCACTGCTCTATTCAGTTTCAACAATATTTAAACTTATCACTTGTAAAAGTTTTCTTCAAATGTCTTTGGACACTATTAACAACAGATATCATACTGATAAAAATACAAAATAAAGCACTTTGTTCTCCATCTGCTCTCACGGTAACTTTCCAAAGAACAGTCTTCATTGTGGACATACGCTTTCCATTTAAGTCTCATATAAACAGGAATAAGGGTAAGCCCGCACTCATTCTTATTTATTTTTCATCACATTTTTTTCCTACAGAACAAGTACCACATCAATCAAAATTTAATTATTTACAGCTAACTTTTACCACTATTCCAGCATCATGAAAACCACAAGGGGGTTGGTGCAATGTTTCAACTGCTAATCCGAAGCCTACAAGCACTGGCCTTCCATAAGCACCAGTTCGTGTTCTGGCTGCTCCACTGTGATACGGCTCCCTGACTGTGACTGGGAAAGCAGCACAGCATGCTACAAGTGCTTGGGACCTAGTAACTGTGGGAAACCTGAAAACGCTCCTGGCTCCTGACTTCAGAGTAGCTCCATTCTGGCCATTGTGCCTATCTGGGAAATGGAAGACTGCTTTCGCTCTGTAAACCTGACTTTCTGATAAATAAATAAAACTTAAAATTTATCTTAAAATTCAGCACTCTTTGAAGAAAGTATCTATTTGAAATAACCTGGATCTCACCTTAACCTTAGACTCACAAAATCTTAGAACTCAGACTGAGTTACCAGTTGATTTGATCAACTCCAGGACAAGACAGCATTCCCAGGCCCACTTGGGAATTCCTCCCTCATCAGCGCCTTCCAGCCAATAACAAACACTGGAATTTATTTAATTCACATGGAACTGCAGTTCTTTTCCATTCTACATTTCCTTTCGGAAACAAATACTTCAACATACCTGCTGGTGGTAAGTGTCAAAGAACTTGAATATATATTTGTAGAGGAGACTGCCAAAAGAAATTATGCTCTGTTCTTGGGAGTGAAACAAACTCTGAGCCAGTGACAGAATGGATGAGCCAGCGTCCATAAGAACCTGGAGGGAAAGAAGAAAAAGAGGAAAGTTCTGGACAGTGTAGTTGCTGCAAAGCCTATGGTTTCCCATCAACCACGGGCAGCAATGAAGGAAACATTTTCTGTGCTATGCCAAAGTTCTCCCAAAATCCCATTTTAGGTTCAGGAATGATATGATTTGTTTTACTCAGAAAAATCCATCATTTTGAGTTTGTCTCAGTATCAAGAGGATTCCACATTTGAGTAGCAGTTAACCGTGAAACTTCAGTTACAAGGTAAATAAAACTGTTTCCCATCTGCCACCGTGCAGTAAGAATCTCGCTGTCCTCACCCACTCACGCTGCCTCCTGGGGAAGCTGCAGTCAGTATGCGACACAGGAACACTCAGCAAGACAAAGGGACAGAGCCAGTGCTGTGGCACAGAGGGTAGAGCCCTCGCCTGCGACACTCCATAAAGTGCTGGTTACAGTGCCAGCTGCGCTCACTCTGACTCTGTTCCCCGTTACAGTACGATGGTCCTTGTTACCCACACAAGTTGCAGACTCCTGGCTTCAGCAGGGGCTGCTCCAACTGCCACTACTGCAGCATTTGGGGAGCACCATGTACAGCTGCAAGATTTCTCTCCCCCTCTCTCTGTAACTCTACACTTCAACTGAAAAGTTTTTCATTTTTTAAAGTTCATGTTGGTACTGGGCCCAGTGCGATGGACGAATAGCTAAATCCTTGTCTTGCATATGCTGGGATCCCATATGGGTGCTAGCTGGGGTCTTGACTACTCTACTTCCCATCCAGCTCCCTGCCTGTGGCCTGGGAAAGCAGTTGAGGAGAACCCAAAATCTTGGGACCCTGTACCTGCGTGGGAGACCTGAAAGAAGCTCCTGAATCCTGGCTTCAGATCTGCCCATTTTGATTGCGTTGTTAATATTACAGATTCTCAGTAATGCTAAATACTACTGCTGATGTTTTGAAATACACTGAGCTCAGTACACACCAAGGTTGCGATAAAATGACCTCTCTTTATCTTTCAGACACTCACCAAGTGATGGATATAGAAGGTGCTCTGCAGCAGATCCTCCGGAAAGCAGCCCAGGCGGATCTTGTTCCGCAGCACCCTTTCCACGCTCTTCTTCGCCTGAATGTTGTTGCTATAGATGATGACCAGCATGGCCAGGTCGAAAGTCTGTCGTCAACAAAGACACACAAGAGAGAGTTTAACATTTACTACATTTAACACAAACAGCAGCTCCTTTTTGCTACTAAAACACATAGCAAATAAGATGTATTTGCCTAATGTATATCTAAGTGAATATCTACAATTTCACAACACCCATAAAATCTTTAGGGAAACAAAGCACCACAATTATTAAATGTGGATATCTCTTAAGAAAACACCAGAACATAAGTGATATTCATATTACAGAAATAAGTTTAAAGAGATTCATCTTTATTGAAAGGGAAACAGACATTAAAACACTTAGGGCATCATAATGGCATTTCAGGTTAAGCCATCACATGGGAAGCTTGTATCCCAGAAGGGTGCGAGTTCGTGTCCCAGCGGCAACATTTCAAACTCAGTTCCCTGATGTTTGCTAATGACCCTGGCAAATCAGTGAATGACTGTCCCAGTGATTAGATCTGAATCCCTTATGAGAGATCCCCAAAAAACTCTTGGGTCCTGCTTTTAGCCTGGCCTGGACCTGAGCATCACAGCAGATGAAAAATTCCCTCACTTTGTCTCTCCTCTCTCTATATAACTCGCTCAAATAAAGAAATGCTCTTAAAAAAAAATCACATTTATTCGAACATAGAAGCAGGAACATATTTATGAATGGAGAAAGAAGGACAAAATTAAAAAGTCAGAATACAGTTACTTATACAGAAACTACAGATCTGTAAAACATGCGGCTAAAGCAGGCCACTTGCTTTTAGGTCATCTCCTGTCCTCCCAGGCACATCAGAAGAGAACTGTATTGAAGTGCAACAACAGATTGCAACTGGCCCCTGCATGGCATGCCGGCTTTGAGGCTCAGTCCACAGCACAATGCTAGCCCTTATTTTAATTCCAGAATAGAGATATTCCATCTACCGCCTAGGACAAGACAGGCAGAATAGAGGATGGGACTCAATCCGGGTCTGCTCCAGAGGAGGGAGGAAGCCAACTCCCTGTGCCATCCCCTGCTTTCCCAGGGTGCATGTTACCAAGAACTAGCACTGAAACTCAAACCCAGGCGACTGAGCGTGGGCCACAGGCACGCCTTCCAGGCCAAGCACCCACCACCACCTGGCATTACTGAGGACAGCACAGGAGGATGACTGGATGACAAGAGGAGAGTCAGGCTAGGCAATGTCCTTACGTTTAAGCCTGGGACAGTTCAGGCTCACATACCTTGTGTTCAGACTCCGAGGAAACATTTTCAATTGCCTGAAAAGTAAACGTCACACGAAGTTAAATGCATCAAGGGGCACATATTTCACCTGGTTCATGCATATTTTTCTCCCATTTGACATTAAATCTGCCTGTGCAATTATCACTTGTCACCGACTCTTCCAAATGAATGACTTTTACAATCTACTTCAATCTACACACCAACTGCCACCCCCCTTGACCCTCCCGGCCTAAAGCTCACTCACCTTAATCCAGGCATCCGAAACGACCTTCTCGTATCTCACAGAGGACTTTATTACATCAAAGAGGAGCACGACACAATTCTGACAACCACTTTCTTGACTTCGTGAAAAACTACAAGCAGCAGACAAAAAATATACCCTCAACGTGACCAGGGCTGAGAAAGTCTGGATTCCTGCTTCGCAGCCACGCGCCCTGCATCAAGTCACAACCTCACGTATACAAAGGTGAGTATTAGATGGAACCAGAGTACTTCCGGGATTGAGCTGGGAACCTTGGACATTACACGGAGACAGATATCACCAAACATCAGCGGAAACTATACTCACGATTATTTTTAAACTGGAAAGGCAGATACCAGAGAGGAGGAGGGAACGAAAGGAAGATCTCCCATCTGTTGATTCACTCCCCAAGTGACCACAACACCTGGTGCTGTGCCAATCCGGAGCCAGGAGCCAGGAACTTACTTCCAGGTGTCCCATGTGGGTGCAGGGTCCCAAGGCTTAGGGCCATCCTCAACTGCTCTCCCAGGCCACAAGCAGGGAGCTGGATGGGAAGCAGGCCTGCCAGCATTAGAACCAGTGCCCATATGGGATTCCATGCATTCAAGGAAAGGACTTTGCAATAGGCCTGAAGGATTTTCATGTTTTTGGTTCTAGTTTCATCTCTTCAAAACACTTTCTTACTCATTAAATTCCTCCTGACTCATAGATCATACAGTAGCATCATTTTCTTTAAGACGGTTCTTGACTGAGCCTGGCGCGGTGGCCTAGCAGCTAAAGTCTTCGCCTTGAACAAGCCAGGATCCCATATGGTGTCGGTTCTAATCCTGGCAGCTCCACTTCCCATTCAGCTCCCTGCTTGTGGCCTGGGAAAGCAGTCAAGGACAGCCCAAAGCTTTGGGACCCTGCACCCGCATTGAAAACCCAGGAGAGGCTCTGGGCTCATGGCTTCAGATCAGCACAGCACCGGCCATTGTGGTCACTTGAGCAGTGAATCATCGGATGGAAGATCTTCCTCTCTGTCTCTCCTCCTCTCTGTATATCTGCCTTTCCAATTAAAATAAATAAATTTTTTTAAAAAAAGTTCTCCATTTTCTTTTCCATTTCTTCAGTGACACATTATTCATTCAGTAGCATGTTATTTAACTTCATGGCATTGTTAATTTCTTTTTTTCTACCTGCTGTTGACTTTGTTTTGTGGCTTTTCATTTAAGGGGATGTATAGTAACTGTAATGGAGACGTAATGTAATGTAATCCAGACATGACGCTACAATGCAGTATGCATCTCTACTTCCAGTTCAAAGATGGACTCACAATGAAACTGTTAACTGTATCTTGAAAATAGGATGCTGCATTCTGCCATTGTCCATGCCCGCAGTGATGAAGAACTATAGTACTGTAATAATATAGGGGAACTCAGTGGGGGTAGGGAGTGCATTTGGGGAGGGCAGTAAGGAGAATTCCAGGGCCTATGGAACTGTATCATAAAATGATCTAAAAAAACATACAAACACAGCCACGATATAACATTGCACAATATGGTACATGAATATAATGACACTATCAGAATTTATAGCTTCAGGGCCTGGCATGATCACTCAGCAGATAAATCCTCATTCTTGAACTACCGGGATCTCACATGAGTGCCAGTTCTAGTCTGGGCTGCTCGTCTTCCCATCCAGCTCCCTGCTTGTGGCTTGAGTAGAGCAAAGTCCAAGTTCTTGGGACCGTGAATGCACCTGGGAGTCCCAGAAGCAGTCACTTGGGAAATGAACCAGCAGACAGATAATCTTTCTCTCTATCTCTCCTCCTCTCTGTAAATCTACCTTTCCAACAAAAATACATAAATCATTAAAAACCAAAAATTTCCAGATTCAAGTACTAAGCTTTGCTTTCTCCATTCTGATTCCAGGATAAATGTCAGAAAGCTTTCCCAATCCATGAGACAAAAATGGTTGCAACTGTCAAAAAGCACCATACCTTGCCGGCCCTTTGGTTTTCAACCTGACTTGTGGCGGCTGAAAGAAGGAGGGCAAGATACAGTGCTGCACATCCAGCTTGTCCCGCAGCTCGGAGATGACCTGCGGACACAAGCGTTAGCAATGTGCTGTCATTCACAGCAGATGGTAGCCGATTCTCAACAGAAACCCAACATCATCCTCAAGGACTGAAGAAGAAAAGGTTTCAAATCTTGGCAAGGCATTTTGACAAAGAGTTGAAGAGAATGGCTAACCCAATTCCAGACTTTCTTACGGTACCAAAAGAAAATGGAAAAGATCGCGTAAAGCAACCTGCACAGAAGCGCCACTCTCTTCTTGGGATGCTACCTGGGCTAGCCAAGATCATCAGTGTGTGGACAGAAAACAGCAATTGGGGGCTACCAATTTAAAGAATTTTTGAGCAATCTGTCTCTAGGTTTAGTGGGACTATCAGCATACCTCAAGGGCATTGTTGGCTGTCACAGAATGAAGGATGAACTTGATTATCACAGGTAAATCTTCGAAAGTGACAGATAACAGCTTATTCATCACCAGCTGGCGAACCTAAAAATACCCACGAGAATGTCTGTAATATCATCAAATCACGACCTCAACGACACATTGAATAAAAAGCAAACAAAACAAAGCGAAAGACACAGTACTCTCAATTTTCCAATCTGTAATCCATGAAAAAAAATCTTCCCATTCTGGCCCAAATTAAGAACCTTGCATTTTTAACATCAAAGTTTCTTCAGATGGGTGACAAATACAAAAACAGTGTTTACACCTTGTGTTTTGGAGTCCTAATTTTCAACTGATTACAGGAGGCCTAAAACAGGTTACTCCTTGAAGGACAATACACTCAGCCCACCTACAAACACTCAGCACCCAAAACTCAGTGAAAAGAAAGCCATGACCAAATGTCCTCCCTCCTGGCTGCTCCCTCGGCAACGGCGGCCTGAGCTGTATCCGGAGAAGTGCCTGGCCCACCTTACACAGCAGGTCTGCTTCTAGCCGGAGGCTGGACAGAACATCCAGGATTGGGACGGTCAGCAGAGTGTTCTCCACCAGCAAGTCACTGCGAATGGGTGAAAGAGGAAAAGCTTGTTACCTGTTCTCCGACACAGCTTTGCCGCGGTAGGACACTCAGCAACTGCAGCAGCCTGCCCCGCACCTCCCCCAGAGCATCACAAAGTGTGCACAGGCCTTGCACAGAATGCATGCACACCCTCTCATACTTTCAACCATTTCTAGATTGCTCACATTAATTAATTCATTGAAATTGCAATAAAGGTCCTACTGCAGTGGCTCGATTGGCTAACCCTCCCCTTGCAAGTACTGGGATCCCATATGGATCCTAACCACCTCCCTGCTTGTGGCCTGGCAAAGCAGTAGAGGATGGCTCACGGTCTTGAGACCTTCCACCCACGTGGAGATCCAGAGGTGGCTCCTAGCTTCGGATCAGCTTGCCTTGGCCACTGCAGCCACTTGGGGAGTCAGCTAGCAGATGGAAGATCTTTCTGTATATTTCTACTTCTCTCAATTTCTGGGGATTAACCAGAGAAAAATACCTGACTGTGTTTACAATGTTTTTCCAATTCATGGTTAGGTGAATTCAAGGATGCAGAACATAAGCATACACAAGACCAGCTTAGTTCCTATGAACTACAGTTCAGGGCACACATTGTGATGTATCTGATTAATCCACCACCTACAACACCAGCATTTCATACAGCTGCTGGTGCGACTGGGAAAGCAGTGGAAGACAACCCAAATGCTTGGGCAGGGGACCAGCACAAAGACCCTGGTTTCTTTTCTCGGGCTGGCCCAGTTGTGTCATCTGAGAAGGGAACCAGCAGATCCAAGATCATTTCGTCTGCCTTTAACTCTGTCTCTCAAACATTAAATCAAAACAAGCAAACACCTGAACACTGTTCATAGAATGTGTCATGAAAAAAATTTTTTTAAAGACTTATTTTTCTTTTTTTATTGGAAAGGCGGATATACAGAGAGGAGAGACAGAGGAAGATCTTCCGTCCGATGATTCACTCCCCAAGTGAGCACAACGGCCAGTATTGTGCCGTTCCGAAGGCAGGAGCCTCTTCCGGGTCTCCCACACAGGTGCAGGGTCCAAAGCCTTGGGCTGTCCTCGACTGCTTTCCCGGGCCACAGGCAGGGAGCTGGATGGTAAGCGGGGGCCACCGGGATTAGAACCAGCGCCCATATGGGATCCCGGGTGTGCAAGGCGAGGACCTTTACCACTGTGCCATTGCGCCAGGCCCAGAAAAATTATTTTTTTAAAGGTTGATTTTTGTTAGAAAGATATACAGAGAGGAGGAGAGACAGAGAAAGGTCTTCTGTCCGATGATTCACTCCCAAGTGGTCGCAATGGCCAGCTGAGACAATCCGAAGCCAGGAGCCCAGACCATCCCTGGGTCTTCTACGCGGGTGCAGGGTCTCAAGGCTTTGGGCCGTCTTTGACTGCTTTTCCAGGCCACAAGGAGGGAGCTGGATGGGAAGCAGGGCTGAAAGCAAGAGCCGGGGCCCATATGGGATTTCAGCTCGCTCAATGTGAAGACTTCACAGCTGCTAGGCTACTGCACCGCACACCAAAATCTTTTTTATTCTCAAAAAATAATGAAGTGGGGTGACAGGCAGTGGCCTACTGGCTAAATCCTTGCCTTGTATGCCCCAGGATACTGTACAGGCACCAGTTCATATCTGTCACTTCCCATCTAGGTACCTGCTTGTGGGAAGTCCATGAAAGATCTTTCTGTCCCCCATTTTCTCTGTAAATTTGCATTTCCAATAAAAGTAAAAACTCATAAAAAATTACAGAAACACTTCGGTCTGGTGTTGTACAGCACATGAAGCCCCAGCTTGGGAAACTCGTATTCTACATGGTTTTAAACTAAGCTATTCCATTTCCAATGCAGCTTCCCGCCAATGCAAGCTGGTGGATGATGGCCCAGGTACTTCAGAGCTGCACCCACATGGGACCCGGGTAGAGTCCCCAGCTCCTGTCCGGCCCTGGCTATTACACGAGTACACGGAGAGCTCTTTCTGCATCTCCGTCCTAATTACTGCCCAAACAACCACAACACCAGCTTCCTGGTCCCAGCCTGGCAGTGTATCAGACCAACCCTGTGACTGCTACACCAACATCGCACACAGATTTGGGCCCAGTAGCTTCACTTCCAACCCAACTCCCTACTCACGGCCTGAAAAAGCAGAAGAGGCTGGTTTAAGCCCTTGCACCCCTGCACTCACTTGGGAGTCATGGAGGAAGTTCCTGGCTCCTGAACGGCTCAGCTCCAGCTACTGTGACAATTTTGGGAGTGAACCAGCTGACAGAGGGTCTCTGTCTGCCTCTCTTCATAAAATCTGTCTTTTGGGCCCAGCACAGTAGCCTATCAGCTATGTCCTCGCCTACTTGAGCATGCCAGGAGAGAGCGCATTTAGCCACCTGAGCTCCTTGCCCACTTGAGCATGCTGGGAGTCCCCAAGGATCTCCGGCAGACTGGTGATCACGTCATGCTGCAGGCCTGCTGGGGCAACGCTGATGAGCTGCATGAGCCTGGTGCTGAGCTCCTGCAACGGAGCACACGGTTAGAATCACACCATGTTAGAGGACACCTATTCCCAAACGCACAGAATGAGATATTTTGCGGGCATTTGAAAACCACACATGCCAAGTTCAAAACCTAAATGCAGGGTCAGTGTCGAGGCACAGTGGAGCAAACTGCAGCAAAAAGTGCCTACATCCCATATGGACAGCAGTTCAACTTGACTCTCTTCCTGTCTAGCTCCCTGCTGATGTATCAGAGAAAAGCAGCAGGAGACAGTCTAAGCGCTTGGGCCCCTGTACCCAAGTGGGAGACTCTGAAAAAGTTCCCGGCTCAGGGCTGCCAGGGCTTTCCAACTGTGGACTTAAAATATGAGGACATGAGTTGTTCAGGAATACATGCTTAAAGAAGAGACAAAATCCCAGCCCAAAAAGATTCAAAAATTCTCTATCAGTTAAATAACGACTTAGGCTTGAAATATCTTACCAAAATTGGCAGAAAATGCTTAAGAACTGGAAAGAAATGGGCTGTATGCTGTGGGCTCACAGCAGATTCGACTGTACTGGGGAGCTCAACAGCACGTCGCACCACTTCCTGTGATCGTCATCAGTATGCAACTTACTGAGGACATTTGTGGGAAGAGGGCAAGCAGGTATCACTGCTAAGAGATAAGCACAGATTTCGGAACTCTGCAAAAGCAATTTTCTTTCAAATACTTATCAAAATTACATCTTTTTTTTTTTTTTTATACCATAAGGCTCTTTTTTTTCCCCCAAGAAATTAAGAGTGACACTCCTAATTCTCACTCAAGTTAGGAAAGTTCAAAACAGCTAGTGGCCAAAAAGCAAATGGAAAAGCATGAATGTTGGTGCCTGGCACAAACTTAGGTGTTTGTGTTTTACATACAGCCTGTATCACACACATCTCACAAGTGATGTGAACGCTTCGTTTAGTAAGAAGCAAAAACCTTACAAATTCCGAAAATTCAGTTAAGTAGAGTGAACAGGCACCTTAAGTCGGTGGAGTCGGAGCCTACCTTGCTGTCCACAACTCTGTCGAGCCACTTGAGCTGGCTGAGGATGAGCCGAGGCAGGCTGAGCACGTCGCCCTTCACACTGCAGGCAGGGGCAGAAGACACGGGACTGACACAACAGCAAGCTGCAAGGCTACACACACAAGTTCAGTCTCCAAGTTTACCAAACACCTGAAATGCACAGGACGCTGTGCTGGACACACAGGTGGTATCAAAAAAGCAGGACACATAAGCTCATATGTGGAGGGGTCTTTTAAAAAGTCTGTAAGAATACATATTATGAAAAAAAAAAAAAACTAAGCATAGACTTCAACAAAATTTTGTGTCAAATGAACATATCTTTTAATTCCATCTTCCATAAACACTCTGAAATCCCGTGACATGCTAAAAAAAAGTCTGGGAAAGGATTCATTGGTTCAGAGTGGCAAGGTCAGAGGAAAAGGAGGACAAGGCTAGCCAGAATCCCTTACTAACAACAGAAACCTGTGGAAGACATCAAAGCCAATTTTTCAAAACTAAAATGGGAGGCCAGCACGTCAGGATATGTCTCTGCCTGCTATACAGCATCCCACAGGGACAGCAGTTCAAGTCCCAGGAGTTCGATTTTCAATACAGCTAGTAAGGAGCCTGGGAAAGCGAGGGAAGACAGCCTAGGTCCATACACATGCAACACTCCTTAGCAGCCATCTCAGGAATAAACCAGCAGGTGGACTATGTCTCTGTAACTCTGCCTTTTTAATTACATGAGACAAAATCACTTTGCTTAAAATGTTACCATCTCACTGTTTACAACTTTTTGATATTTTAAGCAGTGACCCCATATCTGGGTTTCCACTCCATTACCACCTAACATAAATTAGGAGACGTGACATGGAGGACAGAGGTGAACGCAAAGCCTGAAATATGGACACATACAGCCCACTGTTCTTCACAAAAACTGGACTCCTTTCTACTCTCATAGGCACGACTGACCTTATTCACGGAAATCAAACAAGAGTCATTCTGAGTGGGCAAGTGCATTTATTGCTTTAAAGAAAGACACCCCAATAACATTTTGTCACTTAAAAATGAACTGTGACGACAGTAGGTATGCCCTTCAAAGAAACTCGTGATGTTTCACAGTAACCTCGACAGAAATGTAAACACACCAAAGTACCTTGGCTCTCCCACAGCAGTTCTACTTACTTCTCAAAAAAAAACTCCGGCAACTTTTCAAACAAGGTTTTGATGACAGCAGGCTAAAAATGAAGACAAAAAGGATTAGGAAAGAGTCTCAAATGCACAGAATTCTCTTTCCGAAGAGACCCTGCTGTCTGACACCCTCTTTCCAGAAGGGCACCCAGGCAGGTGTGTGCGGCACAGCAGTCACTGCCCCACTAAACACATCCGTGTCTAAGTCCCTGTCACATGATGCTTCCAAGCAAGCTTCCTGCTAACCGTACACAGGGCTTGGCAGACGATGGCCCACGTCCCTGAATCCTGCCCGCCACAGGGGAGACCCAGGTAAGGTCCTGCTTCAGCCTCACCCTGGTCTAGCCAGCCTCAGTTGCTGCAGGGATGTAGAGAAAGAACAGTGGATGGGAGCAATCCCTCTGTCACTATGTCTTTCAGATGCAATAAATAAACCTTTTTTGTTAAACCTATAATTTTTTTGAAAGGTAAAGTTATAGAGAGATACAAAGAGATGTTCCATCCACTGGTTCACTCCCCAAATGGCTGCCATGGCCAGAGCAGGGCCAATAGGAATCCAGGAACCGGGAGCTTCTCCCATACGAGTTCACAGACTCAAGCACTGGGGAAAATCTCCACTGCTTTCCTAGGCCACAAGCAGGGAGCTAGGTCAGAAGTAGAGAAGCCAGGACTCAAACCGGTGCCCATACGGATACCAGTACCAAAAACAGAAGCTTAGCCAGCTATGTTACAGTGCTGACCTGCTGGCATAGGAGGCTGGTACGCTGCCTGCAGCACCTACACCCCATGTGGGCACTGGTTCAAACTCAATCTAGCTCTTGACTTAAAGACTGGGAAGACAGCGAATGGTCTGAATCCTTGGGCGCCGACATCCATCCATGTGGAGACCCTGAAGGAGCACCTGGCTCCTGGTTTCAGCCCAGTCCAAATCTGGCCACTGCAGCTACTGGGGGCGGGGGGGTGGACAGTGAATTGAAGCCTCTCTGTAACTCCTCACAAGTAAAGTAAACCTTAAATAAATAACCTAGTGGCTAAACCCTCACCTCACCCGTGCCAGGGGCCTATGAGCATCAGTTCGTATCCCAGCTGCTCTACTTCCCATCCCGCTCCCTGCTTGTGGCCTGGGAAAACAAATGAGGACAGCCCAAAGCCTTGGGACCCTGCACCCGTGTGGGAGACGGAAGCAGCTCCTGGCTTCAGACTGGCTAAACTCCGGCTGTTGTGGTCACTTGGGGAATGAACCAGTGGACAGAAAGATCTTTTCTCTCCGTCTTTCCTTCTCCCTGTAAATCTGATTTTCCAATAAACATAAATAAATCTTTAAATAAATAATGTCAATATGAATAATGTCTATATTATGAACATACTTATCAGTAATTTATCCTCTAAAAATGATTTCAAAGCATAATTCAAATAATAAACTAATCAGAAATATTATTAAATATGGTCACTACTAACTCACTAACGCAAAGTTTGCTTGTCATCCTTGCACACGGGCCACGCTAATCTCTGAATGGCTTCAACTGCAGTATATGTGCTGCCGAAGCAAGCACCACTCACAAGGCTGAAAGGATTATCAAGAGTACTGCAGTCCAGGGGGTAGTCCCCTGCGTGTGCTGCCAGTCCACACTGGAGTTCTGGCTACTGCACAAGCAGTCGGGCTTTCTTCAATGCATCCTGGCAGGCAGAGCATGGGGACTGGATTGCTCTGTCGGTACCACGCATGAGACCCAGACGGAGACTACAGACGCTGGCTTGGGCCTGCTCCAGTCCTGGCTGATGCGGGCATCGGAAGAGTCAACTACAAGATGTAAGGTATCTGAGTCTGTCACTACTCCTTCCAAGCAGAATACAATACCCATAAAAAAAAATTACCAAAGAGTTTGCAAGAAGAGAAGCGCTTTCTTTAGAGGAATAGGTAACGATTTAATTAACCTAACAGAATTAAACCCAACATTTCCAATAAAAAACAAAGGTTAATGAGCATGGAGAAATGAACAACAATCAAAAGGAGGGCAATGGGGCCCAGCGCAATAGCATAGTGGTTAAGGTGCCCGCCTTGCACGCGCCAGGATCCCATATGGGCGCTGCTTCTAATCTGGCAGCCCTGCTTCCCATCCAGTTTCCTGCTTGTGGCCTGGGAAAGCAGTCGAAGACGGCCCAAAGCGATGGGACCCTGCACCCAAGTCAGAAACCCAGAAGAGCTCCTGGCTCCTGGCTTTGGATTGGCTCGGCTCTAGCTGTTGCGGCCACTTGAGGAATGAATCATCGAACGCAAGATATTACTCTCTGTCTCCCCTCCTTCTGGCCAAGGAAAGTTACAGAGAATGGTCCAGGGCCTTGGGACCCTGCACTCACAAAGGAGACCTGGAAGCAGCTCCTGGCTCCTGGCTTCAGACCAGTTTACCTCTGGCTATTACAGACATCTGGGGAGGGGAGCGAACCAGTGGACCCAAGACCTATCTGTCGGTATCTCCTGCTCTCTGTAAATTGACTTTCCAATAACAAAAAAAATAATAAGTCTTAAAGTCACAGGAACAGCACGATGGCTCACTTGGCTAATCCTTCTCCTATAAGCACCAGCATCCCATACAGGTTTCAGGTCTAGTCCAGGCTGCTACCCATCTGATCCAACTCTCTGCTTATGGCCTGGGAAAACAATGGAGGAGGGCTCACGCCCTCGGGCCTGCACTCCCACGGGGGAGCTAGGAGGGAGTCCTGGCTCCTAGCCCTGGATGGCCAAGCTCCAGCCTTGGCAGTCACTGGGAAGCAAACAACACACAACATCTTCCCCTTTCCTCTTTCTCCTGTAAATCTTTCAAATCAAAACAAATAACTAAACAAATATTTCTTTTTAAGAAGAGGAGAAAATGAGCAAAATCAAATTCCTTTAGCAACTAGAAAGCTCAATGGGAAATGATAAAGATGCGAATGCAGCTAAAATCACAAGCTGTTCAGAACACGTAGGACACAGCTTTAAGAAACAGCGATGAGATGCCGATGAAGCACACGGGACTCGCTGCCACAGTACTGGGCCGTTCAGCACAAATCATACAGGTGTCACTGTATCAGTCATCTCAGCACAACAGGTCCAGCTGCCAGTCACACTCCACCTCATCCCAGCCACTGACACCCGAGCAGTGCCACCAGCCACACCCACCCAACCACCGACAGAGCGCGCAGCCTCACCTGCAGTATGTCAATGCCCAGCAGCAGCTTGATGAGGCTCTTAGAGTAACAAGTGCTTGTGCTGCAAAAACGAGATTTGTTTGCTTTGTTAACGGCTTTATTTTATTTTCCCCACTGTATACATCAAAGAGATGTCTATCCTGTTAGCTAAGAAATACACAACATGTGGGTCCAGTGCAGTTGCAGAGTGACTAAAGTCCTCGCCTTGCACATGCTGGAGAACCAGTTCTAATCCTGGCGGCCTAGCTTCCCATCCAGCTCCCTGCTTGTGGCCTAGGAAGGCAGTGGAGGATGGCCTAAAGCCGTGGGACCCTGCACCGCATGGGAGAGCCAAAAGAAGTTCCTGGCTCCTGGCTTCAGACTGGCTCTAGAAAATATTCCACTTTGAGCCTCATAAAGACTAACAATAGGGCCTGGGAGGGGTGGGGGGAATCCCAGTGCCTATAAAACTGTATCACATAATACAATGTTATTAACAATTTTAAAAAATCATTAAAAAAAAAAAATAGGGCCTGGTGTGATGACTCAATGACTAAATCCTCACTGTGCAAGTGCAGGGATCCCATATAGGTGCTAGTTCCTTCCCATCAAGATCCCTGCTTGCGGCCTGGGAAAGCAGAAGATGCTCCAAAGCCTTGGGACCCTGCACCTGCGTGCGAGGCCCAGAAGAAGCTCCTGGCTCCTGGCTTTGGATTGGCTCAGCTCTAGCTGTTGCTGTGATAACTGGGAAGTAAACCACAAGGGTAAGATGTTCCTGTCTATTTCTTCTTTCTGTAAATCTGATCTGCCTCTCCAATAAAAATAAATCTTAAAAAAAAAAGAGCAACACCAGGAGCGTATGCTGTCGCTGTCCAGCAGAGCTGTCGCCGGCAGTGCTGCAGGCCCACATGACCGCTGGTTGGAGTCCCGGCTGCTCCAGTTCCCATCCAGCTCCATGCTGATGCACCTGGGAAGGCAGTGGAATCATCCAAGTGCTTGGCCCCAATGCCTTTGTGGGAAACCCAAGGCTTCCGGTGCCACGGTCACGCAGCGAATGAACCAGTGCACAGAGGAAAGACCTCTCTGTCTCTCTCCTCCCTACCTCATCCACTTCATTGTAATTCTTCCAAATAAAACAATCTTAAAAAAAGACCAACAATAATTTTAAAATTAAGGTTGAGTTCTGAGGAAAACAGGCAGAAGTCAACAAGAAAAACTCCTTAAACAAATAACACGTGCTTTTCTACCTCCCTGCTGCCTTCAGCCAGTGTGACAGAGAGAACCCGGCAAGCGTCCACGCCTCTGCTCACCTGCTCTCCTCATCCTGCAGCCGCTCACAAGACAAAAGGCACTTCCTGAAATTATCTGGATCCTCAATGTAAGACTCCAGGCCAGTCACAAACTCTTCCACAACCTTAACGAGAAGATTAAAAACAACAGTAAGACAATTCAGCTTCACACTCGCTGTCAGCTAACACCATCTTAGCCCCGCTCAACTCCGTATAGATACACAGCGTCTTTCCATTCCCAAATCCAGAATGCTGAGAAAAACCAACCGCAAGGGAAAATACATACTTTGGGATAAGAAGGATGCTTCCTCAGCGTCTCAAAGAGCTTCTTCTGGAAAACTATTTGATCCACAGCTGTGGAGAAATAAGAACTCGTCACCTAGTAGCTCAAACTTGGTTTATTTGGGAGTCCTCTGAAAAGGGATTTGGTCTCCAAAGTCTTACATTAACCTTCATGGATTAACGGCAGTGCTGAAGGCAGCACCTTCAGACTGACTAATTTGGATGAAGTTGGCAGCCAGGAAGTCTGGGACTTTTAAATACAGATCACGTGGACATGCAAGAACAGGCTCCCTAGTTGCTATTCCCCAGCTAACCATGTGACCCCCAAACCCCAACCTTCCTTCATTCTCACACTCGGGGGGCTGCCCAATCCCGGCCTGTGAAGCTCCTATGAGCTGAAATAAACCTTTCCGCTCACAGACTCCTCCCCCAAGTCACGGTAACAGACACAAGAACATCTCCGCCACTCATTTTCCTTCTCTAAACACCCAGCTATCTTGTTTAGTAAAACCATTAACAATACTTTCTACCTAACTTCAGGGTTTATAGTACTGTTCTAAGCTCACGGTAGGGACCTGGATTTAACAGAAGTACCAAGCGGGCATTATGAACACCACCGGCCAAGACCTCAGGACTGTGTATTTGAAATCAAAATGGAGTGCTCGCTTCAGCAGCACATATATGAAATCAAAATGGAGCCAACGTAGCTCACTGCGAACTGCAATGACCTTTAGTGTCAACAGCACCCAACTCTCATGAATCAAGGGCCCAGCCTAACTGACACAGAGAAACCTCCAAGATCGGGGTCTGGTTGTCACAGATGGCACCAAGGCTGGAGCCTGGACCTGAGAAAAGCCAGGCATGGGCTGCCCAGCAGAGACAAGCAAGGAATGTGTGGTCTTTCCTCTCACTCTGCAAGCTACTGTAAACTGCCCCATATAAATTGTGTATTTGCAGTTTGTGGTCGCACTCTGGTAAGGGTGGCGGTCCCATCTGGTCAGCTGCCTCGCCTCTTGCCGGAGTCCAGCTCCAGCTGAGTTCGGAACTCGCGAAGGGTGCGTGGATGAGGCGCAAAGAAAGGAGATGGACCACTAGGAACTCTTGATCATCATAATGGACCACGCACAAAAGCTGTCCGCTTTATTTATACAAAATCAGTCAAACTCTGGCTCAGACTTTTTACGTCATGGTCAAGTGGTATTTCTAAAGATAACTCTGCCATATCTTTCACCTAAGGCTAGGATGTTAACCACCTTGTGCCTGGCACCTGGCACCTGGCTAGGAAAAAGTTCTCAATAGATGGTGCATATCAATCACTAACACATTCCTACCACAATTACTCTACAGCTTGGTCTTGAGACAGTCAAGGAAGGAAGGGACCTAAAAGATCAAAGAAAGAGGGAAAGAATAGATTCCCACTACACCTGAAAACAGAACACCCTTGATTAGCATAGGATCAAAAGGGGAGTTAGCACCCTTGATTAGCATATTGCCATAGGATGCAGCTGTAACAACAATAACAGCTTTTTGGCTAAAAAACCGGCAACAGCAACATCAGCTTCTAAGCTCCCATTGATATTTAACAGTAACTCCGCAGAGGCAGACAATGCTTAAATAGATTACAGAAATCTCAATGGGGTTGTCCGGTGTCCATGCAAAGGGAGGCAAAGCTGCATTCAGGTGTTGTAGAGACATCCACCGGGCCTTGCCACACAGCGGGACATTCCTTGCGGCCTTGCCTGCAAAGGAACGATACTCTTCACACCTTCCTGTCTTCCACATCCATCAGTTGGACCCCAGCATCCTCTCACTGTAATGAAGCTTTGCTGCAAGTGGCACTGTTGAATGTGGATACCACAGGGCAAGATCACTGTTGCCCTCTTCCTCCCCAAAGAGGACAGACCGGGCTTTCCTAAGTCTTCTTTGGAAATCATTCGATCTAATTGTTCAACAAGCATTATTTCCCCAAAAGAAAATACAAAGGAGTACAACATACATTTTCTCTTATGAAAGATTAGAAACAGTTTAGCATACGCAAACAATGAAGTAATAAAAACAAAACATCAACGCACAGCTACTTCAGCATTCATTAACCATGCCAACAGCTACCCTTTAAAAAGCAGCTTCACTCACAGGGCCTCCTGCTTCTAATCTGCACTACCTCTCCACCTAGGAAACCCGTGACTCCTGAGCCAGAAAAGAGCTCAAGAATGAAGTAGTTACCGAGCTGAAGCTGACGCTGGCCGGGTTTCAGAAGAACGCCTGCTGTCTTCAGAAGCCTCACAAAGACACTGTCGCTGTCGTCAGCTTTCTCAGTAGCAAGAAATGTCTTTGTCTTTTTGGAAAGTTGTTCCATGCCTTCTGAAAAATGGGTGATATCTTCAATGGCAAGACACAGATTCAAAAGGAAACAGGAATAATAACTCCGAGACATCAATGTGTTCTTGAAGCATTATACCGGAATTGGCTCTCTCTAAAAACTGTCGGCAACAAATCAGTCAACCAATCAATCGCCAAATAGGATTACTCTCACCCATGGAGTTTGCACTTGAAAAAAATCACAATCTTCTATTGAAAAAAACAGTTACTTTTAAAATAACAACAACAAAATACTTACTGTAAGATTCGTCACCAGGAAACCAAATGTAAGATTCATTGACCACCAGGGAAACAATACTCAGCCGATTATATAAAAAGAATTTAGATGGCCTTTACTCCGGGGAACCACGGTCACGGGCTTCCCTCCCCGCACAGCAGGAAGACAGACATGAAGGAGAGGGCTGCAGAGGAAGGAGGGCCAGGAAGAGAGGTGCAAGGGGGTCTTAACCCCCTCTTGCTACTGAAGCTTCTGGGTTGCAGCCTGAGGTTGGACCGGAAGTAAGCTCTGCCCTCCCCCAGTTACCAGGGCAACCATCATTCATCCTTCTTGAAATTTATTTATGGAGTTTTATTAATTTGAAAAGCAGAGCAGTAGAGACAGAGAGGGAAGAGGGAGGGAGGAAGGGAAAGATGCTCCATCTGCTGGCTCCCTCCCTCAGCGGCAGCAAGAGCCAGGAAAGGGTCAGCGTGAGGACCAGTGTTGGGAGCTCCACTCAGATGTCCTCTGAATGGCAGGGGCCCAACACTGAGCAGTCATCAGCAGTTACACGGGGAGCATGCCCGCAGGCAGCTCCAGCAGACCTGCGGATGGGACTCACCCCGAGCACTGATACAGGATATCAAGCAGCAAGCCAAGCACCCTAAAATGAACCACTTTTGACAACAATCATGGAGCTGTTTTCCACTCAAATCCCAAGGCATCCAGTGTCTTTGCAGCATTGTCTTTCATCACTGTGCTGGAATCACTAGGAACCTAATTAAAACGCTATTCCCAGCCATAGTAGAGCATGACCAAGTCCAGATCCTAAGCACGGGTTCTGGAGGTCTGAACTTTGGGCATTCTGACGCAGACCAAGCTGGAGCACGCAAGACCTGGACGCAGGCAGAGAACACAGCAGGCTCTCCAGCATCCTGCGTTTGAGGCAAAAGTCCAGACTGGCTTCAGTGCAAAGCTTCCAACCCACAAAAACAAAGGGCACAAGTCTGGAAGAATAGACACTGAGCCCCTGGGCAGCCCCTGGTGCCACGGGAGGCCTGGAACTCTGGCATCCCACAGGACAGTTCCTGAGACCACGTCTGGGCTCAAGTGCAGGGTCCCTGCCACCACCGTGCAACCTGCAGCGAGCTCCTGAGCTCCAGCTTCAACTCTGCCTAGTCGGGGCAGAGGGTATTATGGGACAGAATCTCAATTTCTCCCTCTTTCTCCTGCTCTGTCTTACAAATAAGTAAGTGAACTTTTTAAAAAAGGGGGGGCAGGGCAAGCTGAAGGAGCTGAGAGTGGCTTATCTTGGCGCAAGCAAGTCCCCAGGTTATCTTTCCTTCAAATCTCCCTCAGTTTGTAAATTGTGGCAGAAGGTGCCCTTAACACCAAGGCCAAGCCCTCTTCTCTCCCTTTTTCCATTGATGGGCTGCTCTTACCTTCAGGCTTTCTTTAAGTTTAATTAACACAGAAAAACCAACCCTAGAGACTGCATATCCAGGCCTTTGTAACCAGAGCTTTGTCACTCAGGCTTTTTGGAATATAATAATCTGTATGTTCTAAAAGCCTGGAAGATGGCCTGGCCACAGTGTAGTTTACTAAAACCATTCCTCTCCTCTGTTAAGTGTCTTCTCTTTGTTGGATCAATCCTGACAGACACCAACAGGACAAGAACAAAGGAATGCAATCCAGCCTTCTCCTTCAATGATACAACTTCACTGTTTTTTCTGTCTTCAATTCTTCTGCCTTTAATCAAAGACTACAGCTTTCCATAAATTTAAGGTAGAAGCAAAATACAGGATTTAGGTCTCTCAGTACTGACCAAAACAATCCAAGCCCATCCAACAGATGTAACTCCGAAGTCTCTCTTTTAGGAAACAGTATTTCCAACATGATGCTCACTTTTGGTGACTCATAAATGATTCCTCCTCAGTTTAAAAGTTGTTACCATTTCTCTATATTTTATAAACTCTTTACTAGCATATTTTCCAGAGCCTCAGAATTTTATTTTATCAATCAAGACTATTCCCGACTTGGTTTTGACTATAAAGCTTTAACCATCCTAAATGCTGTTCAAGCATTTTCATCAATACTGGTTGAGGCAGGGCTGTATTCCCATGACTTAACAAAGCGTAATACTTGAGCCAACACAGTGACAGAGTACACCAACCCTCCAACTACGGTGCCAACGTCCCATGTGCAGCCCTGGGTGCTCTACTTTTTTACGATTTATTTATATTTGGGGGGGGGCAGGGGGAGAAGGTAGATTTACAGAGAGAAGAACAGAGAAAAAGATTTTCTGTCTACTGGTTCACTCCCCAAATGACTGCCATATCCAGGAGCCAGGAGTTTCTTCTGGATCCTCTGGGTCTCCCATGTGGGTGCAGGGTCCCAAAGTAGGGAGCTAGAAGGGAAATGGGGCAGGCGGGACATGAACGGTACCCAGATGGAATCCTGGTGGATGCAAGGCAAGGTTTTAGCCACTAGGCTATTGCAGCGAGCCACTTCTGATCCAGCTCTCAGCTTATGGCCTGGGAGAGCAACAGCGGAGGGCCCAAGTACTTTGTACCCCTACACCCATATAGGAGACCTGAAATAAGCTCCTGGCTCCTTGCTTCAAACCAACCCAACTCTGGCACTTGTGGCTATTTGGGGAGGGATTTCAGCAGCTAGAACACCTCACTGTCCCTCTGAAACTCTTTCAAGTAAAATAAAAAGTAAAATTTTTTTTAAAGTATAATACTTCAATCAACAAGTTGGTACTGTCTTTGTGGAGTTGATGAGTACAATAAATGAAAAGACCTTTTAGGGTCCCTCTCGGGGTCCTGCCGCTCCTTACACGGCAGGGCGGCAGTTTCCTGGCCTATCGGTGTGACTTGCAACGGGCTCCTTCCAGTGTAGAACACAGTCAGAGCATTTATCCAGAACTTTACTTTTCAAGGCAGGAAGGGTGACCACAGAATCTTCCTTTGGGAGAGAATTATGCTGTATCTTTGTGTCCCAGCACCCAGCTGATGCACAACAGAGCTCCTGTTTAAAGCACTCATTTCCCCAGGACATGCAGGCTGAGGGCAGAGGCTGTGATCTGGTCCCAAGTCCTTCCCCCAGGAAGCCTTAGTGACTTGCATTGCTTACAGGAAACAAGGCGAAAAGGACTAGAAACTTACTAGAGGCATCTTCCGGCAAGTTATCTCTGCCCTCTGATTTTGAAAGCTTCCTTCTGGAAACCATTTTGACCCAAGTCTTCTGTAGTTAAAGTCTATCCTAGAGAAAAACCAGAGACCAGAAGTTACCCTCTAGAAGTATAATCTAAAACTTTTATAGCTAAAGTTTTGCGGGGTTAGAGCAAAATCATGCCAAAAAAAGTCTAGGAGTCTTTATTAACCAAGCTTGGTGATAACAGGGCCCACTAGAAATAGCAAATCACAAGTCCATATAATTGAAACCGCAAGAGAAACAAATGGTCATTTCCCTGAAGTCCACCCGTTAAACTGAAGACCTATGTCCCAACTTTTCCAGCAATATAAATCATCCTAAAAGACATGCAGCAAACAACCTGGACACACTTACAAAGCTGCAGACATTCACCTTTCCCTGGCTTCTCTGCCCACATTCCATTACTGCCAGGCCTCACCTCCCCCGGAACTCCCAATAGTACACAAATTAGAGATACAAAGCATCTTAACATTAACATCTTCACTGACTCGCTCAAGTAGCGAACAGAGTGTGATGAATACAGACACACAAGGTCCATGCTGAGGGGTTACCTGTCCTCGGAGGGAGTCTGTGGGAAGCCAGAGAAAGACAAGAGTGGGAATGCCAGAGGAAGGAAGCAGGCGACCAAGAGTGAGCACTTCCTATCAGGGACCTTCATGGGAGGCTTGCAAGGGGCGTGGTTGCACAACAAAGCAATACCGCCCCGTCTCAGGTTCCAGGCGATGATAGGTGAGCATCACAGGTGGGCAGGAGGCAGCACACAGGTGATGGTAGGAAAGTGCCTTCCAAGCTCTTGACCCTGAACTAGCTACCTACCCTACAACAAAACTATATCCAAAACCACCAGGCTTCTGTTCGTCTCCACAGGAATGTCATTCATATGCTGGTGCTGAACAAATTTCAACCTTTCCACTTGGTCAAAGGCTCCTTCTTTTTATTTTGTTTGTTTGTCTAATTTTTATTGGAAAGTCAGATATACAAAGGAAGAGAGACAGAGAGGAAGATCTTCCATCCAATGATTCACCCCCCAAGTGAGTGCAACAGCTGATGCTATGCCGATCCAAAGCCGGGATGCAGGAACTTCTTCCGGGTATCCCACACAGGTGCAGGGTCCCCAGGCTTTGGGCTTTCCCAGGCCACAAGCAGGGAACTGGATGGGAAGTGGAGCTGCCGGGATTAGAACCGGCGCCCATATGGGATCGTGGAGCTCAAGGAGAGGATTTTAGCTGCTAGGCCCAGCCCCTTCTTTTTAAACCTGTCTTAGCCTCCTGGCTGTTTCCCAGCCTTGCAAGGAATTCAACGCAAAACAGGGCAGCAACTTCACTTCTTGCCTCACAGGAAAGAATTTTCATGCAGACTTTAGTTTGCAAAATATGATTTATTTAGGAAAAAAAGAATCCTGTCTTAATGACAAGAGGGGGTTCCAAGGGAGGAAATGGTGTCTTTTATGCAACATCTCAGGGAGGGGTCTCGTGAGGCACCCCAAGGACTAATGTCTACCAGCTTGCTGAGAACCGAAAGGGTGCACCTCGTGGCTTCCTCTTCTCATGTGAAGGTGAGCTGAAGACTAAAGTGCCATTCCTTTGACAATGCCCAGAGGTGAGATCAGAGTGGGCCAGTTGCCTTGCTTTTGACAAAAGATCTAAGAGCTGGGGGTTGGTAAGTTGATTCCGTCCCTTTGTTCCCTTTGTTCCCTCCCCAGATGGAGACAGACAAGACCCTCACCTCAGGGAGTTTACAGCTCAACAGTTATGCAAATGCTATGAAAGGACACAGCCCTAGGAGGGCTTGCCAACAAAACTGGCCCAGCCGGGGTGGAGGGGTGTATAAAAAATGGGACCAGGATTGGTAAGCAGGTACCTGTGGACCCACAGAGGCTGGGGTTGGTAGCAATCTCACACCTTGTCCAGGCAGAGCAGCACCCACTGCGGTCTGCAGGTCATGGAGGAGCCGGAGGGGCAGGGCGGGCCTGGGAGCCAGGGTGAGCCTGGACACTCTCCCATTCCAGATTACATGGCCTGTCCTTCAGGGAGTTCGCCGCCCCAGCTTCCCTGTTCCTCAGCACACAACCCAGAGCCCCAATTGCATCACACAGACTAGGGGGCACGGAGGGGACCCCCATGGGAACAGAAGCTCCCTGCCACTCAGCTCAGTGGGCTCTCTTTCCCGGCGGTTATAATTACCATCACTGAGGTTGGGTGGCAGGGCAGGAAAACCACCGCTTGCTAATAACACACACTGCTCCTATGCTTTATGCTGCAGGAACTCACTCGGGACCCATGGCAGCTTGGGGCTTTTGCTTTTCAGGTAAGGACCACTGTTACCCTCAGTCATGGGCTGGCTCGGGCAGTGGTTCTGGAACCCACTCTCTTTATTACCAACGTGAAAGAACAGGAAACATTTGTGGGGGAGGAATTAAGAGGTCAGTTTATTTTGGTGCAAAATACTTAAGTCCATAGAATTCTCATGAACTTTTGGAAGATCCCAGATGTATGCGCCGGCTTCTACTGCAGTGGGCAGAGGGGCAGTGAGAAGGAACTGACACAGGGTTTCCCCAGGACAGCCCGGGGCTGGCTCCCCAGCTCCCCAGCTGCACCCAGCCCCCGACAAGGGAACCCGGAAGGAGCTCCCAGCTCCAGTCAGCCTCTGGAGCAGCCTCGGGGCATCTGGGCAGTGAACCGGAGCATGGGCAATCTTCCTCTGCCTCTTCCTTTCAAAGCAGTGACAAATGTATTTTGAAAGCTCTTTAAAATGGCTAGGAATATCTTCAGGAACGTTAGGACGAGCTTTAAAAGGCGAGGTTGCTGACAGAGGGGGAGCTTTTCCAAGCCCTAGCCCACGCCCCAGATGGCCACGCAGGCCAGGTGGGAGTGAGTCCCCGTGGTGCAGCGGCCCCGTACCGTGCCCATCCTTCAGGGTTTTCCCAGGCGCAGGAGCAGGGAGCTGGGCCGGACACGGACAGCCCTGGGGAGGGACGCCAACGGGGTGTCACACCCCGAGGACGCGGAACGCCTACTGACTCCCCGACACGCCTGCGAGCACGAAGGGCAGCGCCGACCGTCTGGCCCGGGTCACCGTCTTCGTTTTACCGAGCCCAGGGCAGAGGGAGCCGAGGTGGGGCGTGCGCGCCGCCGACCCCGCCGACCCCGCCGACCCCGCCGCCCCACTCACCCTCCGAGGAGCCGTCGCCGCTCGCCGTCTTCGACTTTCCCGCCAGCCGCGCCGTCCCTCTGACGTCTGCCAGGCGCGCCGGCCCGTGACGTCAGAGCTCTGCGCCGGAAGTGGGCGGTGCTGGGTGCCTGCGGGAGGTCGCTCTCGAAGTCTCGGGAGGGTGGGCTACACACCCGGCGCCGGTCGGGCTGAGGGGCGTGAGAAAACCGAGCGAGCGCTAGGAGTCGGGAAACGGGGCTATCCGCAGGTGGGATGGCGGGGCCGGAGCTGCTGCTGGACTCCAACATCCGCCTCTGGGTGGTCCTGCCCATCGTTATCATCACTTTCTTCGTGGGCATGATCCGCCACTACGTGTCCATCCTGCTGCAGAGCGACAAGAAGCTGACCCAAGAGCAGGTGTCCGACAGGTCAGCGCCATGCTCCTCCCCGGCCCCCGTGTCCCTGGGGGCTGCCCCTCTGCGCCCCGGGTGGGCGTGGGAGTCCGCCCTCTGGCCGGGTTGCGGGCGGTAAGCAGGTGCTTGCCTGGAGGCTGGCTGTCGCCGGGCCGGGGGCTGGGACCCTCCCTTCCGCTGCCAGCCGCGTGGCAGCGCTCCGGTGCGGATCCTGGCCGGTGCCCCTGTAGCTCCAGAGGCTCCACGACCCTGCCTTTCCATGAACAGGTTGACATATTTATTTGGAACAGTTACACTTTAGACCGAGTGATCTTTGGGTCTCTGGCTGCTGGTAGTTCAGAAGTTCCTCTGAATTAACAACATATGTCGGTAGAAAAAGCTAACTGACAAGAAATGGTAAGGCGGTAATGGTGTGAGTGCTGAATGGGAATGAAATGCTGCTTTATCATTTCCAATTGTTCTTTCGAAATGGGCTGCCAATAATTCAGCGTACATTCGTGTTTACAATTGTTTAAAATTCAGAGAGACAGTAAGATCAGTACTGTGGTCCATTTTATAGAAACTGCGGCTTAGAGAGTTTACATCATCACACATAGTGACATTCAGGATTTTATTTGTTTATTTACTTGACAGCATGTATTCCCATGTGCGGTGGTTCTGCCCTGATGCCCTCCCCAAGCTGGGTGACGGGCTAGGTTGAAATGGCAGGGCAGTAACTGGTGGAGTCTGTGGCCCTGGGGGCACGTCGGCATCTAGTCTTCCAGTTCCCAAGGTTAGCGCTCCCTTTGGTGCACCACCGTGGCAACTTGGTAATTTTTCTGTGGCAACAGTTTTAGAACTGACCAAAACCATCCCCCTAAATGCACTTTAAAAACTAAAGCTTTATTCTGAGGAAACTTTTTTTTTCCCTTTACACGTTATCAAACCTTTACCTTTTCTGACCAGCCCAAGGACTCATTTTTCGCATCAAAGGTTTCTGTAAGATATGCTGAGGTCCAAGAACATGTGGCTTTTATCCTGGCCTGAAGTACGGGGGCTTCGCGCGTATGGGCTAAGCTCACTGAGTCAGGGTCCCAGGACTTCGATTACTGACCCCCGATCCACAGAACTGTTGGCAGAGAGGAAATCTAGCTAATTCTCTGTTCACCGTAGTGCCCGGAATGGGCCTTTTACTGGTGGCCTGGCTAGCAAGGTGCCCGCACACGGCTGCCTGCCGAGGGGCTCAGAGGAGGTACCACCCAGCTCTGTCCCAGTGTGAGCGACGCAGAGGGAAAACAGCAGGGGGATGTGCTGGGTGCACAGGGGTCATTTTACATGAGATAATATGTTTTTAAAGTCTGTTTAGGGCCCGGCACAGTAATCTAGCAGCTAGAGTCCTCGCCTTGCACTGGGATCCCATATGGGCACTGGTTCTAATCCTGGCAGCTCCACTTCTTCATCCAGCTCCCTCCTTGTGGCCTAGGAAAGCAGTCAAAGACGGCCCAGTGCCTTGGGACCCTGCACCCACATGAAAGACCCAAAAGAGGCTCTGGGCTCCTGGCTTCAGATTGGCACATCCAGCAGTTGCGGTCACTTGAGCAGTGAATCATCAGACGGATCTCCCTGTGTCTCTCCTCCTCTCTGCATATCTGACTTTGCAATAACAATAAATAAATCTTTTTTAAAAAGTCTGTTTAAAACCACTCACCATTCCCCCTTTGCTGCAAAGACTATATTCTTTTTTTTTTTTTTAAGAATTTTTTTCTTTTTTAAAAGATTGTTTTTTTTTAATTGTAAAGGCAGATTTACAGAGAGAAGGAGAGACAGAAAGATCTTCCATGTGCTGGTTTACTTCCCAAGTAGCTGCAACGGCCAGAGCTGAGCTGATCTGAAGCCAGAAGCTCTTTTGGGGTCTCCCATGTGGGTGCAGGGTCCCAAGGGTTTGGGCCATCCTGGATTGCTTTCCCAGGCCACTAGCAGGGAACTGGAAAGAAAGTGGAGCAGCCAGGATACGAACCTGCTCCCATATGGGATCCCAGTGCATGCAAGATGAGAACTTCAGCTACTAGGCTAAGCGCTGGGCCCTGCAAAGACTGTATTCTTATCCAGATCCCGAGAGCCTCAGCCCTTGCTTTGTCTCCCCTCCCGCTGTGTCCCCTGGCCTCGGCTCTCTTTCCAGCCCTAGTGTGGCTCCTCCTCTGGACCTCAGAGATGGGGTGTCCTCCTGCTGCAGGGTCTTGATGGCCTCGAGCACTCCCTGGAGTGATCCCCACGCAGCCCTAAGGCTCCCACACAGTCCTGTGTCCTGAGCGAAGCTTCTCTCCAACTGCCTGCCTGGGCCAGCCAGCTGTTGCTGTAGGACATTCTTGGGCTACCAGCCCATGCTTCCTGAAGCTCCCGTTAGTTCCTGGGATCAAGTGATTCACTCCTTTCTCCCACAGTAGCCTTTAACTTTGATGAGATGCTTAGATTCTGACCAGTGGGTAGTAGTTGTATTGGTTTTGCTTGCTTTAGTTTTACAGCTTAATCAGAATCAAAGCAATCTGCCATCTACTAGTTCACTCCCCAAATGGTTTCAGTGGCCAGGGCTGAGTCAGGCTGAAGCCAAGAGCGTCATCCAGTTCTCCCATGCAGGGACAGGGGACCAAGTACCTGGGTCATCTTCCATTGCTTTCCCAGGCCACTAACCACTAACCACACTAATGACCAGGTGTGCACTCACCACCAGGCACTTCCGTTGACTAATTTAGTCAGCATTTACCGAGTGCCTGCTACCAAGCACGATCTGGCTGGCGTGTCTGCACTGGCCGTGCACTCCCAGCTGCCTGCGTCAGTGCATTCACCGCTCTGTGCGCTGAGGACCTCATTCCCGCGCATCCAGCTTCCGAGCATGGTCCAGCTGCTGTGCCTCTCGCTGGGAGAACGTTCCTGCTTGGCTCGTAAGGAAGGAAGAAGCACCCGAGTATAATGTCCTAAATCAGGAGCCTTTTTCAGAACCTCAATCCCCTCTGAAACCGGCCTAGCTGAAAACCTGAGTGTCAGGCCAAAGACAGCGGTGTTAGGACACGGCTTTGGAAAGTTTCCACACTGAACCAGCGCCAAGTAGGCTGCCACGTGCTCAAACAGGTCTGCTGCTTTGCTTTCACTCTTTCTTCTGGTGTCCCACTTCTTACACTCCCATTGTCTTGGTTGTGTTTTTCAGTCAAGTCCTCATTCGAAGCCGAGTCCTCAGGGAAAATGGAAAATACATTCCCAAACAGGTACTCATTGATCTTTGATTCACCACTGGGGACAGGAGACAGCTGGATGTTTTAAAAGGGCCTCTTTGGAGAGTGCTGGAGGTTGGCAGTTTGGTAATGAAGCTGTGGCCTGGTGCTGGCAGCTGTCTTCGGAACCTCCCCCTTGCTGGGAAAGTGGTTTTTAAATGTGACTCAGTGTCAGCTCAAGGCGTGCCAGTGACTTCCGAGGGCTCCCCAGGCCTCTGGGGACTCATTGGCCAGGGTGCTGTCTGTTCTCAGCCTTACAGAGCTTTTTCTTCCCTGCTAGTCATTCTTGACACGGAAATATTACTTCAACAACCCAGAGGATGGATTTTTCAAGAAAACCAAGAGGAAGGTGGTGGCCCCGTCTCCGATGACCGGTGCGTACACTGCCTGCCATGGCCCTCAGGGAAGACAGGTCAGGAGGTAGCTAAGGGACCAGAGAAACCCTCCACTGTGGGGATAAAATGACTCTAGGGTAAAAAGCAGATGTTCAGCTCATGGAGTGGGGAGGCCTGAGCCATAGTCCCTGTTGGAATTCTCTGGGACCCAGGGCTCTGCACTGCATACAGCTTTCCAGCCCTGGTTCCCACCAAGCTCTGTCCTCTCGCTGAGCCCAGGGCTGCCCCGCTGCTACCGGAGGGGGAAGTGGCCGTGCTGTCTGCGGCAGCTGGGCCTGCTGGACCCGATGCTCAGTCTACCATACAGTTTTTGCAGATTTTTTTTTTACTCCCGCTGAGGGCACACATTAAGACTGCAACAAAGTGGTACATTGTTCTGTGTGGCCTCTCCTCTGTAGTGCCCAGGTGTTCACATGGTGTGACCAGACATTATAAACCCATGCAGGGGCCCTAGTGTTCATTTCAGTGACTCTTTTAAGAACATGTAAGAAACAAAATGCCAGAAGTTGCATGAAAACACTCGCCCTCACTAAGAACTATGGAGTGAACACAAGATGACCTGGGACTGGCATGGGGCATGGCAGACAGTGCCTGGTAGAGATCCAGCAGCTCCACTCCCAGGCCAGCTACCTGCAGGTGCAGATGGCTGGAGCTCTTGGCTCCTGACTTCTGGGGAGGTCCAGCCGAGGCTGCTGTGGCCATTTGGGGAGTGAACCAGGATGATTCATCTTTCTCTCACTCTCTACCTTTCAAATAAATAAATATTCTTTATAATACATATGTATATATATATATTTTTAAAGATTTATTGTATTTCTATGAAAGGCAGTGTGAGACAGGGAGAAAGAGATCCTCCATCTACCAGTTCACTCCACAAATGGCCAAGTTGGCCAGGAACTGCATCTGGCCCCTAGGTGGTTGACAAGGGGCTGCCCATCTGTGCTGCTTGCCCCAGGGCACCTGTAGGGAGCTGGATCATAAGCCCAGCAGCTGGGCCTCAAACTAGCACTCCAATACAGGATATAGATGCCTTAAGCAGCAGCCCTACCTATGGTGCTACAACACCGACCCCAGTGAATGAAACCTAACAGAAAAAGATAGCCTTTTAACCCATTGAACTGTCAGAGAGAAGACTGGCCAAAGCCACCACTGTCATGGTCAGGGGAAGTGAGGCCCTGTCACTGGCATGAGTGCCAGTGGCAGGGCCTCACTGAAGGACAGCCTGGCACCGGCTCTCGGTTTTAAAAGCATGGGTACCTTGACCCAGCCGTTCTCTGGCACACACATTAGAACCCTATCAGATGTTCAAAATATCAAGGGAGAGATACTGCACTAGCGTGGTGAAGCATCTGCAAGTTATGTAATGGTTTATAACTAAGAGGCAGGCACTGGTGCTATGGTGCAGCACACTAAGCCACCATCTGCTGTAGTTCTGTTCCTGACTGCTCCATTTTCAATCCAGCTCCATGCTAATGGCCTGGGAAAACAGTGGGACATTGCCAAAATGCTCGGGCCCCTGCCCACAGGGGAGTCCCAGACTAAGTCCCTGACTCCTGGCTTCAGTCTTGCCCAGCCTCGGCCATTGCTGCCATTTGTAGAGTGAACCACTGGGTGGAAAATCTCTCTGTCTTTCCCTCCCTTGCTATAACTGTGCCTTTCAAATAAATAAATCATTTCTAAAAAATTAACACAGTATCCCTTTGCCCTTTGTGTGTGTGTGTGTGTGTGTGTGTATAAAATGGAAAGGTGTGTAACATAAATGTGGAAAGAGACTAGGCTCAGCAGAATTGTCTACAGATGTTTGGTTTGGTTTGAGAGCCGCCTGGCAGCAGAAGTGAGTGCTGCCAGTGACTTGTGCTCTTGTTGCAGATCCCACCATGCTCACTGACATGATGAAGGGCAACATTACAAACGTGCTCCCCATGATCCTCATCGGCGGCTGGATCAACATGACGTTTTCAGGCTTTGTCACAAGTAAGTCGCCAGCCCAGCCAGCCTCCAGTTGGCCTCCTGTGTGTTCCCTTCCAGCGTCTGCTCGAAGAGATCTAGGTAGGCTGAGGTGCTAGTAGTGGCCCTGGGCCTGAGGATTTTCATTTCTAGTTTCCTAAAGATACTCTTTTGGGAGGAGGGATGTTAATGGGCTATGATTTTGTGGCACTTCTTGCAAATGAATCCCGAGTATATCATATATGATACTTGTCTTCTCACTCATGAGACAGGCTGAGTGGAGAGGCAGCTCATGTCTCCTCTGGTGTCCCAGCCAAGTAGCAGCAGAGCAAGGCTCCCTTGGATGTGACATCATGTTTCAGGGGCCACTGACTTACGTGCTCGCCTCCTTCCGTGAGAACTGGGGGGCTTCTTAGCTGGGCCCTGTCCATGCGTGTCCCATGTAGATTCCCTGACCGCTGGTGCTACGCTGTAGGCACAGCTCAGTTTGAGTCTCTGCTTCTGGAACAGCCCAGAAGCCCATGTTACTACAGGAAACCCAAGCAGAGAGCTATATGGAGGACTTTGTCTTCAGAATTCGTCACAGGTGTCCTTGTGGAAGCCATTCTGTAGAAGCTGTGGTTGGCCCAGCATGCCCACCGCCTTGGGAGCTCGCAGACCTTCACACTCCACTGCTCTAAACCTGAGCCCTTCCTCTCCGCAGCTAAGGTCCCGTTCCCGCTGACCCTGCGCTTCAAGCCCATGCTGCAGCAAGGAATCGAGCTGCTCACCTTAGATGCTTCCTGGTGAGAACCTTTGCTTTTATTTAAACAAAACAGAAGTACATGAATAACAGTTTCCACCTCTCAGGAAACTCCTCTGAAAGTGCCAAGGCTGGATTGTGGCAACTTGTTATTTGTATTTGTTTTATGCATTTTGAAGACAGAGTTACAGAGAAGCAGAGAGAGAGCTATCTTCCGTCCACTGGTTTACCCCAAACAGCCACAGCAGCTCGGCTTGGAGCTTCATGTCCCATCTCCTGTGTAGCTACAGGGGATCAAGCGATTAGGCCATCTGCTGCTTTCTGAGGCAACAGGAAGCTAATTGCTTCCCTCAGCTCCGGTCAGTGCCAGGCGCTCTTGTGTTTTACCCACATAACGATCCTGGGACATCTGCTGGATTGCACCACAGAGTCCCCCCAGATCTGGCAGGCATGTATTATTGTCACCTCCATTTGTGTATATTGGAAAAACAGAAACACACCAGGTCTGTAAAGCTCCGAGGAGAGCACAGCTGCAGGTGCAGAGCCCTGGGTACAGCTCCCCAGGGTCCCTGTCTCACTCGTGGCTTCCAATGACTGGTGTAATAGAAAAGCCAAATGGGACAAGATAGATATGGGTTGTGGGCATCAGTCTCGGTTCCTTAAGCCACTACAGTGAGAGCAGGGGGCCCGGGCTGAGCAGGTGCTGGGAGCAACTTTGCCAAGCATTGCTCTCCTGGAGTTTACTCCCAGCCTCTGCCAGGCTCAACAGAAACATCATGAGTTCCTGAGCACCTGGACAGGTGTGTGTCAGACATGTTCACCTAGACAAAGGACAGACACTGTGGCAGGTGCATCAGCAGCATCACGGCTATTGTGTGACCCAGATACTGCATCATGTGTAGGATCTTCCTACCTACCCATCATTTTTCACACTCCTCTCAGTTTGTGTTATGCACAAGCATATTCTGCGAGATCAAGCAGAAAAGCTCGGCGATAAAGTCCAAATCGTGCAAGTTTCCCCCGCAGCTGTCATCCTCAGCAGCACCTCAAACGCAGCAGCATTAGTGCTGACAGCTGCTCCTTTTTTTTTTTTAAGATTTATTTACTTACATATTTGAAGGGCTGAGCGAGAGACAGAGATAGCTTCCATCTGCTGGTTCACTCCCCAGTTGGCTACAGTAGCCAGGGCTGGGCCAGGCTGAAGCCAGCAGCTGGGATCTCCATGCTGGTATTTTCCACATGGTTAGTAGAGGCCTAAGCCCCCAGCCACCTCCACTGCCTTCCCAGGTGCACTAGCAGGGGCTCGGATTGGCTTTCCGTGGGATGCCCCTGTCAGGCTGTGCCACGTAGGCCCAGTCCGTGTTTTCTTCCACACGCTCCCATAGGAGCAAGACTGCCCTCACACTTGCATTTCCGTCTGCGTGCTTTGTCTCACTCCACCCGAATTCAGAGATTTCTTTGTTCATGCTGAACAACTTTGAGGGTAAAAACTTGCAGACTTTATTAACTTCTGAAATAACTAGATCTGGCACAGTGGTTCGAATGGCTAATCCTCTGACCGTAAACACTGGCATCCCATGTGAGCGACATTTCCTGTCCTGGTTGCTCCACTTTAATCCAGCCCTCTGGCTGTGGCCTGGGGAAGCAGCTGAATACGATCAAGTCCTTGGGCCCTGCACACGTAGGGGAGTGCCAAAGAGGCTCCTGGCTCCCGACTTAGGATCACTCAGCTCCGGCCATTACGGCCATTGGGGGCGTGAACCAGTGGATGGAAGATCTTTCCTCTGTAAATCTTCCTTACCAATAAAACTAAATAAGTCTTGAAAGGAAAAAAAAGAACTGTATATGTTGTGTTCCTTTTGCTTTGGCAGGGTGAGTTCTGCATCCTGGTACTTCCTTAATGTGTTTGGGCTTCGAAGCATTTACTCTCTGATTCTGGGCCAGGATAATGGTAAGAAGCAAGTCGGGGTCAGTAAGCAAATGCCTCCGTGGATGGACCAGCCATGGCATGTACTAACAGGACATGGCCACATGCAGACTTTATTCTTAGGTCTCTGGGGTGTTCTGGAAGAGTTAAAAATTCCAGGTGTCAGACCACAAGTCTGCATTCCCCCTGGAACCACGGCCATAGTATTTGGTTCCACAGAGCCTGACCTCCCTCCTGGGAGGGGTCAGTGTCACAGCGTCAGCCTGGCGGCACATGGCCAACCTCCTGGCCAGATTCTCCTGGCTCTCGTTGTGACTGGGACTTAGCCATCCTAAGCACACTAAGCCTCTGTGTGCTTTTCCCTCAGTAGGGACCCCCGTACCTTTACCATAGGGTTGATGGGAGAGGGTGAGGCGGGACACACAAATCTGAAATTAAGTGTAGTACATGCTTCAGTTAGCTCTCCTTTGGTTATCATTCCCATTTTTCAGGAGAGGTGAAGTGACTTTGCCAGGGTCACACAGCCAGTGCAGACAGGGCCCGTGAACTGTTGTGCAGTTCTCCAACGCACCTCCGGGCACCAGGTTGCACAGCAGGCCCCTTCTTACGAAGCCCTGGCCCTCATGTCTGTGTGTCTTCCCCGGCAGCCGCGGACCAGTCACGGATGATGCAAGAGCAGATGACCGGAGCAGCCATGGCCATGCCCACAGATACCAACAAAGCTTTTAAGGTGCGCCCCCTTGCCCTCAGCCTCCCAGCCCCTCTGTGTGAACCTGCATCTGGCCAAATGCACTTTATTCCTGGAGCACAGCGTCCAGGAAGCCGATTGGACAGTCCTGCTGCTTTCACTGACACATTCCTGTGTACTTCACACTGTACATCAAACCCTCATAGTCAAGGCACTAGGTAACCTTTTGGGGTGTTTTCATCCTGTCTAGAAACATCATAATAGATTGTACCCCAAAACTCAGTACATAACACCTTTTCATGAAGGATTCTGGATTTTTTTATATCCAGTATCAGTTTTGTGATGCAAATTCTGACTTTCACAGTGAAAATTAGAAACAGGACTTCCTCCTTCTGACCAGGGACACCTCTGAAAACTTCACAGCTAAAGTCCAACTCAGCCAAGAAAGCTGAAAGTCGTTCCCCTGCGACCAGCAACAAGACAAAGAGATCCGCTCCTGCCACCTGTGTGGGACACTGTGCCGGAAGGTCTAGCCAGGGCAGTTAGGTAAGAAGACATTCAGGTCATGCAGGTCAAGAAGGGAAAGAAACTGACTGCAGGCACGTGGTCTTAGGTGCAGAACACCCTCCGGGCCGCAGGAAGCTCGCAGGCCCGGGGCACGTGATGATGAACAGTGTTAAAGTGAATCAAGAACAACTGTGAGGAACAGGTGTAGGCAGGACACCTGCTGTCCTGTGCTTCCCGCCGGGCTGCTCCTGGAGGCTGGCATGGGCTGTGCTTGTGGCTCAGAGCTTTGGCCCCAGACCAGCTTGGCAGCTGTGGGCATCTGCGGATATAACCAGCAGAAGAAAATGCTGTCTGCCTCTCAAAGAAGTGAATAAAAAATTTTTAATTTTTTTTTAATTTCTATTTATAACAATATCAGAAAGAATAAAATATTTAGAAATAAATTAACAAAAGCAATGCCAACCTGGCATATTAAAGATTTTAAAACACGACAGAAAGAAATTAAAGACCTAAATAAATAGAAAGATATTTATGTATAAACTGGAATCTTAGGATAGCAATACTCAAATTGAAGATATAACACAGTCCTTATGAAAATTTTATCTGTGGAAATTGAGAGGATGATCCTAAAGGTTATATGAAAATGCAGGGAACCCAGAATATCCAAGAAACACTGGAGAAGATCCAGGCTAGGGAACTAGTACCTTCTGGTGCTAAAACTCTAGAAAGCTATAGTCATCAGAATAGCATGGCGGTGGCCTGACAACAGAGAGGCTTCAGCGGCAGAAGGAATCCATAAACCCAAGGGGCCAGGGATGAGGCACAGCACATTAGGCCTCTGCCTATAGTGTCCAATATGGAGCCCATTCAGTCCCAACTGCTTAACTTCCAATCCAGCTCCCTGCTAGTGCACTGGGAAAGCAGCAACAGATGTCCTCAGTGCTTGGACCTTTGCATCCACATGGAAGACCTGGATGAAATTCCTGGCTTTGCCATGGTCAGCCCTGGCCATTGTAGCCATTTGGGGAGTGAACCAGCAGATGGAAAACTGTAATTGCCCTTCAAATAAATCTTTAAATAAACAATCCCAGGCCCGGCACAATAGCATAGTAGTTAGGGCCCTCGCCTTGCACACACCAGGATCCCATGTGGTCACCGGTTCTAATCCCAGTGGCCCCGCTTCCCATCCAGCTCCCTGCTTGTGGGCTTGGAAAGCAGTCAAAGATGGCCCAAGGCTTTGGGACCCTGCACCCACGTGGGATACCCGGAAGTGCTCCTGGCTCCTGGCTTCAGATTGACTCAGCTCTAGCCGTTGCGGTCTCTTGGGGAGTGAACCATCTGACAGAGGAACTTCCTCTCTGTCTCTCCTCCTCTCTATATATCTGCCTAATAAAAATAAAGAAATCTTAAAAAATAAATAAATAAACCATCCCACACATTTATGATATGGGGCCAGGACAGTTCAAGGGTGCTAGGGAAAACGTACCTAAATGAAAAGAATGGATACCCACTTCACACCGTGTACGAAAATTAAGTCAAAGCAAGTCATAGCGCCTGGCTTCAGCCATGCCCACTGGGGTGTGACAGCAGATGGAAGCTCTCACTTGGCATCTGCCAGGAGCCAGATACTCCATCCAGGTCTTCCCACGGGTGTGGCAGGAGCTCATGCACATGGTGCGTCTTGTACTGCTGTCCCAGGCCCATCAGCAGACAGCTGTACAGAAGGTGGAGCAGCCAGGACTCAAACCATTGCTTTGATGTGGCATATAGTTGCACTGTACCACAGGGCTAGCGCCAAGACAAACTTTCGTCAAAAAAATTATATGAAGGGCCAGTGTTCGGGCACAGTGGATTAAACCTCAGCTGCGACTTATGACCCCAACGTCCCCTACGGAATGCCAGTTCAAGGCCCTGCTACTCCTCTTCCCATCCAGCTCCCTGCCAGTGCCCCTGGGCATGAGAGGAGGAGGAGTCAAGTACTTGGGACTGCCACTCATGAGAAAGGCCTGGTGGGACTTTGGCTCCTGGCTTCATCCTGGCCCAGCCATGACTGTTGAGCCCATTTGGAGAGTATACCAGTGGATGAAAAATCTGTGCGCGTTTCTCTCTCTCTAAGGCAAAGCAACAAAATTTAAAAATTTATTTATTTATTTATTATTTAAATTATTTATTTATTTATTTATTTATTTATTTAATAAAGGATTTATTTATTTTTATTGGAAAGTCAGATTTACAGAGATATAAAGAAACAGAGAGGAACATCTTCCATCTGCTGGTTCACTCCCAAAGTAGCCACAATGGCTAGAGCTGAGCCAATCCAAAGTCAGGAGCCAGGAGCATCTTTCGGGTCTCCCACATAAGTGCTGGGTCCCAGGAGTTTTGCTGGTTAACGCTCTTGGCCTTTCTCCTGGCATGAGATCGGGGCTTCTGTGGACTGTAATGAGATGCCATCATGTATCTGAACAAAAGGGTGAACAGATGACCTCAGGGCCTTTGGAGATTTTCCCAGCCACTCACATCCATGCATCTTCGACCCTGCACAAGTTGGGCCAGATGGACGCCCCTTGATGAAAGGGCTGGGGCTCACAGAGCACTGATTTGTCTCCTGCCTGTTCCTCAGGGCGGGGGTGGAACACAGAGCAGGTACCAAGAGGACCTGGGCTGACACACAGCTCACACTCTCAGCTCCGTCCATTGTGAGCTATGGGGATCTTAAATTGCTCTGCCTCCCTAGCCCCATGTCCCTGTTTGTGAGTAAAGGAAAGGGAGGGAGGCAGCAGCAGGCACCTGCTGGGACACTGAGTTGAACCAGTGGATGGCTGACCCTCAGAGGTGAGCTGCTGTGGCCAGCTCTGGCTGGCACTAACGATGCCTTCTCTTCCTGTCCCACTGTTCTCTCCCCCTGCAGACAGAGTGGGAAGCCCTGGAGCTGACCGATCACCAGTGGGCACTGGATGACGTGGAAGAGGAGCTCATGGCCAGAGACCTGCACTTCGAAGGCATGTTCAAGAGGGAGTTACAAACCTCGATCTTTTGAAACGGAGTGGGGACTTCCTGTGTCAGGAGCTTGGGACAGCACTTACCCTTGTAACTGATCAGAGTGCAAGCCTCAGAATAAAGTGGAAGGTGCCAGGGCTGGCGGGCGTGCAACCAGGCTCCTTCTGTCTGGGCTGGAGGCATGGGCAGAGTGCCAGGAGCCCTGCCGCTCTCCGCACATGCACAGCGCTCCTCTGTGGCTCCCATCACAGGAGTCGGCGAGGAGACCCCACAGGTGTGCACACTTCACACTCAGCTCGGGGGAGACTCATCACCATGTTCACTCGCCCAGTTTCTAGCCACAGTAACCATCCGCTTTCTTGGGATCCCTGCACCTTGCATTCCTTTTCTGTAGTATTTTTAAACTTTATAAAGTAATACATGTATTGCCACATATTTATAAGTTACAGATGAGCAGAATGAATCTCCCTATATTGTCTATGTAGCCTGTAGCCTGGCATAAAAAGGAAACATGGCAAAACCGTACTGGAACCAACCTGAGAGTGAGGGGCCAGAGCCGGCCCCTCTAGGCCCTCTGGGTGTGGGCCAGGCAGATGGGTGCCCCTGCAGCTCAGTAGGATTCCAAGCACCTTTGGGGCCATCCAGGACGGCCGCAAAAGGCAGGGCCTCAATCTGACTTCACAACCAGTGAAACCCATCACTGGCTGCATGTGCTATGCTAGAAATGGCAGTTTCACTGGAAAGATAGACCTCATTTCCCAGCAGCCCGGGGCAGGAGAGAGCTCACTGCCCTGTCATAAAGGGGAGAGGGCAGTTACCAGCAGATGCCCAGAGAAGGGGCCCTGGAGAGCTGTGTCTGTGGGAACAGCCGGGACAAATGGCCGGGTGCCGGCCCCACCCAGACACAGGTGTAATTTGCATGTTGAGCACTGTAATCAGGGACAAATACGTCATGACTGCAATTAAACCTTCCTGCTTTCTCTGCCTGTGTTGCTGTTGCCTCTGGTGAGTCCCTAACAGCCTTTGCCAACAGTTAGGGCCACAGCCAGCCGGTGTGGGAGCAGAGAAACCTCTGCAAGTTTCTGGTGGGGGCACAGAGCCTGCTGGTGACCCTGATGTGGCAACAGACACACTACAAGTACTCCCAAGGGCCTGTGGACGCCCAAAACAGGTATTAAAGCAGCCAGGGCTCCAAGGGAATTCACCTCTGACCGGGGCCCCAAAGGGTAGCCACACAATGCAGCCTGCAGCACTGCAGCCACAAATGTCCACAGTTCCTGGCACCCCTGAAGGCAGAAGCAGGCCAGCCCAGGCCGGTGTGCCCACACAGCACAGATGTAAGCAAGCAGGGATGAGGTGACCGCCTCCTGCACAGTGGCCCAGGAGCATTGGTGACATCCACATGGACTCCAGTGTCTCCCCTTGTAGGGAAGGAGGGGGACTAAGAGAAGTGACTGTTCAGATGCATCGTATTGTGGAGCAGCCTGGGGTGTCATGGCTGAGGGCCCAGAGCCGCCATGTCCACGCCCAGGGAGGAAAGGCCTGTGCACATTTCCTACAGCTCAGTGTGGGCCAGCGCTAAACATATCCACTCCCTGAGGGAGGCCACTTACTCAGTCAGCTGTACAGCGCAACGCCGGAAAATGAAAGCAGGTGACGAAGGCAGGGACAGAGGTCAGCCTGCTTCCTTTAGTGTGTAAGGAGTGTGATTACTCTCCAAGTCAGGAATATTGCAGTTGGAGGGGACCAAAACTGGATTCAGCCTGACTCAAGCCATTACGGGGATGGAACTTGCTTCTTAGCCGTCAGTGGTTGCAGGCACACTGGATCCAGGGCCTCAACTGATGCCAACAAGACTCAGAGCAGGGAAAATTAAATACATAAATAAGGAGCCAGCTGATTGGTTCAACTGGCTAATCCTCCACCTGCAAGCATTTGCATCCCATATGGCACACCTTGCGTCCGGAAGACCCTCTTCCCATCCAGCTCCCTGCTTGTGGCCTTGGAAAGCAGTCAAGAACAGCCCAAAGCCTTGGGACCCTGCACCTGCATGGGAGACCCAGAAGAGGCTCCTGGCTCCAGCTTCAGATCAGCTCAGCTCTGGCCATTGCAAACACTTGGGGAGTGAATCAGTGGATGAAAGATCTTTCTCCTTCTCTGTGTAAATTTGATCTGCCTTGCCAGTGGGGAAGGTTGGAACCTGGGGGAAAGTCAGCAGACCCAATAACTGATTTTCAAACAAATAAGTACATCTTTAAGAAAAATTATCTGAAAACCAAAGCTCCTGAGGGATAGAGATCTTCACCTGCTCTTGTGCTGACTCTTCCCGACTGCCAGTGACAGGGCTGGGCCAGGCCGGAGCCCAGAGCCAGAAACGCCATCCTGTGCCATCTGGGTCCCCCATAGGCTTCAGGGGTGATCACTGCCTTTCCAGGGCACACTGGCAGGAACTGGATCAGAAATGGAACAGAACTGGCGGCTAAATCCTCGCCTTGTACACGTCAGGATCCCATATGGGTGCCAGTTCGTGTCCTAGCTGCTCCACTTCCCATCCAGCTCCCTGCTCGTGGCCTGGGAAAGCAGAATAGGACAGTCCAAAGCCTTGGGAGTCTGAATCTATGTGGGAGACCCAGAAGAAGCTCTTGGCTCCAGCTGCAGATCAGCCCAGCTCTCGCCGTCGCAGCCACTTTGGGGAGTGAACCAGTAGATGGAAGATCTTTCTGTCTCTCCTCTGTAAAGTCTGACTTTCCAATAAAAATAAATAAATCTTTTTAAAAAAAAAAAAAAAGAAAGAAAGAAATGGAGCAGTGTAGACTAACTGCACTTTCAGATGCAATCCCCGCCCCCACCCTGACTGGCACCCGTAGCGGCAGCTTACCTTGCTGTGCCACGAGGCCCCTGTTTTCCCATGTTCATGTTTGTTCAGCAAGCATGGCATGAACAGCAGGTGCAGGCACCGTCCACAAGCAGGATTCCCTCACAGACCTTGCAAGTTCTGACTGCTGTGATCCCTGATGGGCAATGAACACACTAGCAAGGCTGTGTCAGGTCCCCCAACCAAGCTGTGTGGTCAGGGAAGCCTTCCTGGTGGAGGTGTTGCCTCAGGGGGAAAGGTATGAAAGATTCCAAGGAGATTGCCAGAAAAATAAAGTAGGACTTGTTAGAGGCAATAGTACAGCACCCAGAAGCAGAAGCGAGGGTGCTATCGTGGCAGAGGGGTGTCCTCGGGCAGGACTGACGGGCAGGGGCACAGGAAGATGGGGCCGTCTGGGTGTGGAGGCTGCTGGAATGAGAGGGTGGCGTGTTCCAGGAGCTGGTGGCCCTGCTCTCTGGCACCCACTAAGCGGCTTCCTTGAAGACCCTTCCCTCACTGGCCCTCTCCACTGCTGTGTCGGGGCAATCATGGGCACAGGCTGCTTTCCCAGGACTGGCAGTGCAGCTCCCCAGTGCCTTGTAGTGGAGTCAGCAGGTGCCCACAGTCAGTTCTAATCTTCCACTGGCTGCAGCGGGGGCCACCTGATACACTGAGAAGGAAACAGGCATCTTGAGATTTAAACAACTTGCCAGGAAGTAGCAGGGCCAGGACTTGAACCCAAGTCTGACCCCAGAATGGCTGCCATTAATGGGCAGATTAGGCTGACTACTCAGGTGTTTCCAGAATGGCACAATGTTCTCCAGCCCCCCCGCCCCCATTCCAACTGGCTCCTTAAAAAACATTTCGGACAGGAACTAGGATTCAGGATGAAAATGAAATGCAAAAAGGCTCCTGTTTCCATAGTGGCCCTACTCAGAACTGACACCCAACTTGCCGTGTGGCAAGACCCCAAGAAACCATTTTCTGCAGGTCTAGGCCCAGGTCCCCACCCAGCTGTCACTCCACACCAGGAGTGGCTGACGGACCATGACTGCATTCAGCTTTCAATTCTGCTTCATGTACAAAGTGAATGTTCAATAAATACAGTGTGTGGATTCCCGAGAAGTTTCACCAGGAAGCTGCTGTTGCCACCGCAGCGCAAGAAGCGCCGCTGCTGGACTGTGCTGCCCGGAGGCCACTGCTGCCCTGGCGTGAGGACTGGCTGCTCCCTGCCTGAGCTGCCCCAGGTGCAGAGCCACCTGCTCACTAAAGCACCCCCGTGGAACCTCTGCGTGGTCTGCTGAACACTGAGTGTGAGTGTGTGTGTGTTGAGAGGGTGTGTGAGTAGATCAGTGTGAGGGTGTGTGTGCACATGTGATGGCTACCTTGAATGCATGCTGGAACAAGAAATGCCATCATCTCGACAGACTCTGGAGGAGCAGCCAGCAGGACATTCTGTTGTAAACATCACAGAAACGCTGTACAAGAGAGGAACGAAGCTCTGCTTCACCAAAGGACTGGTGAACCACACACTGAAACACTAACGACCACGGCAGAGGGTTTTGTAGCAAACACAGAGCAAGAAGCAACTTGCTGTCTACCACGCAAGAAACAGAATATGGCCTCACCTATGCAATGCAGATGGAACGTGATCCAGCAAACAAAACATAGTACCAATGCTACAACATGGAGGGACCCGAAACCAGACCACCCAGTGTCAGCCATGTTTACAGAAAGTCCTCCAGAACCGACAGATCAGAGCTGGAGGGCCTATCCATCATGGGTCTCCAGGGCCTGGGGAGGGGCAGTGACAGCCAACTGCCACCTAGAGCTGGCCTGTTCCTTGGTCATGGGGTGGCAGGAGGGCCACAAGCCCGTGCAGCTGCAGTAAGGGAGCTGCAGGTCATGGCCATGAGACATCCCTGCGGGCTTCCTGGAATACAGACAGCGACATGAGCTGCCACAGTGATCACTCCCAGAGAAGCTCTGTAGAAGGGAACAAGCTTTCCAGTTTTGGAGGCTCATAACGCATGATCCCTTGGGCAGCGCCATGGTGACCATGTGAGGAGGCCAGAGGGTGTCATGGGGGACAGTGTGCAGAGAAGGATTCATGTAATAAGCCAGGAGGCACAGAGGGAGGCTGGGCCCATCCAACTTCCACGATCAACCTTCCAGCTACCTTAAGGACCTCCCCCCGGCCTGCTCCTATGGGAGACCATCACCAGATCCAGGTTCCGCCCTCCCAAGCAGCATCAACCACCCAAGACCCCAAGAGCTGGGAGCCACATCCTATTCAAATCCTAACCCAGCCACTGCAGAATGCAAGGGGCTCCGTGGCCCTCCCACGTGCTCCAGCTCCCAGCCTGCCACCCCTCCTGCCAGCCCTGCCTCCAGCTTTGTAGATTTATAAATTTACTTCTTTATAAACTTGCAATTCAGAGACAGAATGAAACAACACAGCTCCTGTCTACTGGCAGAAACTCAAACTCAGCCATCCGAGGCATCAACCACTGGCTTGCCAGACGTGCACACAGCAGGAGCCAGCAACCAGGCGCTGATATGGGCACACACCTGCCGGTGGCACCTCTGTCCATCAAGAGCCCGCAGGGCCACTGTCTCGCCTGACACACCCACACACATTCTTCAATTCATGCCAGGACTTGATCCACACTCTGACTCCCCCAACAACCTATAATGCCCTTCTACCGCAGGCTTCCTGGGTGAGGCCCCCAGCCAGCTCCGGGGGCACCAATCAGCTCCAGGGGGCACAGCCAGCTCCAGGTGGTACCAGCCACCCTGCTTGTGGCCTGGGAAAGCAGTCGAGGACAGCTCAAAGCCTTGGGACCCTGCACCCTTGGGGGAGACCTGGAAGAAACTTCTGACTCCTGGCTTCAGAGCAGCACAGCACCCACCGTTGAGATCACTTGGGGAGTGATTCATCAGATGGAAGATCTTCCTCTCTGTCGCTCCTCCTCTCTATATATTTGACCTTGTAATAAAAATAAATAAACCTTAAAAAAAAACACACCAATGTTGGTGAGTCTTTTGGTTTTGGGAGCAGCTGCAGGACACTGGCTTACCTTGGCCACTGGTGTCAGGCTCGGGACGGAGCACCCAGCAGGGTCTATAG